GACTGCTATTCGGTGGCCTGGACGGGAAACTTCATATCCAGACAGCCTTCGCAAGCTCCAACACATCAGAGACCTTGCCCCATAACCGGTTGGTGCATGTAGGTACCCGTCCACGAATGAGTGGAGAGCGCCATACTTGCAGCATGTTGCCATATAGCCCATTCGCTGGCCGCCTGCAATGGCCTGTACGGGCGTTTCCTCGGGATTAAAAAAGAAGGTAGCGACGACACGGTACATCGATAATGGCATTGCACTGTATCCTCGTCGAGAGCTCCTGTGCACCCCCAACTGCGGTCTTACCGTCGTGCAAGATGCAGCAATGCTTGCCTGTACCACTCAGGCGAGCAATATGCAAGACATTGTCATATACAACCCTCACGACCTTGTCCCACACCCACGACTCCGCCCACACACACGGGAGGCGGGCCAGGGAGTGTGTAGGATAGAACAACCTTCTTTTTCTTTAGCCTTAGTTCCTTGAAAGAAGTATCCCCGTACGCGGTGACGGAGGCCCGACATTCTCGCGGGGCGATTCTCACCATGCAAGCTCCCGCCGCGCACGCTCGACAAACTCCCGCAATAGCGAGAAACTAACTTCGACATCCAGCACAACAGCCGTCCTCGGCCAGACCCGTAACTGCAGCACTGCAGGAAAATGAAAGCAGCGAGAAAGACGCAAAAGAAAGCAGAGTGAAGTCGCAAAAGAAAGGAAAAGTAATAGTGGTCGAGAAAAAGGAAGACGGCGCAAACAGGGCAAACAGGCCTGCTTCGGGCAAGTCAAACCTCAACCTCTTCTTTTCTTCTTTCTTCATCAAAAAGCGCTGCGTCGATCATCTGCACCATCGCAATTCTCTGTTCGCAGGCCGCCAGCTACCCAGCCATCCAATAGTCAGCAGCCTGGCTGCGTTCCGGTGATCGTCTGGTTCCATGATCCATTATGCGGTGCTCGTTTCTTCTTCTCGCCCTTTTTGCAGGTTGCATCATACAGCTGGGAGGCGGAGTGCCAAGCTGGGCCCTGGACTGCTCGAGATATTGAATTTTTGCTGGCTCATAGCGCAGCTTTTGCTTGCCTACGCTGCCTACGTTGACTAGTCTATCAAGTTCGGGGCCCCTTCTTTGATCGCAACCTTGGTCTGTGGCGTCGCGGCTGACCCTCTTTCCCACACGGTGAGCCAGCAAGCTGCGGCTGTTGATCGCGACTGGGGCTGGAAACCGTCGCAGCTCTCGGCCCTGGCCTCCTACTTATAGACCTATACAGAGTCTCGACAACGACTATGGAGTACACGTGAGGTGCCTGGATCGGTGTGGTCCGTAGCCGCAGAAATATCCTTGTCGTCAATACCCAGAGCGGCGACAATGACGCGCGCACCTTCGAGCTCCAAGCAGGAATTACTTGCGCCCGTCCGAGCTATCAACTTACGTAGGAACGGTTCTGTATCGTCCCGCTGCCTGGCGGGCAAAAAAGCAGGGGGGGATGAAACTTTTAGCCTTTAGCTAATCGAGGCGATTTGCCGTTTATCCCATTGATACTTTTCCCGGACCCTCGCCATGGAACTCGAAGGTAAAAAAAAGGACCGACTTTAAGCTGGAATTTAGAGCTTCTTCCGGATATCCAACATGGTTTGGATCTTGCGAAATAGACGGAGTAAGCTGCGAGTGCGACCGTATGTCGCAAACTTGAGACCGATCATGTTGATTCGTCTAGCCCTACCTTCGGGATTTTCATTTACGTATGTACGCGAAGCATCCAAGTCAGGTACCAGGCGGTACATTAACATCTGAGCCCGTTTACGGAGTAAATACTGGCTTCCCTTGTCCCTGAGGCTACCCTAAATAAGCTCTCCTGGGACACGATCCTTAAGAACGGGGGTGCCATATAATGACTAGAACATCGAAGGATGGTCAAGATCGAATATGCACCGATTCGGTTCTTGATGTTGGCTAGGCCATCTCCGAAGCTGGCTTATTGGGCCTTCTGCCCGGGCTGGCGCATAATACCCCACCGTCACCTGGTTAATTCCACGACCAGCACGAAGATACCAAGAATAGCCTGGGTGACTATACTCAGAAGTATCTATAGGTGTTGTTCCTACAGAATCTCGATCTCAGATCGTCCTATTGGTGGCCCTTTCGCAAATGTTTGCAAAAAAAATTTCAGAAAATGAAAAATGAGAGAAAGAAAGAAGAGAAGAAAAAAAAAGAAATATGACGCTTATCGGGAGAGAGCTAGGTACGTATGTACATTCATTCGAGCAACCTGCTGCTTGTTGTTTTTTAGCGCCTTGAAATCTATAACAAGATTCATAACCATTTGCCGAAGCGGCCCAGGCTAATTTTTTTTATTATTAGCGAGCTCAACTGTGAAACAGAATAATTATCTGCCACGGGCAATGGCTTTGCCTGCTTGGAAGAGAGAGGGGAAAAAAAGAGGATGAGTACGGAGTATATTATTGCAGGTTTGTTGGTGCAGATCACCCGAATATACTCTCATTGAGAATTTCCTTTGAGAGGGGAGGATCTCAGCAGGGATGCATACCAACCAACATCAGCCTGCATTTAGCTCGAACCTTCCCATATACCTCTCATTTTCTTTCCACTCCGCCTCGCCAGCTCTCCCTCGTCCGATATCTCGCGGTACGTCATTTTCTTTTCGACGATTTTGTTTTCGTCCGCTATTACACCTTGTTCGCGATATGGCTCAAGAGATCGCCCGGTTTAAGTTTCAGTGGTTTTGGTCCAGAAATATCTGATTATTACTACTATTACACATGTGGATGCTTGTGTGCTTTCTTTTTCCTAGCTTCCGCTGGTCAAGGGCTAATTCTCTAGTGGGCGATCCCCCGGACCCTTATTTTATTTTATTCGCTACTGGTAAATGGTCCTTCTGGGCTGGGGGGGAGACCCATTCTTATCTGGCCCAACTGGACACCCCTGGCCCTTTTTTTTCCACTACATTTCTCACATCCCTCCACCCTCGTCCTTGATATCCCGGCTCTCCGACATACGTACATACTATGTACCCCCAAAGCTCTATCTACCTACACGTCTGACCTTGGTTACATTTCTGGCATCTGTTCCCTGCACCTCCCATCGCTCCTTTGTACACCGATGCGCTGGAATGCCCTGGGCGTAAAATTTGGTTTAAAAATAACCTTCCATCATTTTAGGCGACTATAGGTCTCCCATGACGTCCGACAACCTGGTCAAAAGACCTTCTTCAGTCCTCACGCGCGACTCCGTTACTACTCCCTGGGGTGGTTGCGATCCATATTCTCACCAACCCCCCTCCCCACGCCCACGCCAGCCCCTAAAGCCTGCAGACGCCGACGAATCTATTTCCCACCGCTCTTGTTTATGGCCATAAAGCTTATCAGACTAACAACTTAAACAGGCTGTAGCCTGCCTGCGATTCCAGAAGTGGCCAATCACCACGCCACTTGGCGTCTTCCGCTATCCGGACCATCGCGACTTATTGGTGTCTTAGGGTCGACTGAGTGCGGCTGCTCTAGTCTATCATCTTGGACTTTCTTCCAGGAGCCAAGGCACCCAATCGAGCATCCTTTTTTTCGCCTTCGTTGATCGCCAGAGAAAGCCTTGATCTGACAAATGAAGCATAGTAAGCTTAATTTCACTTGGTGCTACTTGAAAAATAGTTATCCGGGGCTATTTCCTCTCTATCCTTCACTGTTGACCAGGGCTCATCCACGTTTTTTTATCTACTTTTTTTTTTCATCTTCGATCTTATTTTTTAATTCTCTTTACTTTTTCCCCCCTCCCACACCTTTTTCCAGCACTGGTGAGGTGACCCTGCCTTCTTTTTTTATCCACTGTGGAATCCCTCTCTGTAAGCTCCCAGCTTTTTACCTAAACTGCATGACATGGTGTACCATCTTGTATCTGGTTCTGCAATAAAGGTGTGATATTAAACAACACAAGGTTTAATCCTATTGTTGAAAATGAAAACGCTCTGCCTGTTGTTTCCATCAGAACGTCCCCCTGCGTGTATACTTCCCAACTGTTGTCGTGGATTCCTAACATTGTCGCCTCCAGCATTTATAGAAAACACACAATCCAGAATAACCTTGTCACCACTACCTACATCCAACAGACAAAAGGCTAACATCTCCGTCATTTAAGTTACGAGGCTCTTTTTCACTGAAGATATCCCAAAAAGAGGTCACGAGAAGATTGGTGCATCAGGCCGGCAATCCAGACAGCCATTTCTTCCTCTAAGATAGGAATCCAACCCCAAAAAACACACACTCACACACAACTCTTCCTTTTACAAGGCAGCATGTGCTGTAAGTTGACCTATTTAGTATGATTTATCAAGTGTTTCTGTCTAGGCCTGGGCCCCAGCAATCTACAATACGTCTTTTCCTTATGACTCCCAATAACATTGGTTTGACCGGTCTACCTTGACATAAGCTTGGCTTTTTCTTTTATAATCCCTCTTCCTCTTCCTTTTTTTTTCAAATATAAATCCTCTTTTCCTGATCTCTACCCCTCATTTGTTTTGTCGTGTTACGTGGCTTGTTTATTCACATTATCCAAGCACACGAATGCACGGCTTCCACTGTCAACCCCCTTGCTAGAGAAGGCCCCATGCTCTTCATCATCCTGGAGTGAAAGCCAGTTAACTAATCAAGAGAAGCCCATGATTCTTAGCTTACGTGCTAGTGAACTCACATCGGATTTTATAGACTCAACTGATCCCGCCTTGGACGTCAGGTCTTCTCCGGTGTCAACAAACTCGCTGTCTTCGGTTGCCAGCTCGAACGCGTCTTCAGAATATTCGGCTACGTTGGACGTGGAAACAGCTGCCACCACTCCAGAGCGTATATCGAAGGAAGGGTTAGACGATAATATGACCGATTACAGATTGCATAGTGTGTCAGCACTGTACGTATATCTGCAAAGGTAAACATCCCTTCGTGTTTGGATTTGTATCTGACTCTCTGGTTAGCTGCGCTCAACCACCACCTGGTCTTCCTACAACAATGCAGTCCTCAGGAGCAGTCCTTCCGGCCTCGCCTGGTATGATCCCTCGAGGAGATAGCTACCATCTTCAATATCAACCAACCAGGAATGTTTTCCCAAACTCCAACGGTCTTGCCATGAACAATCTGTCTCGATATTCCAATTATCAGACAACCAGGCCAATAGATATGAACTCCAATGCACAGGGTGGCACAATATTCGGTGCTTCAGGAGGGTTCGTATTTGATTCTCCAGCGTCAAGACAGTCGAGCTCAACTAACCCCGAAGCTCCACCGTTTCACGAAACCACTGTCCTTCACAATCTTCTAATAAACAACCATGCTGTGAGGCCAGACATACATGCAAAGATCCACAAAGGGTTCTTCCAGGTGGATGGGAAATGGACGTGTTATCGTCGGAACTACTTCTCCTTGTCCTGTTCCTTCACTTTACGGCCATGGATTCATATGCAAAGTTCTCCACCTTATATTCAGCTCTCCAATGGTACTACCCCGAGAGTTAAATCCTTTGCCATGGCAATTTCGGCCGTGGTCCATGGGCAAGAGAACGAGATCCGTGAGCTTGTTCAGCACACTCCAAAGCGTGATAAACAATCCGAGAGACGACCAGGCAAGGTTGCCTTGGAACCACAACCACCACCTTCAATGATGACCAACCCTGGGCCAATCGGCAATGGTCACCACCATATGGCATTTTCCATGCCCCCCCAGTCACCCATGCATTTTGAGTGCGGATCAGCGTTTGGAAACGGTGGCCATTCTCAGGCAGTACAGACTGCACCTACTTCCCACACCTTTGAGCGAATTCAGTTCCAGAAGGCAACAGCTAACAACGGAAAACGTCGTGCACAGCAACAGTTTTATCAACTCGTGACCGAACTTTATGCTGATGTTAGTGACCATAACTCGAAATCCTCGCCACAGTGGATCTTGGTTGCAAGACGACTTTCATACCCTATGGTGGTTCGAGGAAGGTCCCCAGGTCACTACAAAGATGGACGACGTGAGAGTACGACAAGCATTGGGCCAGAGAGTGATACTGGAAACTCTGGTGATGGGCGAATGAATGGGTTGACCAACGGAATGTTACCAAGTTCACGACAACCTCCTCCTTTGCTATCAACATATGATCAAGGCCATGGTCGTCGAATGACGGCCACTGATCAACCCCCGTTAACCGCAGGATCCCTTGTTTCTTCCTCATCCTCTTCCCCTGGATTCGACTTTGGCATGATGAATGATTCCATGAATCCTATGGAGACCATGAAGGACACGAACGTCGATGCATACGGTCACCAGCCATATACCTCAGCATCCGCAGTTCAACGGAAGGTATGTATGGAGCCGTCCGGCCTTCGCAGCCATATGCCGACGTTCAATGATACCATTGCAACGACAAAGAGCCAGGATCAACAAGACGGTGGATATGGCGAGCCCTTTGAGCCAATGGTGTCACTGATCCATCATGATAACAATGGGGACAATCATTATTTTAACCGTCAAGATGAACATGGGCTAAGGAATGGAATGAAGATGCACGGGTCTTACTCCAGCCGCCCTACAGCCCATGGATACGCACGATACTGAAGCAGATCGGAACTACTACTTGCTGTCGACCTAGCCATCCTAGATTGGAACTTATTTCTCATTACCCCACGAGTAATCGTTAATTACCAGACTGCCTACCCAAACCGACTTCTCCTTACGCTTCTTCCTCTCCCTGGTTGATTACAGCACTCGATAACGATTCTGTGCTTCAGGAACGTCCCCTCATTGACTCTTTTCATTTATACCCGTTCAAGTTATTCTCATTCTTGCATTCAGATTTTCTATCCCACTCCGCATACCAATGGCCCTCCTCCTTTTTTCAAGATGTGAAACACAAGTCTTCTAATGGCCGTTTTCTGGTAACGACTGTATTTTTGGTTTCATATCTGGGCGCATCTTCCCTTGGTTATTCTTTCTTTCCCTACTTTTGCGATTTCTTATGTTTATCTTCTTTTAATCTTCGGGCATTCGACCTTAATGAGAGATGACACCCATGATAGCGACCGATCGTTAATAATCTAACTCAACCCTGACTGGATTTACGCGGAGCGAAGCCATTTCAACTACATACCCGCCCACGACTAAGGCCAGTTCGACAAATTCTTCGACGCTCGTTTCAAGGCCGATCCCCGAATGACGACGATTTTTACAAGCGACGCTGCTATGGTATCTTCGGATACTCTTCGACTTACCTTCTGTACTTCATGTATGCTACGAATGGCCATCCTCCTCATGATTAGGGTTTCAGCACCTCACAAAGATGGTGAGGGAAAAAAAAGGAAAAAACAAAAAAAAAAAACTTATGAGCGCGCATGTTATATTATTGCGGAGGTGCTGCAGTTGGATGACTTTTTCTTGATTATTGTTCTTCTGTTTTCTCTTGTTAAATGGCCGTTAGGGTTTCTATGCTTATGGGTGGGATTGTTGAGGGCAATACGGTGAAATGGACACTTGGTCAAAAACAGGCAAGGGATGGATTGCAAAATCATATAAAAGGAAGGTTTGCTTCCAAAAAACGTTGAACTAGGGTCCCTTTCATTTCTTTCTTTCTTTCCAGGCTTAGGGACATTTTCTCCGATCAACTACTCTTGCGTTTTATTATTTTTATCTTTCAGAATTGATGACCACTAGTGCTGGATTTTCTAGCTTATGATTGATGCCGGCGTTTCGATGGCACAAGCCGATTCCATACTGTTATCCTACTTTCTACGAAGGCTTGGGTTTCTTCTCCAAAAGCGTTTTTGCGCAAGGATTGTCCTGGCTGTTCTCCGCATGCATGTTTGCTCACTGCTCGTCCTCAAATAGAGCCGAAACTCATTTTAGGGAAGAAATCAAGATTTGAGAGGAGACGAATCCTCCATCCTCCTTATCCATACGTTGAACTCAATTAACCCCTGCGCATCCAGCCTGATGAGGCCATGAATGAATCTATATCAATGATAATCTATATCTGTCGCCTTGAGAGCATGAAAGTTGGATAAGCCAAGACCTTCTATCCGAGAAAAAAAAAATAAAAAAAATAAAAAGAGAAAAGGGGGCATGCATGAGCGAGGAGAGGGTGGGACAATTCACCGGGAAATGAATCTTAAAATGCTGTTCTGAAGTGGTCTCTCGAGCTTTCATCCCTTCTCCCGTATGTGATACGATCAGGGGACGAAATTATGCGCCGTGATAGAACGAACGTATCCGGTGAGACCGTAGTGGCTTTGGCATAGGCTTACTTGCGTGCCCAGGTAAAAAAAAATCGTTGAAAAAAAAGGAAAAAGAAATAAAGACAAGGTAAGAGGTGGAACTAGGTTGGGTTCCACTCTCCTGGCAACTGTGGGATCACGGTATGGCTTTCCATGACGCCGTCAAGGCGAGCTGTGATGGATAAAATCATGGTAAGTTTCGGCATTGGTAGCATTGAAAAATGATAAGGAAAGGCTATTTCGAGGGAAGCCGCATGCTGTAGGCCAAGGCATAGCCAAAATAGTCGGCCGACCAGGACAGAGGGAGTTGCCGCTCTCGCCTCCTGCAAATAACTTCATTCCATCTTATCTGGAAGAATGGAGTAAATATGCGAAAGGTGAAAAGGAGGCAGCACATAGTTTCAGAAAAAGCAGTATCATCAAGGAAGAATATTAAGCGCCAACTATTCTACAAGGAATCATCTGGCTCTGAATCCAACGAAATCCCAAAGAAGTAAGGTGACATGACACGGCATACTGCGCCACTGCAACCTAGGAAAATGGAATTAACAATGTCATCGTTGTCGAGTTAGGGTATCTCCGAAAATAGCAGTTAGATTCCACCTGTCCATGCTTCGCCAAGCAGACCGAGCGGTGCTCGAAGGGATGGGAAGGGCTTCTGACCAGGAGCTGATGACACGGAGGAGGCTGGCTTACGGGGGCCCGCGAGATTTCCCCCCAAGCTCGGAATGCCAGGCAATATTTCAGATGCACTGCGAAAACTCCAACTCCATGCGCTGGGGGGGTCTGATAAATCGAATAATTGGTCGGATGACGGGAAGGTTGGGTTCAAATAACTTTGTGGTTTCACAATGGTGTATCCCGAGACCAGTAGCAGACTGAAATGACGACTGACTCCTCATCGACCGTCCTGCTTGCTCGTTTTCACTTGCCTTCCCTTTCCCCCTCCCTTCGCTCACTGACGCTCACACCTCTGGGGCAGAGCTAGTCCGCTCGTTGCACGCGTTCTTCCTTTTCAAATTTCTCGACTACCCTGCTTCATCTTGCCAGCTGCGCACCCGCACTGGACCCCATGAAATCCTAATCCACATAGAACATATCTCTTCGGGCGACGGGCGACGGACGATGGGGTTGAAAATGAAATTATAAGGCGTTCATATATAATATTCTCGATTTGCGTTATAGATCTTGTTCTTCTCGTCCTTGGGCCGCCTCCCATCATCCCCCGAGCTTAGCCGTGTAAAAATTATCACAATCACTTATCCACAGTCGAGACATTGATGGCGAGTTTCCGGTCTAGCTCTTCCTGCTCTTCTTTCGACGGGGTCATTCCTAACGATTTCTCGAGTTGCGGTGATGCCCACATCCCAAAGGCTGCGTAACCCATGAGGCTTAGGCCAAAGACAAGACGAGTCCGAGGACTTAGCGAGCGGTAAGACCTGGTGATTATTCCATTATGTTCAGTTGAGTCGCCTTGAAGCTTAGAGAGCTTTTCCCGTTTCTTCTGCGGTCCGTCCATGGCTGAACCGCGAAGGGTTCCGGATGGGAGCTTACATACGTCCAAAACGACATTGTGTCTGACCCTGAGAGCTGGCAGGGTGCGTAATTAGGCTGCTGGCGATGTCTGTGGCCGGTGTAAGGCAGAGAGGTTGACGCGGTTGACCTGCAGTTGGCCGTCGAGAAGGGCTGGTGGTTAGTTACATCGGAAAAGGTTAGGCCGATGGATGACTTGCATATCCCGACTCAGGGGGGAAAACTTCGTGAGACTTGGGCGCCATGTAACTCCGGAGTATTTCTTAATAATCATACCAGCACTCGTTGTACTGCGTACCTTGCTCTGTGTCTTGTTTTCCTGCCCTATATTGAGAAACGAACTGTCTGGTGCATGCCTTGCTGCTGGTGTTGGGGCTTCCGAAGCGCGATCAAGCGATATACATCTAGGCTGCAGTATAGACATATCGCGGCTTCATACATATGCCCTGTTAGGCAAATATCCATGACGATGCGTTGACCGTAATTCTGCTTCAGAGCCTTATTAGGCAGTTCCCCGATCTCTTACGCCTTGCATATGCATTAACAACGATTCTGCATTGCAGCTTCGCCCCTACACGGCTTTAGATTAGGGATTAGAGAAGTGATTGAATATTGGAATTAATAATGGAATTGAGTATTCCTTCCTAACGTCGTAACAAAAAGTAATTTGCAGAACACGATTCGCAGCAGCCGCAGCGATCCTATCAAACAGGCTGGAAAAATGATCCACGATAAGGTAGCACCGGACATGGAAAGCAGAGCTAAGTGGGGAGTGGAATCAGACATGAAGGTAGTGCTGTCAACATTAAAAACAAGCTCGAAGGTATAGAGAAGAGGGAAAAAGGGGGGTGAAGGTGGGAAGCGAGAAGCCCGAGACGGACATAGCTATATACGTGGTAATCAAGTACACGGCAACAGGAATGTTGCTAAGCCAGGTCAACAGTGATAGCCGGATGAGGTTATCCCTGTTCGGTTTGATCTGGGTCGTGTATCATATAGATGAGGGAGAGGCGGTATGGAAGAGTTGGTGGTGCCCTTCGGTGTGCTTTGGGGCTTGCTCTAGTGGTTGTAGATGGGCAAACAGACGGTGTGAGATGGGCCGGCCTTTGCAGGTTGATCTAGAATGGGGCATGGCGATGATCTACGAGGACTTTCCATATGCACGATCGATTTCTTGCTGGTACTTGGCGACCAGTTTCTTGCGCTGTAATTTCTGTGCAGCAGTCACAAGGCCCTGTTTTGGATGAGATGGTTAGATGGATGGCCTTGTTATAATACGATAGAGTCCGGGGGAATTGCTTACATTCTGAGGAGTCCACTCCTCGTCAGAGAGGACAACACCTTCGATGATCTCGAACCCACGGAGGCCAGAGTTCTTACCAACATTCTGCATCTCCTTCAAGATGATGGAGTTCAGCTTCTTGTCGTGGACGAGGGTACCGATGCTATCTCCCTGGATTCCGTTGGTCTTTGCGAGCTGGAGCAAGGCAGGCTCCGCTGGCACGATGATGGCAACGGGTTTAGCCTGGTCAGCGGCAGCATACACGCAGATGTTGGCCACCACAGGGGCGGAGCGGTAGATAGATTCCAACTTCTCCAAGGCAATGTATTCGCCGTTCAGAGACTTGACGAGGTTCTTCTTGCGGTCGATGACCTTGATATGGCCGTTTTGGTCAAACTCTCCAATATCTCCGGTCATGAACCAGCCGTCTGGAGAGAAAGCTTCCTTGGTCTCCTCTTCGTTCTCAAAGTAGTGAGTTGCAACACTCTCGCCTCGGATCCAGATTTCTCCCTGTGGTGGGTTGTTCTTCGCAAAGTAGCCAGCTTCGGGGAAGTCAACCAGCTTCATCTCGATGGAAGCAGGGATCTCTCCGATTGCGTCGTTGGTCCAGGCAAGCGGGTCGTTGAGACCACCCATGGCAGAGGTTTCGGTCAACCCGTACCCGTTGATCATTGGGCAAATGGCCATGGAGAGGAATCTCTGGGTTTCTCTGGAAACCGGGCCACCACCGCTGAGAGTAATGCGCAGACGGCCTCCGGTGGCGTCCTTGATCTTCTTGAACACAACCGTGTCTAGTAAGCCAGCACCGGGGAGGCCAGTGGACATGAGGAACTCCTTGGCGGCAAGACCGGCCCAGAAAATGCTCTTGACCAGTGCGCTATTCTTGTTGACGTTTCCAATGATGCCCTTCTTGACGGATTCCCAGACCATGGGCACACCCACGAGGACGGTCGGCTGCAACTCGCGAATGTCGCCCTTGCAGTTCCTAACCGAGGTGTCTGAAAGGGTCTTGGGGCTTCCATAACCCATAGTACCTCCCCAGAACAAGCAGAGGTTCTCGAACACGAATTCGAGAATGTGGGCTTGGGGTAGATAGGTGAGCAAGACGTCACCGGGGCCGAGGTAGGGACCAACAATAGAATCCGCGCCGGCCACTAGACTCTGTTAGTTCGCTTGCTAACCGCAGGAAGAACGTGGACAAAGCTACTCACTTGCTCCTACAACATTTGCGTGCGTAAGTGGGACACCCTTTGGTGGTCCTGTCGATCCAGAGGTATACATGATGCAGCACAGGTCCTCGCGGGATGGAGGAACCGGTTCAACGGGGTTCTCTTCACCCAGTTTTCTAAGGTCCTCGTAGGTCATGATGTTGAGGTAGTCAAATTCTGATTTCAGGCTATCGATATGCTCTTGCTTGACCTCCGAGGTGTTGTCGTAGATGACGTTCTTGACATCCTTTGCATCCTTCAGAACCGTTTGGAGGACTGGTAGGAGGGACGGGTCAAGGAATATAGATGCGCTGCGAGTCTGCAGCAGAGAGTGTCGTACTCCTTCTTCGCCGAGAGAGTCGTAGGCGGTGACAATGGTGATGGACTGAGATGCGGCACCTAGAGAGATAAGTTAGAAATCTATGTTCTTAATGAAGATGGGACGAGATAGCATACCGTGCGAGAGGCATAACCAATGCGCGCTGTTGGAAGAAGAGAGTTAGATTGCGCAAACCAACAAACAAAGCGAACTGTTACCAACCTCGTGGAGCTGAAAAGATGCAGTCTGCTGTCCTTTTCATGGCCGAGCTTCCTCAGACCGGCACCGAGCTGCAGCGCCTGCTGTTCATACTCGTCGAAGGTCAGGTAGCTGTAGCCGCTGAGCTCGAAATAGGTCCATTTCTTGTCCACCTCCTGCTCGACGCCCTCGACGAGCTTCTTGACCTTCTTGTTCTCCACGTGAGTCGTGATCAGGGTCCGCGATCCGACGGCCTTGGAGTTTCCGTACGTCTTCGCGCTCCATCTCAGGTTGTCATAGGTGGTAGCGATCTCCTGGTGAGGAGTCTTGAGCAGCTCCTCCTTGGCCGTTGGATGTCGACGAGGCACCGTCTCGCCCTCCACTGGCTCGTGGCCGGCAGCATCGACGCTGAAGGGGCCCTTCTTCTGGATACGGGGGTAGAACACTGTGTCTTTTAACGACATGCTGGGCTGCTTTCACGACGGGAAGCTCGCGTGGGTCGGTTTTCTGGCAGAGCTTTGGATGTACGAGGGGCGGTCTTGGGGAGAGCTACCAGCTTGGGATCGAGCGAGCTGGGGAGTCGGGCAGAGAGGTCTGGGGAGCGAGAGAGCAGTCCTTGCACCGGCGCAGGCGATGTCGATGGTTATGTGTATAGACCTGGGAGAAAACCGCAGATGTGTTGGGGATGGGCGTTGGGAGCGGGCAAAGGCGAAGAGGGTCGACCTGTGGAGATGGTTCCAAGCCGGCAAGGTTCAGTGCAGGAACTAGCATTTAAAGCATTTATTTATATTGAAGCAGTAATATCTACGGACGTCTCATCTTCGTCTTCTTCTTCGCCTTCTTCTTCGGTCTACAGTTCAGTCTATCAGTCCAGTTCAGTTCAGTCTATCGTCCGCCATCGCATAGCTGCTTTCTATAACTCCCGCGAGATATTCGACCTCCCCCTATTCTCGCAAAAGAAAAGACCCATGTCTTCTATGGGCTTTCCTTCTTCCCGAGGGGCGTTTGCGGCGTCCGCCTCTGGTGCGCGCTGGATGGACTATTAGATATAGCCATGGTTGGCACCGTTGGCAGCGAGCCGCGAGCATCATCGGTCACTCGTCCTGCTGTCGGTTGTTTAGCAGCCAATCAGTCGTCTACTGCGCTGTTCGCGGCCAGCTCTGCCCCCTTGGCCCGTCTGGCATCGACTTGGCCCAGCAGCTCGGTTGTCCGTCGTTCGTCTGTGGCCGGCGCAGCGTCCAGGGAACCAGCTGGCCGTGCCACTGCATCTCGGCATACGCTACCAAGGCAGAGACAGGAGCCAGAGCTCGGCAGAGGTCGTATCCAGGCCTGGCAGGAGACTATTGAACTAGCCGTGGAGTAGCCGGGGAACTCTACATGGAACACGATGACTTCGGAACATCGATCCTTGCATACGTTATGCGCCGTGTTCTTAGATTTGGTATATCAATGATCTACGGAGAGCTTACGCCCTGGACGGTTTCTCGAAGGCACCCCCCACGGCCTAACTGATAGACTACTGGCCGTTGAAGGCACATACGGTGTCTGTTCCGCAGGACTGGACAATCTGTACTTCATGGTAGACTGTCATGAACCGTTGACTATGCTCGTGCTTTGAAATATTCAATAGAATCGCTGATTCAAGGAATTGGTTCTGAACTTGGTCGTTATAAATATGTGACGGGTTGTTCTCACCTATTAGCAATGTATACCCTACTATGGCTTTAGTAGCATGCTTTCAAGCGCAAACAAAAGGCTCTATATCACAGGATATGAGACTTGTAAACGGCTGATTCAAAGACGATACTTGGGCTAGACTGGGCCCTTCAATCTCAGCTATTATGGCGAAAATATCTCACTGAGATAAGTCGTTAGGATCGAAGTTCACATACATTCATTGCCAAGGCGAGCTCCCTTTGCCTATGACCTTTGACGGCGTGGTCCCTATTTGGAGAAACTTCAGACAGATCCATGCAGAAATGATTACTCTCGAATACCTGAAGAAAGGCCTAGGGAGCGCTTTCAAAGCTACAGAGACAGTACTCCCCCAGATTCCAACAATGGCGAGACCGTGGTGTGTTCTGGGAAGTACCGATATACCGTCAATGTAGACGGAATTTGCCAGAAACGTACACTACCATATGACTCAGCTTCAAAATCATGATTTATTCTAATCATCCAAGTCCACAGTCCACGTCCTTCCATTCCCAACTTGGATCCTTTACGACGAGTTGGCTATCCGTTTGAGACCTGTCCTGAGTGACGTACATCTCTGGTGCCTTATCTACGGCTTCCTCCACCATCAACCACGATCAACTTTCGATATCATCTACCTTCTTGCGGAGCATATTCAACATGCCATCTAAACGCCCAAAGTCAGAAAAACGATGGTCAATGTATCCATCACTCCACGATGACGTATCATGCTTACTTAAAGAAGACGACCTCTATTTCAGCTTCTATTAAACCGACGACCCCAACGGTAACATCCAAGAACGCGACACGAACATTATGGGCCGATTCACATGCCCCAATGACGCATGTTCTTCTATCGGCTGGTCAAGCAAGAAAATTGCCATCACTATTCGAATGTATCATGGAGACAAATACAATGCGAGGGTGTACCATCAACGCTGCCAACGCTGCAACAGCCTCGGCCAACCACATCTAGATGAAGAGTCGTATGCGGAAAGGGTCTCATATTGGATCAAGAAATGGCGTGGGGTGCCAACTGAAAAGCCTCCTTCCTCGGGCAAAGCCAAAGGTCCACACAATATTGCTTTATGTGAGGGATGCAAGGCTGGTCATTGCAGTGCGAAGACGGATACGCTTACAGCACGGATGAAGGGACTGTCAGTGTTCTAGGGTTGACATGATTGTAATTAACGAAGCAGCAAGTTTAAATGCTCTGCTAAAAGTCAATATCCAAATTGAAGCGAGTTGAGAATGTGAATTGAACAATACAGAATACTCCTGGTCCTACGGAATATACAGAGTTCATAGCATATGTTTTGTATCTCGCAAGTAATGCAAAAGGACAAAAAACGGGATTATTGAAGTAGGTCAATAAATACGGGTAGGTGTACGGACTAGCTATGTGGAAGAATTGATAGTAATAAACAGAAAGCCATCGCCGAGTGCGTCGTTTACTCGGCATACATTATCTCGAAGCCGAGCCAATATCTCCTAGACTATTGATTGAGCCGACGGCGCACAAGACTCAAAAATAGAGTGGCGTTTATTTTTGCTACTTCGATGCTTCCAAGAGAAGATCAGGCGAAAAAGAAATGTGTTTTGCTAGCTAACTAACTGCAGCCACAGACGCGTTCTTTTTACAACTACACGCATGTCACGAATATCAAGGCACGGAGAGTTGCAGGTGTATATTTGCAAGGCGGAATTTGACGGGATATCTCAGGATCCTGTTCAACAGGATTTTTCTTCGGGGATAAACCCGAGGTCTGGCTGTGCCGTGATACTCGTTTATCAGCATTCTCCCAGGCCGAGGTTAGATGAGAGACACCCGGCTTGCTATTTATCATGTTTACAACAGGGCCGACTCGGTGTTAAAGTGCATCCAGCTCTGAACTGCGTAGAATATCCTATATCCCGCCTGTTCATGAGTTCTGCGGTGATACTTGTTTTATAAAGAACTGGTGGCGAAATGACGCCTGCAAAAAAAAAAAAAAAGCATGATCTACGGAGTAGAATATTCAATATTGACAAAACATTTTCAATTATGTATACACGGCATTAACGAAGGCTAGAGTGGTCTTTAGAATGGACTTTCCAGGTCACATCCACGTAGATTCTGCCTTCTACGATGGCGTTCTCCGATATCAAACTCTTGACTGGTTTGCTGGCGGTTGATGACACTGACAACCCGGGTGACGGATGAAGGTCACTCTAATTTTGTTGGCAGGAATGGTCACTCGTGAAGCCATCGCCTATCAGCTATCAGCACCCACAGGCTATATCCAATTCACCTTCTGAGGTCGGTCATTTGCGCAAGAACTATTCCCGTGAACAAGTCTTGGATCGACGGCTGTGGAGTTACATGCCACCATCACATGGAGGCATCTATTTCAAGCGAGGTTGTATCTTGTGGGAGTAATACGCCTTTGAGAGTGATGCGCCTTTGAGAATTGATACCCTGTCATGTAAAGATAGCAATCACTTCCTCTTGCTGATAGATATACCCAACACCGTCTTATGGTTATAGGCCCTTTCCCATGAGGAATAAGAGATGTCTCTATTAGAAGACCTCGATATCGCCTATAGACGTGAATTTATCCCAAGAAACAGGCGAATATTCCGATCTTGTAGAGCGTTCTCTTATAAGTAAAAAGAGTTGCAGTGTTGTGTTTATTGCCTATTCGGGATAGTAAAAGTGAGCAAAATATTTATAATCATTTTTGAGCAGATTAAAGAAAATCGCCATAAAACCAGCGACTCTCACTGTTTCTTCTCTTCATCCTCATCTTCTCTTCTCTTCTCTTCATCTTCTCTTCATCTCTGTTCTCATTGTGTATCCTGATGCCTAAAGCCGATATTGCTGAGTGAATAGTGTCGAGATGACGCCTGGCTGTGACTCTACCAGTGTAGTTCACTCTACACACGCATATAATATCTGGGAGTTCCTGTGCAGAAGCAATTCTTGACAGCATAAAAGCGCTCCAGATACCCATGCGAATACCCTTGAGAGCATCTCTCAAAAGCACTTCAGATATCCATTGCAGCTTGACAACCGGAGCAACCATCTTGACTTTAGCCTTTTCCCGCGAATATATCACTACAATCAGGACATACCTTGAGTGCACAGAAACCTCTGAAAGATATTGGGCCTCTTGTTGAATCTGTGTTCCTATATCCATTCCAGGATGACAGCTCCCTCTCAGGTCATAGTATCCAAATCCAAAAAGGAAACCGTCAAGGCTAAGAAGCTGAACCATACCCAAGGCGCGGAAGGCCGTGTGAAAGATACCAAGCCTCTATTTGAGTCGATATCCCTCAATATGAACTCCAAGACGACGGCCACCGCCAAGTTCAAAATATCCAAAGTCAAGAAACAAGGTAAAGCTGAGGTGAAGCCCAAGAAACTGGAGACGGCCTCATCCCAGAAGAGAGCGACACCATCCAAACCCATGTCACGACCATGTTCCCCGGAATTAGGAGCCATGCCGGATTGCTGGAGTTGTGCTGGGGAGCTGGGCGAGTACCCTCCGTGTAGCTGCGAAGAATGCGGGATGCCAAATTAAATTGGCTTCGTTATCTTTGCCTTCCTCTTTCTGTCTTTGGACTTATCCTATTTCTGTCATCCGTTTCTCCGTTTCTCCGTTTTTTTTTTCTTGGCCGGGTGTGCCTGTGGGCCACGGGACAACAGGGAATCTATTCAGCCTTTACGGATCACTTTTCTTCCGTTTATGTGGTAACTAAATATCCCTGGTTGTCGCATGGGATAATGATGATATCTTGCTAGGATTAGCAGGCCAACAGTGCGGGGGTGGGCTTTGGATTAGTTGATATTGCTAATCAGCCTGTCGTCCATGGAGCCGTCCGAATATGGGGTTTCCTCCACTTCTTTACTTTTCTTTTCTAGGCCATAAAACGCCTACGGCTCAAAGGAAATAGGGATATGGATGGTATTAGCACTACGCCACAATCCAAGCACGATTTAAAATTACATCCCGTCGCGGAGGGCACAGACTGGCAGCCACTTTTCGACCATTTCTTCCTTACGGGTTTTCGGCACCTGCTCTCAGGGTCGGATTCGCCTAGTAGTTCATTGCTCTGACCTGGATGCCTGTCAGATACATACATACTTAGAAGAAAAAGCTAACTAGGTCAGGTGAGGGGTTGCCAGTCTCAGGGTCATGCCTGCAAACGCAAGTGCGAGATCCCGACGTCTGAATATGCAGCATCTAGTTTTCGGATGCTGTTGACGCCCGACAGCCTACCCAAGGACAGTCACATCAAGGGCGTAAAATGACCCCAGAATTTACAATTGCTAATCACGGCATATCTGCGAGGTCAACGTCAGTATCTCCGTGTATACATATCAGCTAACGGGTTGGGGTCTAGTGGCAACAGTCGGGAAGGCCCTGGAACGTCTGGAAGTGGACCATATCACTTAGGACACCGACCGACCATATAGCAGACTGCGAAAATAGTCAACCGTCAGCTAATATATCCTGTAGGGAATACCCCATACCGAAGCTGCAGTCATCCATTGTGGATATGGCAAACCCATTAGGATTGCAATCTGGTCTACAGCTTGACAGCCTGGCAACCTAACTTGACCACCTTCCCCGGCTTTGGCACGGCAACCTGTTGGATGAAGGATGATAATGATGATGCCATGCATGGCCGGGGATGATAGCCAACGGTCTTGCTGGCGAGGTAGGGATTATTTCATCTCAGCGCCATCTACCCTTCCAGGCAAGTATTTCCGTCCCGCCTTCGCAATGTCCTCCACACTCTGACCCTTCGTAAGAAGTTCCATCAGAGTAGCCAGGGGTAACCGCACTAATATCAGTCTACTAGTGACTAGCGCCCCTGAACTTCCGTACTTGCGCAAAGGGTCCGTTCATGCAGAAAATCTGGCGTGCCACAGCCACCTGCGGACGAAGATGAACATGGAAGTTCAAGTTTGAAGGTGGTTGGTGGGGGTGCTACATGGCTGAATCGTTGCCAATATCCTCATTCCAGCCTGTTGGATTCTCCCCGAGCCGCCTAATGTCGATCGAACGCTGCCATCCTCGAGCATCGCCTTGACCACATTCATGTATCTCCCATTCTCCATGATTGCTTGTCCCGCTGAGGGTTTGAATCCTGGTCGGCGAGATGGAGATATCGACACTAGGCTACTTAGAGGAGGTCAACAGTGTGATCACGGAAGACTTTGCAAGGAAAGCAGAAACAAAGTCAAAAAATCCCACTTTTAGCCACCAATGGCTGTGGAAGGATCTGCGACATTAGTCTGCAGCTTTAAAGTCTATCACGTAAGTACAACTTCACATGCGGGGAGAGGCTATCTGAATTCTGCGGAGATCATGCGAGAAGGCAGCAGCCGTTCGTCGTTCGCCGTTCTAGAGACGGATCGAAGGAACGGATTTGCACTACTGCTGTCACTAACTAATGTGATCTCTCAAGCCTTCTAATTCCTCCGGAAGTTTCGAACAGCCGAGTGACGACACTGCAATATCTTTGACCGCTCGTAACGAAATTGAACGAGGGATTGGAATCCCCACTTGGGTCAATATCGTTCCTCTATCTTTCCTGACTCCGTACATATATATGGAGATGTTAACTTGGCAGAAGCCCCGGAGATAGAAAGCCCTTTGGTCCAGGGCCCGGAAAACAAGCACTAAGAATGCAACCCAAGTATCAAAACCCAGCTCTGGGATGGCGACAACGGCGGATGGGATCTCGTAAATCAGGAACTTTATGGATTGCCTTTTACCTTGCGCATCCTGGCCACCCTTGGCATGGAACATTTTGGCATCGCTTATTTCTTCAGTTCGCTTCCATGCTTCCATCAGCCTTCCTCCCCGCTGCACCGTCACGAATACCCCAGGTTCTAGCGCCTGAGGGTCCTCAAGGTCTCAGTCCTCTTCTCCATTACAATGCTATATGCGTTGGGGAACCCGCCACGGTTAACTGCGGGCCTGCAAGTATCCTACATCGTGACCAGATGGCAAACCATCCTGAGATTGGACAGAGACCTGTCACTAGATTGCATGGTTACCCGGTAATTGCTTTTATCCTCCCCAGAAAGGCTTTAGCCCTCCTACCGTATTGTGATGTTGCAATCTGCGGGACCCTTGGGACAGATCATGGGCCCTCAGGATACCCCTTGCAACTTCCAGATAGCGATAGAGAATAGAGATAATACTGGCGATATTAACTTTGTTTCTCTGGGGGGCATGTGGTATACCCCGTATTGTGCCGAGGAGTCTGATAGAAGAATACGCTCTACTATAAAGATGGCCATCCGTCTTCATACGCTCTAGAAATATTTCCTTTCCATTCCCCAGCCAAAGATCATCCCTATCTCCACACAAGAACAATCTAGAATTGGTCAAGATGAAGTTCTCCGTCTCCGTTTCGCTGCTCGCAGCAGCAGGCCTTGCCTCTGCCGCCAACGAGTTTGCCATGAACAGATTGATGTCCATGAAGATGGCTGATCGTCAAGAATACAGGAACAAAGGAATGTACCACCCTGGACGATACAACAGCACAAACCGATTCGTTCCTTGCAGACAGGGCAAGGCTGGAGAATACTCTTGCGACAAAGTAAACCAGCACGGTTTCCTAACCCATGAGCAAATGGGTAGCACCACCCGCGAGGGTAACGATGTCTGGGGTGAGTCTACTTTCATCATTCTCGAGCCGATGATATATGATCTGATTGCTGATTCATTTCACAGGCTGGACCTCAAGAGATGGACGTGAGTTCGGTGCCGTCGGCCAAACTGATGGAACCGCCTTCGTTGAGATCTTGAAGAACGGAGTACTCGAGTACAAGGGCAGACTACCAACCCAGACCAAGCCCAGCATCTGGCGTGACATGAAGGTCATTGACGGATTCGTCTACATCGGAGCTGAAGCTCCTGACCACGGTCTCCAGATCTTCGACATGCGCAAGGTAAGCTATTTGAATCAGTGTTGCGGTGTCGGGTCCACAATGTGAATATTGTTGCTAATGATCCATAATAGCTTCTCGATGTCAAGACACCAAAGGTCTTCTCCATCAAGGACGATGTTACCGCTTGGTTCGGTGGCTTCGGTAGCTCCCACAACATTGTTGCCCACGAGGAGACCAAGATGATCTATGCCGTTGGAACAGGCAGAAAGACCGAGTGCGCCGGTGGTCTGTTCATGGTCGATGTTTCCGACCCAAGCAAGCCAACTTCCCCTGGCTGCGCCAACTCTGATGGATACGTCCACGACGGTAAGCGCTTCTACTGCAAACCTTCAACCAGCGTCATAATACTAATATATCCCACTTAGCTCAATGCGTTACCTACACTGGCCCAGACACCCAACACAAGGGCAAGCAAATTTGCTTCGGCTACAACGAAGATTCCCTCACCATCTACGACGTCACTGATAAGCACAGCCCAAAGATCATCTCCAAGACTCCCTACCAGGGCTCTGCCTACACCCACCAGGGATGGCTCGCCGACCCAAAGAAGATGACCTATCTCCTCCTTGACGACGAGCTCGATGAGAAGGACGGAACTGCCCCAGGCAAGAACCACACCACCACCTACATCTTCGACATCAAGGAACTCGCCAAGCCAAAATACACCGGTTTCTACCAATCCCCAGCTCAATCCATTGACCACAACCAGTACGTTGTCAACGGCCTAACCTACCAGTCCAACTACGGCTCTGGTCTCCGAATCGTCGACATCAGCTCCGTCGAGAAGAAGCCAGATGGCTCTCAGTTCAAGCAGGTCGGTTTCTTCGACTGCCACCCAGAGGATGACGCCAAGAACGGAGAAGTTTCCTTCCACGGAAGCTGGAGCACCTACCCTTACTTCAAGAGCGGATATATCCTCCTGAACAGTATTGAGCGTGGTGTGTACTCCCTCCGATACACCGGACGAGGAGCTCGCGGTGGCTACTAAACTAGCCAGGACAGCGGCTGGCCGTCCTCTTTGTCTTGCTATTTTTAAAAATATCCAGGCATGTAAATAGTTATATAAATAAATTCAGGAACATTATTTTCCCATTCCGCTCCTTAGTTTTCAATGTTGAAGTTTAAATATTTTTTTATGGACTTCTGTCTTGATAGTCGTTTTATTTTACTAAGAAAAAACACATCATGTTGTGCTCTTTGATACAACTATCGAGAATGATGTCTACACTAACGCACTACCCGGTCCAATTAAGGATAATGGAAGGTATATAACCGGTTAGACAGAAAGCTCGGTGACCATGAATCTCCTTAAATTCCTGGATACTCTTGGGCACGAAGTTGAGGATGCCGAACAAGGTACGTAACTCAGACCCTTAAGAGTACTTGGGTTTATGTACTTTGGCTTACCCGCGACTAGATGCTTTTATCCAATTCTCAAAGCCAATACCCTCAATTGATCTGGGATTTGTCGACCCTCGATCAAACAATGTAGAGGTTACCATTAACGGAGAGGAGTTCGCAATCCGTCAGTCCCCGACACTTTTATCCTCGACACGAGCAGGCGGAACTACAGGTGCAGGTATGTTTACACCATTCACAATTTCCTATATTATATATACATATATATATAATATAGCATCTAGTCAATTGACCAATGTGTTACAGTTCTCTGGCAAGTTACACCTCGGCTTGCAGAATGGCTCTGCAAGAACGAGAATCCGCTATGGAAGTCATCCCTTCTTGACCAGGATTCAACCGTTGCCGAGCTAGGATGTGGCATTTCAGGCCTCCTTGCGCTATCTCTAGGCCCGAAAGTTGGCAACTACATTGCAACTGATCAGGAATACGTTCGAAAACTATTCAATGAGAATGTTCAGGCCAATATGGCTCGTGGTACTGGTACCTCGGCAAATGAAGGACGAAACGAATCAGGTAAAAAGGCAAGTAGCCATAGTCGAAAGCAGAGACAGGTTGAGAAACGGCATCAACGGGAGCGCCAAAATAGAAGGGATAGTCCGCATCAGAGAGATGACCAAAATGCCAATGATGTCGATAAGATCATTTTTGTGGTGTTAGATTGGGAGCTGGATTCGCCCTGCATGTTGAAGCGTTCGATTGTCTCTGACGAGAGTAACGCGGCTGACTTGGGGTTTGACCTTGTGATTGCATGCGACTGTATCTATAATGACGCGTTGATTTCGCCCTTTGTCAGTACATGTGCTGATATATGCCGACTACGTCCGACGTTGAGCTCGATATCTGGAGCCGATGACTATGGGAAATTTGAGGAAGAGTCGGTTGCTCAAAAACCGACGATATGTATTGTTGGCCAACAGCTGAGGTCGCATGAGGTGTTTGAGGATTGGTTACGGGAGACGCTGGGCGAGTTCAGGGTGTGGAGGGTTAGAGATGAGGTTGCCGGGCCTGCTCTGGGTTCCGGATCGGGGTATATCGTGCACATACTTGTTTTGAGAGGTGAGGAGGTTGAGTAGTGCGGATTCGAGGATAACTTACGTTTGTTGTATAGAGTTGTTTCACGATTGCAGTTGCAAATAGATAGATAGATAAACGAGGGAGGTTTTAGCAAATAGAAGGCTGAAAAGGTTCATCCACCTTATGATTAGGTTGTTATTTATATACATGGAGTGGAGAATGGTGTTTTTTGGTGGTTCATTCAATCAGTAACCGCACAAGGCGACGGACAGAAAACAAAGCGCCTCTTCCTTTTCAGTTGCCATGGCCAGCAATGTGACAGACTGGCCTGTCAAAATCAATCGCGAACTCCTCGCCGATCCCTAACCGATGCATAAAGCTGAGATCATGAGTAATGGAAGTAGTAGTGAACAATAAAAGGTGGGAAATGGTTGAGGAAAGGATTCGAATAAATAACTCCAACATCTGTAGATGTGTATAGCACAAGATAATATGGGGGAAAAACAGCTGATGATACACGTACATGACAGTTAACCCAAGTCACACCAAGTTAAATGGAAACATTAATAAAACAGATGAAAGAAAGGGGAAGTCTAGAGAAGCAGAATATTTTGAGTGGATGGGTGGGTGTGGAGGATGGGAGAATTTCAATTCAAAGCAATTTTGAGGGAATTTATTGCTTCTTCTCACCCTCACCAGCTGGTGGGGCGTCAGCGCCGCCCTGTGGTGGCTGCTGTTGGCTCTCCTCGTTGCGGGCCTTGTGCATCTTGTCGAAGAGGGTCAAGGAAGAGGTCTGGAGGTCGTCCACCTTAGCCTTCAACTCCTCGGCAGTCAGGGAAGATTCACCAGCCTGGCATTTGGCAACAATCTCTCGGAGAGCAGCAATCTTCTCGGAGATCTGAGTGGCCTCAGTCTTGTCGAGCTTATCTTCGAACTCCTTGAGGGCCTTGTCGGTATCGTTCAAGACACTGTCAGCACGGTTGGCACCCTCAATGATGGCCTTGCGCTCAATATCCTGGGCACGGTAAGTCTCAGCATCATCAACCATGTTCTGGATCTCAGAGTCAGAGAGACCAGAGCCGGAAGCAATGGTGATGGACTGATCCTTGTTGGTGGACTTGTCCTTGGCGTGGACGTGGACGATGGAGTCGGCATCAATGTCGAAGGTGACTTCGATTTGTGGGACACCACGGTGAGCTGGTGGAATGCCAACAAGCTGGAAGTTTCCAAGCAACTTGTTGTCACGGACGAGCTCACGCTCACCCTGGTACACCTTGATCTCGACGGCAGTCTGGAAATCAGCGGCGGTGGAGAAGGTCTGAGACTTCTTGGTAGGGATGGTGGTGTTACGGTTGATCAGACGGGTGAAGACACCGCCGAGGGTCTCAATACCGAGGGAGAGAGGAGTGACATCGAGAAGCAAGACATCAGTGACTTCACCAGCAAGGACAGCACCCTGGATAGCAGCACCAATGGCAACGGCCTCGTCGGGGTTAACAGACTTGGCGGGTTCACGGCCGAAGATGCTCTTGACGGACTCGGTGACCTTGGGCATACGGGTCATACCACCAACCAAGATAACTTCCTGGATATCCTTGGCCTGGAGGTTAGCATCCTTCAGGGCCTTGCGGACTGGCTCGATAGTGCGCTGGATCAGAGGGTCAACGAGGGCCTCGAGCTGGGCACGGGTGAGCTTGGAGTTGATGTGCTTAGCACCGGAGGCATCGGCAGTGATGAAGGGAAGGTTGATATCGGTCTGGGAGGCAGAGGACAGTTCCATCTTGGCCTTCTCAGCGGCTTCACGGATACGCTGGATGGCCATGCGGTCACCGGAGAGGTCGAGGCCAGAGTCCTTCTTGAACTGTTGGACGATGCTGCGGACGAGAGTGATATCGAAATCTTCTCCACCGAGATGGGTGTCTCCGTTGGTGGACTTGACCTCAAACACACCCTTCTGGATCTCGAGAATGGAGATATCGAAAGTACCACCACCAAGATCGTAAACAGCGATGACACGATCCTGCTCCTTCTCAAGACCGTATGCAAGGGCAGCAGCAGTGGGCTCGTTCACGACACGGAGGACGTTAAGACCAGCAATTTGACCAGCATCTTTGGTAGCCTGACGTTGAGAATCGTTGAAGTAGGCAGGGACAGTAACGACACCGTTCTTGATTGGCTTGTTGAGGTAACCCTCAGCGGTCTCCTTCATCTTCTGGAGGACGAAGCCACCAATCTGAGATGGGGAGTATTTCTGGCCCTGGGCCTCAACCCAGGCGTCACCGTTGGTGTGTTGGACGATCTTGTAAGGAACCTCCTGGAGATCTCGCTGGCACTCAGCATCGGTGAATTTACGACCGATCAATCGCTTGGTGGCGAAGAGAGTGTTCTCAGGGTTGACGACGGCTTGACGCTTGGCAGCAACACCGACAAGGCGCTCGCCATCCTTGGTGAAAGCAACGACGGAGGGTGTGGTTCGTGTTCCTGATGTTCCGTTAGCAGCTTGTTGATGAAACAGGGGAATGCAAAATTTTTTTTTTTCGCTCGTCTCTTACCTTCAGAGTTTTCCATAATTTTTGGGGTCTTTCCTTCCATAACAGCAACGGCAGAGTTGGTGGTACCTAGTACGAGCCAATTGTTAGAGTCAATGGTCGTCACAAAGGAACTCTTCTCCCCGGAGTGTATACAACATACCAAGATCAATACCGATGACCTGGCCCTTCACCTTCTCCTCACCACCTTCTGTCGAGTTCCATCTTCTGAATGGAGTAGATGGGACTCTGAATGCAGGAGAGCGAATGAATTGTGTTGGGACGCGAGGAGCCTGGACAAGGAGACGTCAGTACAAGACCATGGTGAGCTTTGGAGCTTGCTGGAGCTAGCTACTTACCGCGCGACAGAATCTTGAAGCAATCATTATGTGAAGAGGAGTATATTAAATAGCACAAACAAGAAGGTAAAGGCGTAATTGGCGAGTGTGAGGAGTGTCAAAGGGGAAGAGGGTGATGGTGAAGAAGATGGAGAAGATGGAGAATGAAGATGAAGATATAGAGAGCAAGGGAGAGGAAAGGAGGTCGAAGCTGCGAGAAAAATTTTCAGAAGAAGCCCGAAGAGCAGCGCCGCTAGTCCATATCGGGAAAAGGCGGTCCGTAGAAACCGGCAGAAAAAACGTGACCTGTATTGGCGCTGACTAATATGTTATTAACACACACGTGACCATATACACGTGACCAGCAGCTCGGGCCAACCTTGCCATTTACTTTTCCCCAGCTTCCTCCGTCATCGAGCTCGCCTCCGTCCAGGACGTCGAACCGACAGCAGAGGCACAGCACACGCGGACAGGAGCCGACTACGAGACGCGAACGGTCGAGCAACGGGTATATCTTGGATATACGACGACGGTCTGACGCCGCACTTGTCTTGCCTGTCGCTGTTGGCGGGTGGTAGCAACTGAGCCTGGCACGCGAGTCTTGCCTGGGCCGGACACCCCCCCATGTACTCCCCTCCGCCCGTCCATCATGGCTCTCGACACCGAGTTACTGTGCGTACTGAAGTTGTGTGCTCCAGTGGACCATTAGCCGCCTGCACCGTTTGCTGACATGTTGCCTGTGCAGTTACCGATCCACTGAATCGCTTGTCTTGCCGACTGGTCGGCGCTTCTTCCCGTTCAAGATCCCCAATTCGTCAGTGTTCACTCCTTAAATGGCCGTCTGGAGATGACGAGGAATTGGCAACAGGGATTGACAGTTTAACTTTCCTTCTCTTTTTTGTAGACACCACCAGCTCCGTCACTATATCAGCACGGCTGATCCGGATCGGATATATGTCGCCGTCGGGAGAATAATATACGCCATCCATATCTCGTCGCAGAAGAGGGAGATCCTCACCATCGTTCCCTTCGATCCGAAATGTCTGACTGCCGGAAACGGTTGGATTGGCGTAGGCGGGACCGAGAGCGGGGATTGCGCCTTTATCAAGCTGGATGCGGCAGCGACCCTTCAGTTGCCCGGAACAGCCGCACCGGGCTCCCCTGTCGGCGTTGACTCCCCGCTTCCTCTCGATCTAGATACGCCTATACCGCGGAGAACTCTCCCTTATCCCCCTAGTGAGCACCGCATCCGCGTCTCTCCCATCGTGAGAGCATAGAGTTCTAACTGCCTCTAGATGTCAATGTGCGCGAACTTGGGGGCAGTATCGTCAATTCCGTGACCCTTCACCGGCTCCCATCGGATGGAGATTTGTTTCTCGAGGAGGATATTGCGGTCTTGAGGTGCGCCTGTAACTGTCACCCTGGAGATATCATAACTGACTTGGTGAGGGTAGTAATAATGATACGACCGTGAGCATATTCTCACTTCCCCGGATGGAAGTTATCGAAACCATTCGTCACCCCGTATGCATGAACTTTGCCATCATCTCTCCTGATTCAAGACTGCTTGCAGCAGTAGGCGACGAGAATAGGATATACTTCTACCGGGTCATACCTTCTCCCGACAAGCAAACGGCCGTTTCGACTGATGGGGATAAACTACTTCGGGAATGGAACTGGCCGCTGCTTCGAAGCGTTGAATTAGACTCAGATCCTAATTACGACGACAGATGCTGCTTCACCATTGCTTTTTCGCCCTCTAGCCACTTATGTGCTGTTGCTTCACAGGCTGGCGTGATAACAGTGTTTAGCGTTGAGGGCATATTCAGGCCCGACCTCACTGGAAGAACCGGACGAGAAGACATCCTTTATGTCTTTAGGTCTTCTCGATCGTGCTTCGATGGCGGTGCTATCCGCTGTATGACCTTTTCACCTGAACCCTGGGATCTCTTGGTCTGGGTTGAAGACCATGGTCGTGCCGGCGTGGCTGACGTCCGTCAGGCCTTTTCACGGCGTCAAATTATCAGTCTCGATATAGACGATCCAGAACTAGAGCGCATTAAAACTGACAACCTCGACAAACCGGAGCCAGAAGACGATCTACTTAGTAGGCCAGAGTCTGCAGCATATCATGCCCAGGCACACAGGCTGCTTGAAGTTGATGACCCTGTTCAGCGCGCCCTGGACTCTAACCGATACAGGCGTAGAAGAACCTCAGCTGAGACAGAAAGCCAAATCATGCGCGAAAGTTTGGCTCGCGATCTCACCGCAAGGGAGAGACAGATTATTGATTTCCTAAATACAGCTCGTTGGGCGTCATCTATTGAAGAAGGTCCCCAGCGACTTCCACATTTACTTAGCCCCTTACCTTACTCTAGTTCACCCGCATACCAACGGGCCTCAAACCAAACGTCCGATTCACCACCACCCCCGCCGCCGCCATTCCCTCCTCCAGATCATTATCTCACCCGCCAAGACTCGTCTCGCAACCCAGATAGGCCGCGAATTGGGGCTCCTCGAAGACGGAGCTCCATTGTGTTGTCCCAGGATAGTCCAGGCCGCGCAAACGTACACACGTCTTCTTCTGCGTTAATCCCTCATCCAGGAATTTCGCTGAGATGGCCCTATTCACCGAACCAACTGCCTGCGCCGGGTGATGACCCGGAAAACTTGAGTATGGACGACGAGTTCCCCCATATAGCCTCCCCAAACCAAGATGGTGTTCAGACCGGTCCATCCAGCTCTAGCTATCGTGGCTCCAGAGGACAGCACCCAGAAGATGCACCATCCGGTAGCCGCCCGACCGTAGGTCAACGCCAGCGTCTTACACGGTCACGGTCAATACCCCGTCGCGCCGATAGGGCTCCTCGGGTTCCCGGCGAACGTCCAGAGCCGCGAAATCCAACGGACTCGGAACTGAGATCCACACTGGCTCAGGAGCGCCTACGAGCGCAACGACAAGTTGCCGTGGAAGAGAGCCAGCGCTTGGGCGAATGGGAACAACAATACCGACGTGTCCTGGAGCTCGACAACATTCGATCAAACCCTAGAGTCCGGAATCTACCAGGCGAAATATACGGGAACCGAGAATCCGGGTGGGGTGTCGGAACGGCCGGTGTTGGATGGAGTGGTGACGGTCGAACACTGTGAGTCTTTATGTTTTAACTCTTTTTGCTGATACTTCTAGTCAATTGTAATGCTGACGGATGACAAGATATATCGGCACGGTACAAGGAATCTTCGAATACCACATTAATGTGCTAGATCGGAAGACCTTCCCAGCTTTCTCCTGCAGGTAACGCAACTGCCCGCATTGGCAGAGTAAATACGTTCAGGCTAGCATGATTAAGAATGCTCCATATCCTTTTGAACTTATCAATAGCCAAATGGACTTGGAAACAGTCAAAATCTCAGTCGGATAGGCGGCTTTGGTCCGTTGGTAAATAACTTCAACGATTTATGGTATGCTCTTGTTTTTTAGTGTCCCCTTTGTTAAATTATTTTTGTTTATCACTTTTCACGGCCCCGCAGGAGCCAGATTTATCCTGCTCTGTGGACATTCTTTCTTCGTATGGTGCTTTTGGTGCATGGAGGTGGATGGGATTTGCTATGAATTTTATCAGGGACGCATGGATCAACGCCGAATCCATCCGTATACCGACTATCTCTTTGCGTTCTTGCGTTCTGCTACTTTATAAAAGTTCTAACCTAATCTAATGAATCATTCTATTGCTTATGTTCAATGACTGGATCCTCGTAACAGCGCAGCGTCAAACCCGAGGATGGGTGATTTTAGTTCCGCCTAGGGGTCATTTGATCCCCTGTAGCCTCCTTATCATAGGCTCATGGTCCCCCCTTGCTGCAGCGGCACGAACCGCAACGTTGGCATATTCTCGATTAATGTCTGCGCAGTGTTCGAGGGGCAAGTACTCCCGTATTTGCACCGCCTTCTTATGTACGGCCTCCGATAAATGGCGCATGCAGTAGGTCGTCAAACTCGCTTATAGCCAGGCGGAGGTCATCAGGCCCCATCGCCGTCTTTACAACCCTGTAGTTAACAGTCGGATGCATACAGTAGCATTCTATCGTCGCTCAACTAGAAACAAGAGACAGATCTATAAATAATAACCAGACGGGCTGAAAAGCATAAAAATAGCCAATTTTATCCTTGATGTGAAGCACTTGATGCAAGATAGAGAACTCGCACAACCCCCGAGCATAGGTGTTCATGCTCACCAAGTAGCTATTCAATAGTTATTCTTCATGCCTCAACCCCCGTCCTAGTCACAGCTCAAATAATTGTCGAGCGCTACGAGCAGCGACACAAATGGGCGCAGAGTCCAGGGCGAAAACTGCCTAATGACAGGGATGGAGGCTCCTAAGGCGAATTCTCGCCAATGCCTGCAGCTAGTAACGAAGCTCGCTAAGGCCCTCAGCCTCGCTGCACCCTCCCGCATGAGGCTCCTCAGGCGTTGGAAATAAAAGCTTGAGCTGCCCCGAGTATGGAGAATGCTGATCGGCAGGTCAAGTCGATTTCTCCCAAGTATAACTGCGGAGGTTCTCCGTCAAAACTTCGGTTGGTATCTAGTCCATTCCACTGTTTTTGATGTTCGTCGCTGATATGTTGTTATAGCTGAACTATCGACGGTTTTACTGAGCCTACTCGTGGCCAGTTTGATCCCTGCTGCGCTATAAATCGGTTCAGCAGGCGCATCGCTCCGAATTGGACGGCCGTCTCTGCGACGATGTCGGTAATTAAGGTCGTACAAGGGTTCAGCCTCACCAATCGATGGCTCCTGTACACCAGTATGATGTTGGCTCCGGCCCAATATTGTTCTGGAATCGGCAACAACTGCCCCAGCAACATTGGCTTCCTGGCGTATAACTGGTATACACAAGTCCAATGGTACCAGGCGGTTCGTGCGAAACAGCTACATGCACTTGCCCTGTTACCGGTTCACTTCAATTTGATCTATGCCGTGACGTACCTGGGCGGCGTTTCCTCCGGCAACATTGTGATGGCTACCATCCTCGGGTTGGGCTCAGCGGGAGTTATGATCCTAAATACTGTTTCTGCTTGGATCAGCTGGAATACAAACCTACGAGAGGGCTTTGGGGAATACCAGTTCTTCTTCTTTGGATGGCGAACCCTAACCCGTGGTTGGCATATATTCTTCCTCCTATGGCAGATCAGTGATTCAATGATCGCGTTGTCCTTCCTTATAATCGCCGGCCGTCTAAGTTATGCCGCGCTGAATTATCGTGAGGACCCGGAGAAGAAACAGCCGTGGTATCTCAATAAATACATTCAGATTCCGCTCGGAGCCGCCGTTGTTATGCTATTCTTTGGCTGGGTGCTCATCCTGTGGACGGAACTTATCGTGGCTCGGAACCACATCGAGTCGGACACAGATATGGTCGCTGTATACCTCTTCATTGCGCAAGTCGTACCCATGCTATTGCCCAAAGCTTCGACTATCTTTGGATGTTTGCCTGGTGTATTCAAGCGCTCTTCAAAATCCGCAGAACCTCCAAAATAGTCAGGTAAGAGTCCCAGAGAATCCGTGTGAGGGTCGTATATTAACAAAATGAACCAGCTCAAAAGCTTGACTTCAATCGTACACGCATTGTATATGGTCAATATAACGAAACATGATATACATATTTGAAAGAGGCGGGAAAGTCGACGATGTTCCTTTGGATACCGAAGGTTTGCTCCGATGCAGAATATAACCGTGAATCCGATTTTCCAACAAGCTGCATTTTTCGACCAACCAAATGCCTTGTATTACTCCGCTTTATATATATAATTTGGTGAGAGTTCGGCTCAGTGTCCAGTTCCATGGAAGAATTGGCCTCCTTTCACCAGCATGAACTAGAACTTCAGCATGCATGTCATCCACTCTATGATGGATTATTTGTCCCTTGCCTTGTTCGACGACCTGATCCTATAAGATCTTTGCTTGCAATATTGCAGCTGGGGTTTCCTCTGTCACCTTCTAATTCCTCAACAACGGAGTTCTTTGCTAGCACCAAAATCGGTAACTAGAATAATCATTCATGGGCCATAGGCTTGATGTACCGTATTTTCACCCCATGCTGACCGGGGTTTTGCGTTTAACCGAGCTCGACCTTCGTTAAATATATCGCGCCAACTCGAATAAATAATTCATCCAGACCAAATGATACTTTTGGTAGGCGGGGTTAGTGGGATACAAGGCCTAGTTATGTTTGACTGATCTCTCATAGCTAAGCGCCCAGGGGCCGTGAATATAACATTATAAGTCTGACTGGAACGGCGATGTAAGAAGAAAACCGTTACTTGTCAACGTTCCAGGGAGTTGGATGTATGAAGTTGGTTTTAAAAGTCCAGAGACGTCCGTGAAAGTGAATTAATCACGTGACCATATACCCGAGTTCCTTCTTTGATATATGTCCATCTAAAAGACCACTCACTACAGATCTAACAAACAAACTACTTCGCCTTGGGACATTGGATAGCTGCTACTCATAAGTTGGTTATGGAATTTACAATAACAAAGTAACTGCCATCACAAACCAACCCAGACCTTGGGTTCAATGCACGGCCGTTATGACAGATAAGATTGCCGCTGCGATGCAGCAAGTTAAAATAAATATGAATGGTATAGATCCAGAAGGAGACCTTGATGCTTGGGCTGAGAGCGATTTTTCAGATAAGCCTCGTAGCCGCAAAGTGCAGCTGGCCGACGACCTCAAAGCAGAGCTAGAGAGAGATTTCTTAATCCCATCTCCACGATTTAATACTCACTGGCTTAATAAACTTCAAAAGTGAGTTATTCCACGCATCAAGGTCAGAGTGCACGAGGAAAATTAGATATGTTGCTCACCTTACTCTCATATCAGGCGATGGGAGTTTTCGGCGGATTACTCGCATCTTTTTGAACTTGCACCAACTCAAAGTCGGACTATAATCCGGTTTAACCGTGAGGGGTTGGAGGGGCGAGTTACTGGATACCATGAAGTCACTGTTCCAGCTGGGAGTGCTACGGCAAAGAATTCCACCTCATTACGAAGAAAGCCTGCCAGTCGTGCGGATTTTGTGAGAGGAGCTGCAGGATTTTATCCATTTGTACCTGGTGGCCTTGAAGCAGTGGATGCTATTTCTGCGCTTGATGCCGAAGGCGAAATAGAAGAAGACCTAATGCTGGAAAATACCACCACGAAGCCGTCGGGACTGGATAGGATTATCAACTTTGGCTCTCAGGGTGGTTTATTGGAAATTCCCCCTGGTTTCACTCGTGGGCTAAAGTTTGAAACGGAAGCGGGTGAAGAGGCACAAAAGGATGCAAAGGAAGTCCGTGAAGTACTTGACCGTGATGAAGACACTGCCCTTGATTCATTATCAAGCCCTGAAATCCCAGAAACCGCGGGAAAATATGGTGTCGACGAGAATGATGAAGAATCGTCGAGCGGAGATGAAGAGGATATCGACTCTCTGCTGCCGGTAGAATATCCTGCTTTGGAACCCAGAGGGCAGCTTATTCAGTCCTCATTGAAAAAGGCTCGCAAGGAATGGGCTCATGTGGTGGACGTGAACAAAGAAATAACCAATTTCTACGAGCTAGTACCAGATATGGCCCGAGAGTATCCATTCGAGCTGGACACTTTTCAAAAGGAAGCCGTATATCATTTGGAAAATGGGGATTCTGTCTTCGTCGCTGCTCACACATCTGCTGGAAAGACAGTCGTGGCAGAATACGCGATTGCTTTAGCTAATAAGCATATGACGAAGGCGATATATACGTCTCCGATAAAGGCACTCAGTAACCAGAAATTCCGCGACTTCCGGAGCACTTTCGACGACGTTGGAATCTTGACTGGAGACATACAGATTAACCCCGAGGCAAGCTGTCTGATCATGACGACAGAAATTCTACGGAGTATGCTCTACCGAGGCGCGGATCTAATACGAGACGTGGAGTATGTCATCTTCGATGAAGTTCACTATGTTAATGATTTGGAAAGAGGAGTGGTATGGGAAGAGGTTATCATTATGCTACCTGAACACGTTAGCCTCATATTGCTATCTGCCACGGTCCCAAATACGTATGAGTTCGCCTCATGGGTGGGACGCACAAAGAAGAAAGATATTTATGTCATTTCTACTCCCAAGCGTCCAGTGCCACTCGAACATTACTTATGGGCTGGAAAATCTATACATAAGGTAGTAGATGCGGACAAAAGGTTCATTGAAAAAGGGTGGAAAGAGGCCGATGACATTCTCTCTGGCCGTGATAAAATAAAGGCACAAAAAGCAGCGGAGGCTCAAGGGGCCGCCCGGGGAGGGAAGCAGCCTGAGAGAGGGCGCGGCCAAGGCCAACGCGGAAACGGACAGCGCGGTACAGGACAGCGCGGTGGTTCGCAACAAAGGGGACGAGGACAGCCATCAGCTCGAGGAGTTGGAAATATTGCCAGGACAGGACGTGGTGGTGGCCGGACTTCTGCCGCTCAGGACCGAAATGTATGGGTACATCTCGTGCAGTATCTACGAAAACACGAAATGCTCCCTGCTTGCATTTTCGTGTTTTCTAAAAAGCGATGTGGAGAGAATGCGGATTCTCTTTCCAACCAGGATTTTTGCACTGCGTCTGATAAAAGTGCGATCCATATGATAGTAGAAAAATCGCTTACCCGGCTTAGGATTGAGGACAGAGATCTCCCTCAAATTCGCAAGGTGCGGGAACTTCTTAGCCGCGGTGTCGGCGTGCATCATGGAGGACTTCTTCCGATTGTAAAGGAGATTGTCGAAATACTCTTTGCGAAGGGGCTTGTCAAGATTCTCTTTGCAACAGAAACATTCGCCATGGGTTTGAACTTGCCTACTCGTACAGTGGTTTTCTCTGGATATCGGAAACACGATGGCAGAGCGTTCCGTGACCTTCTTGCCGGTGAATATACCCAAATGGCTGGCAGAGCTGGCCGTCGTGGACTTGACACTGTTGGGTCAGTAATCATAGTCACGTCTGGTCGCGATGAGGCTCCTCCCATTACCGCGTTAAGGAAAATGGTCCTTGGGGATCCCACAAAGCTACGATCCCAATTCCGGCTTACATATAATATGATGCTAAATCTTCTACGAGTCGAGGCATTGAAGATCGAGGAGATGATCAAGCGAAGTTTTAGCGAGAACGCCACTCAAGCACTCCTCCCAGAGCACCAGAAACAGGTACAATTGTCTGAAGCAAGTTTAGAAAAGATAAAACGAGAGCCATGCGCGATATGCGATATTGATTTAGCAGCCTGCCACCAGGCAGGTGTCGAATATGAACGTTTAACGTTTCAGCTGCATACCTTGCTCATGGCTTCTCCGGCCGGGAAGCGCATGTTTGCTGCAAAGCAGCTAATCGTGTTTAGAAAGGTAAGCGGGTAATTTCTGAATTATGTGACCACTGGGGCTAACCATTGATAACGATAGAATGGTGTGAGAACAGCAGGAATTCTGACAAAAGAAGGATTGAGTGGTGGTCCCGTAACTGGCTTGAATGTTTTCGAAATCGGCCCATTGGACCCTAGGCGACATCCAAGCGATATACTTCCGTACATGCCTGAGTTCAGACAGAACTTTCACCCATTGCCGTCGTCTCCGCAGGATATGATATTGAGGAGCTGCAAGGTACCACTCGCCAATCTTGAATGCGTAACGGCCACAACCGCGAAACTTGGGGGCCCAACTTGGTATTTAAACATCAAGAAAGGTTGGTTATTCCGAGTAGCCTGTAATGTTTATTAATTCCTGCTAACTGCCGTCACCAGAGGCATTGAAAGTGGCTGGGAAGGAGTTTTCGAAGTATGCCTTATCGTGGAAGGATAAATCCTGGGACGAGCTTGACTGGGGAAAAGTCAAGGATATGCCGGTTAGGGAGGTCTTGGACCAACGGTCACAGCAGGCCAAGCTTGCACAATCCTGTGCATGTCTGCAATGTCCACAGTTTTTGAAACATGTAGGTCTAATCCCCCGTGGTAAAGAGCAATGGAGTAGGCTAACCGTGTGGATAGTTTGAAATGCAACATGACGAATGGCAAGTGAAGGAGAATATCTCGCAGCTTAAGCAGCTGATGTCAGATCAGAACCTCCAGCTGCTGCCTGATTATGAGCAACGAATCCAGGTCCTGAAGGATCTGGGATTCGTCGATGAGGCCTGTAGGGTTCAGCTCAAAGGAAAAGTTGCCTGTGAAGTGAGGCCTCCCTATCTTTAATTACGATCCCGTGAATCTTGTTTGTTGACGAATGCATATATTAGATCCACTCGGCCGACGAACTCGTTCTCACCGAGCTCATTCTCGAAAACGTCCTGGCGGACTACGAGCCAGAGGAAATCGTCGCTCTCCTGTCTGCGTTTGTCTTCCAAGAGAAAACCGAAAACGAGCCAACGTTAACGCCGCGCCTGGAGGTCGGCAAGGAGGCGATAATCGCGATCTCCAACCGGGTCAACGACCTCCAGATCCAGCACCAGGTCGTGCTCTCGTCGGACGACGCAAACGACTTCGCGAGCAAACCACGGTTCAACCTGATGGAAGTCGTGTACGAGTGGGCGCGAGGGATGACGTTCAACCGCATCACGGACCTCACGGACGTGATGGAGGGCACTATCGTGCGGGTAATTAGTCGATTGGACGAGACCTGCCGCGAGGTCAAGAACGCCGCCAAGCTGGTTGGAGATCCATCCCTGTACAACAAGATGCAGCAGGCGCAGGAGATGATCAAGCGAGACGTTATCTTCGCCGCCTCGCTCTACCTCTAAGCAGCGTCACGGAGTACATAGACCATAGCAGCGTGCCAGTATCAACTCCCCCAAGCCCCTTTTTCCCATGTTCGATATCTGCCCGTTTAAGCTTGTCCGGCCGAAGTCAAAATAAAAGTTAGACCGCGATCAAAAATACAAGGGACGCCGTCACAGCGCGGTAAATACAAAGCCTCTACGCCAGATGTAGCCCAAAGTTACCGTATCGAGCGGTCCCTGTACCCAACTGTGGAAATAATAAGGCACCGCCAAAAAATCGTCCCCGCCAAATCTTTGTGCTTCAATTCAACACCGTTCGAAAATTAGAAATATAATAAAACTGCACTCTCCCGCGATCTATCCTCGGATCCTCCTGGAAGATCCCGCACGAGGCCAGCCTGACTCCGTGGCCCTCGCCGACTCCGCCTGACACCGCTCGATCGTGTGTAATCCGGCGCTAGGTCTGTCGCGAAATGGATGTCGCTACTCTCCGAGACCGTATACAGTCGACCCTAGACAGCAATGGGGACACCAGGCGACAGGCCGAATTGGACTTGAAATATGTGCGTGCTGGGCCGTTTCGAGCCGTCCCTTGGGATTTCACTCCTGCGCTGAATTGACGCTAACTTCGGTCTCTTATGTGTGTATATATATATAGGCTGAGAACCAGCCTGGTTTCCCAAACGCCCTCATCGATATCCTCGAAGCTGAACAGGATCCAGCAGTGCGCCTCTCGAGTAAGAATACGCCATCATCTAGAGATTCTCCGTCTGACCGATGAAAGCTGGACAATGACTTATCTGGGCTAACGTGGTTCTTGCGCAGCGGTTGTATACCTGAAGAATAGGATCACTCGGGGATGGGCGCCGGAGGAGGATCACTCGACTCACAAGTCTATACCTGAAGATGAGAGGCCGTCGCTGCGGAATCGCCTTATCCCTGTTCTCGCCTCCTCACCGCCTAACATACGGGCTCAGTTGATTCCAATCCTGGCCAAGATCTTGCAGTTTGACTTTCCAGAAAAATGGCCAGATTATATCGATATTACCCTCCAGCTCCTCAACGGCAGCGACGCCAACTCCGTCTTTGCCGGTCTCCAGTGCCTCCTAGCGATATGTAGGGTTTATCGATTCAAGGGTGGTGAGATGAGGGGTGACTTCGATAAAATTGTTGAAATTTCGTTTCCTCAGTTGTTGAATATTGGAACACGCCTTCTTGACGAAGAGAGCGTGGAGGCCGGGGAGATGCTAAGGACCGTTATCAAATCATTCAAAAACGCTATATACGTATGTGTTTTTTTCAGCCTCCCTCCCACGTTATGTGGAGGCCACCCTCACTAACTATGACCATAGTTTGAACTCCCGGTGGCCCTCACTGCCCACCAAGCAACAGTGGGCTGGTGCACGTTATTCTTAAGAGTGATAGGGAAGATCCCCCCGGCAAATTCTATGCAAGATGACACAGATGAACGGGAACAATCTCATTGGTGGAAGTGCAAAAAGTGGTCGTACGCCAATTTGAATCGTCTTTTTATTCGGTACGTCATGCTGTGGTATTTTTTTAGTACAATTTGGGTGGCTATTATTTGCCTCTTAGATTTATCTGTATCGCTAACCAGCATCTTTGTGCTAGTTATGGTAATCCTTCTGCGATTTCAAAATCAAGTACCCCTGAGTACACTGAATTTGCCAAGAACTTCATCACCACTTTCGCTCCCGAGATCCTGAATGGATACCTTCAGGAAATCGATAAGTGGGTTTCCAAGGGACAATGGTTGAGTAAACCATCTCTGTCGTATACCCTTATTTTCCTCCAGGAGTGTATCAAACCGAAGGTCACTTGGGAGATCCTGAAGCCCCATATGGAAAATCTCCTCGCACATTTCATCTTCCCAATTTTATGTTTATCAGACGATGATATTGAGATGTTCGAGGCCGACCCATCTGAGTATTTACACCGAAAGCTGAATGTCTACGAGGAGGTGACTGTCCCTGGAGTTGCTGCTACAAACTTCCTCGTTTCCCTCACCAAGACAAGAAAGAAGCAGACCTTCTCAATTCTCACGTTTGTAAACGGAATTGTCAGCAAGTATGAAGCTGCGCCCGATGGCCAGAAGCTACCCAGAGAAAAGGAGGGAGCTCTTCGCATGATTGGAACCCTTTCGTCTGTCATCCTGGGCAAGAAGAGCCCTATCGCAGATCAAGTGGAGTACTTCTTTGTTCGCCATGTTTTCCCCGAGTTCCGCAGTCCACACGGATACCTCCGTGCACGAGCCTGTGATACCCTGGAGAAGTTCGAGCAATTGGACTTCAAGGACCCTAGCAACCTCATGACGATCTATCGCAACATCTTGGACAGCCTGGCTGACCCTGATCTGCCCGTAAGGGTCGAGGCTGCCCTTGCGCTTCAACCATTAATCCGCCATAGCATAATCCGTACCTCGATGCGAACAAATATTCCTCAGATCATGCAACAACTCCTCAAGCTTGCTAACGAAGTCGACGTCGACGCTCTTACTAACGTCATGGAAGATTTTGTTGAAGTTTTCTCTGCTGAGCTGACCCCCTTCGCCGTTGCCTTGTGTGAACAACTCCGAGATACGTATATGCGTATCGTCCAGGGTCTTCTCGAAAGGAAGTCGAGCAAACCAGAGGATGATTTGTATGGCGATTTGCTAGATGACAAGAGCATCACGGCAATTGGTGTCTTGCAAACCATTGGTACTTTGATTCTTACATTGGAAAGCACTCCAGACGTCCTCCTGCACCTGGAAAGTGTCCTAATGCCTGTGATCACGATCACACTCGAAAACAAACTTTTTGGTTAGCAGATATCCCTACAATCACTACTCTACACTCGTCACTAATAACATGTTTAGATCTTTACAACGAGATTTTTGAGATCATCGACTCGTGCACTTTTACCGCCAAGTCCATCTCTCCGAGTATGTGGCAAGCGTTTGTGCTCATTCACAAGACATTCAAAGCTGGCGCTGAGCTGTATCTCGAAGGTTGGTACTTTCCTACAGGCGCTACGATTCTATAACAAAGTCCAGGGATTTTAATTGGCTAACTTTCTTTGCTATAGATATGCTCCCAGCCCTTGACAACTTCGTGACCTACGGCGCTGCTACGTTGGCACAAAACCCAGAATACCTAGCAGCAGTAGTCAGTATGGTCGAAGATATCTTCCGGGATGAGAAGAGCGGCGGTGTTGATAGGATCTGCGGATGCAAACTTGCAGAGGCTATCATGCTCAACTTGCGTGGTCATGCCGATCAGTATGTCCCCCTCTTCATTAGCCTGGCGATGCAAGTCTTGAGCAATGAAGAGACTCAGACCAAGTCGTACCTGATCCACTTGATGGAGATGGTCATAAATGCCATTTATTATAACCCGGGTCTCGCACTCCAAGTGCTGGAAGGCGGCCAGTGGACAAACAAGTTTTTCAGCACTTGGTTCTCGAACATTGATAGCTTTAAACGGGTCCACGACAAGAAACTATCGATTGTTGCAATCTGTGCTCTCTTGACTCTAAGGGCGGAGGACGTTCCGGCAAGCATTCAGCCAGGCTGGCCACGTCTTCTTCAAGGAGTAACTCGTTTATTCCAAACCCTACCAAATGCTATGAAGAGTAAGTACCTTCTCAGTCTATTCTATATCTAATGTAATACTAATGCAGTTGCAGTGCGAGATGAAGCTGCCAAAGAAGCTGATATCCCATATGATGACGACGATGAAGATGGTGACAACGACTGGAGCGGTCGTGACGTAGAGTGGACAGAGCAGGACGAAGCTGAGGGTGGAGAGGGCGATATTACGGATGAGAGCTCAGCCTACATTGAATTTTTGCATCAAGAGGTAAGTTTGCTCTTAAGTCCAATCTCAACTACAAAATGCATCTTGAAAACTAATGACAACTGCTTAGGCCCTTAAGATTGGCCATGTCCCTGACGATGATGACGAGGATGATCTTTATGAAGCAAGCTTGTTAGAGTCACCACTTGACAAGGTCGAACCATATAGCCTTTTCAAGAACGTGTTAATGAGTAAGTTGACCATCACCGCCTAATCCTAATGTTGCTGTTAGAACTAACGTTGCATCACAGGCCTTCAACATGAGCAACCGCATTTATATGAGAACCTGACCAAGATTTTGAACCCAGAGGAGCAGCAAATAATTCAAGGCGTAATCAACGAAGCTGCCTCACATGCACTGGCAGCCGAGAATGCGGAAAAAGCGAATGGTGGTTCTTAAAGGTATATAATGCTAATTACTTCCAAAAATTTCCACACCAAAAGAAAAAAACTTGAAACATACAAAAAAAAATAAGAATGTTTGACTTCTTCGGCCCTTAGATTGGGGGGTTTCATGCAATTTTGCTTTTATATCCCAGGACCCGATGTTTTAAACCGACCCCCTTAGCGTACCGAAATACAATACACATTTCACACAGCTTCTCACCATTCTCACACTGATTCTATATTTTTCGAGCTTTCTCCGCAAATCAATTTAGAATGTAACCAACAGCAAGCTCGCTGCTTTCTAAACCTGTCTACTTGACCAACCTAACTGGTTTGAGGCATTGACAAGGGAGAAAACTGTATATGTTCGATGCGGCCTTCATGTTATTGGATCCTGTTTCCCACAATGTGTATTATGTGGCAAGCACTCCTATTTGTCTACGCTGATTTCCTGCCAAGATATACGTCATACAGTTGAATCAGGATATCAAGAAGCCAAAAAGGGGAATAATGACGAAGATGCTGAACATAAATATATATAATCAAGAAGCGTTTCTCTCTAGCGATCTTCAATAGCCAACTTTCGCAAATTTCCGCGTTATCCGTTAGTCCAAACAATCGAGACATCTACTTCCAGAACCACGGTAGTAGACAGCCATATTCTACATATCAATAGCGTTTCTACCACACCACGGAACGAGAACCAAGCGAAGCTATAAGTCTAAGAAGTCCACGGGCGAAAGCAGCAAACATGTCAGCCCCAAGAGCAGGTCGCCAGTCACCCTCCCCGTCTCGACAGAGCGGTCGTCAGCAAGCCGATATCCCAACCTGGTCTGGCAAAGCTGAAGAGTCAGGCCATGGAGCCTCGTCCATTGAAAACCCAGCGGATACGCACGATCGTGACGCCGGTGTGGCAGGACTGAAGAGCAACCCAGTCCATCCACTTGCGGAGGCATCCCAATTGAAACACAGGAGACTTAGTGCGGACTTTGAGGGATTGGGGTCTCATGGCTATTAGATTAGCCTCATTTGTCATTATAAATAATACAGCGTGTATTCCATTGTGTCTATTTTATACGAGTTAATATCGGAAACTGGAGCTTTAATATTCAGCGCTCAGATTGGTTAGCTGGTATCATAGGTAGTCTGTTAAATTTATTTACCAATCGCCCGTTGAAACGATATTGGTCTGATTTCATTATGTACTATCGTAAATTTCATAACTGGTAACAGGTGAAGGGAAGGCCGACACATAGAGATACAAGAGGGGCATCACTGAAGTAAGCGTAGGAAAGCAATGTACTATTCTAGCTTCACTGCTTTTTTGGTTCAACGGTAGTGCCTGCAGCAGTTGCAGGGGCAGAAGGGTCACCGACTGGAACGCCGGTTGGGGCGGTTGGGGCACCCTCTGCAGTTTTTGAGTGCTCTCCCATGGCTGACTCTGGGGAAGAAGCCTTCTTCAAATCTGCGAGGCGGCGAGCTTCGGTGTGGATGTCTCTCACTTGCTTGTCGCTCTGGAGGTAGAAGTCTCTTATTTTTCGGCCAGTGGGGGTATCGAGAGCCTTCTCGAAGTAAGAGCTCAGTCCGCGCCATCCGCTAACAGCCTTGTCGGTGAGACCGTAGCTCTCGTCGATGCCCTTAGCCTTATCGGTGGCATGGTACTTGGTGTCGAAGTTTTGTAGAACGGCATTGAATCGTGCGGAAATACCATGGGTCTTGTCTAGGCCGATGGCCTTCTCGATGGCCTGGTCGCTAATTACGTAGCCGTGGGCGAGATATTCGGCAAAAATGCGAGAGCGTGGCTTATCTTCCTGCTCCAGGTGGTTGTTGGCTTCGTCTCTTGCTCCATGGGCTGTGGTGGCCTTTTCACCGGCCAATTGACCAATGCTTGGTGCAGCAGTGACATGGACTGCAGATGGGCCAAGTTGTGTTTGATCTAGCAGAAGAGCAGTCTTGGAGGCACTATAATGATAATACAGTTAGAATAATACTTATGAATATGAATTAAGAGCATATCTTACGTCTCTTTCTCGAATGATACGGTTGCTGACTGGGTAGCATCAGCTTCTCCGCTGCTTGGAGTGAGCGACAGCGAGGTGATTTTCCCACTAAACAGAGAGAAACCGTTAGAATTCGTGGTAAAACGATAGAGACTAGCTATACTCCTACTTACCAGAAGCTGAAGAAATCTCTGACCTCCTTTTCGGTGGTCTTGGGCGAGATGTTCGCGACGTGAACGGTGCTTGAAGACATGTTTGGGTCGTAGAAAGCAGTGATTCGATGTGAAAACGGTTTTAGGATAGATGCGATAAGTGTAAAGCGAATTAACAGGAGTAGATGGTATCTTGATGGACGTTACAACATTCGTGGGCTGCGGGTTGTATTTATATGCAACATAAACAATCGCGGGGCAAGGAGGACGAGGAGGGACAGGGAAAAAGAAATGCGCCACAAGTGACGTTGCTTAACTATACTAACTATAACTACTAACTAATTAACTAGGAAAGCCACACTTATGACGTCTATGTTAACATGTGAAGGATGCTGGCAGGAGGCAGTGCCCTGGCCGTCTTATATCGCCCTCCAGCAGGGATATACCACGGCAAATGGCCCAACATAGAGATCGGCCTCCAAGCCTAGAAGGAAAAAGAAAAAACACATCTTTGAACGAAGAGCCTTTCAATCCCTGACTGGCACCATATTAATTTCGTATATAGGCATCCTTGTCCCTGGTGCTCGGCAATTGCGAGTTAGACGTGGCGATGGTCTCTTAGAATCTTCTCGAGTTCTCGAACGCGGCGACGCAGGGATTCGTTCTCCCGCTTGACAACTTCGAGTTCAGCACGATGGCGCGCGGCCTCTTCATATCGCAGTGTACCTGATGCACTAGAGGCAGATTCTGACCGACGATGTTCCCGCGCACTCAGAGGTTGCGCCAGTGACGAGCGGTGGGAGTTATCTTCACGATTCTGAAGTGAAGGCGGGGATGAGATTTCAGGCTGGCGAGGAGATGAAGCAGAGGTTTCGCGGCTGAGGCTAGGACGCTGGATGTCTAGAGACTGCCGTGATGAAGATGGTGTACCGCCCTCTCGCGGTGGAATGATGCTGGTTAACGCAGCGACTGTGCTTCCGGGTACGTATGTAGTTCCGCCAGCCACGCTCCGGGAGCTCAGCGTTGAAGATGACCTATGGCGAGAAGTCGACCGGGGAGAGGCTACTGTGCTGTTACAATCGCCTGACTCGTTGACGTTTGTTGACGCTGACGAGGCTGTCGATGCCACGGATGCAGTCTGCGCGCGGAGGAGAGAGAGCTCTCGCGTGAGACGGTTTACCTATATGGCAGTTGGTATGCAAGTTAAGAGATTATAGGTCTATAGATGCATATACACACCGCTGCTTCTTGCTCTTTCTCCAGCTCTAGATGTATGTCTGATATGGTCATAGGTCTAGGATGGCGTAGCGGGCCTATCCGTATATGCCAGCCAGCTATCAGCATCTTCTTCTTGTTCATATATCGACAGCCTTCACTCACCTGGCCCGCTGCCAACTCCCGTATTATCGACTTGTACACTCCCGCTAGAGGGAGACACGGAGTGAGGTAATGGTGGAGGTCCCATCGACTGAGAAGCACCGCGAGACAACGACGATGGCCGTGAGTGATACGAGTGACCTGGTCCGTCTGCATGTCCATCGTTAACGGTATCTGACCCGATATCAAGGCCGGGAGCCATGGTAGATAGAGGCTTTGGTTAAACGGACACGCGTTAAGGATGGTAGAATATACACAAGACTATACGCCCGGTCAGTTCGTTTAGCAGTTTTTCTTCTTAACGCGCCTTGAAAGACGGTTCTATTGCTAGAATGTGATGGTTCGTAGCCGCAGGATGGATAGCATAGTCTTCAAACAGCAGAAGGGCAGAAGTTATTGTTCATTATCTATCTAAAGGTGGGAATAAATAGAAACTAGCTGTATCCTTCTTGGCTGCATAAGCCAGCCTTCTTCCATCACAGACGCCTTTGCAGCCCGAGAGACAAAAACATCCCGGAAGTTAGCTGCTGGCTGTTACTTGATGGACGTTCCAGCCAGCTGTCATGATGGGCTGGCTCGGTTGAGATCGGAACACATCACCTATTTAAATAAGAGATATCCCGTTACTCGTCTGTCTCGTATAAACAGGTGAAGTCATGAATGTTGGCATCTCCCTTCTGTTGAGATAGGTGTGAAGCTTTCACCCCGGTCTATCATCTATTTTTGATTCGAGCATGGATGGATAATACTAGCCACCTTCTCGCCTGTCTTCTTCGATAAAGATTCGATATCTTCTGTGCTATTAGTATTCGGGATTAAATAGTATAAAGTTTTGTTTTATACCACATTATCGTGCATGGGAAAGGATATGGAGCAGGAAGTGTTGCATGCTAGCAGACGTATCTATACAAAACCAACAATGGTAGGTAAAAAAGCAAAGAGTGTAGGAACAGGTTCAAAATAAGCCAAATTGAGAGTACCCTACCCAAAAAAGACACATACTTCCACCTCAAACTCCAGGGTTAGAAACAAGGTTATGCAAATTATCCTCAAGGCGCCATGATGCGCTCCCCCAATACCGATCAAATACCATCCATCACAGTCACAAGGAAAGAAACAAATGAGCCTGGGGCCAGAAAAGGCTGAAACTGGGAAATGGGAATGTCATTCAGGAAAGTAGAACAAGACGGTGTGGCGGTCGGGTATGGACCGGCTCAAGTCTTGTCTGTAAGGTCGAGAATGAGATTTCTCCCTAAACGGAACCCAGGGGGGACTGAGAAGAAACTTCAGCGGATTGGGATTGTGCTTCTTTCCCTTGCAAGGGACACTCCGGTGCCTTTGAGCTTTCGCACCGAGGGCCACAATTCTCAGCACCGTCAGCTGGGCTGCTGCAGGAAACTGGGTGATCTGGGTTCTCAGTATGTGTTTGGTCTGCGTTTTCAGCATCGCCAACCATAGCAGCGAGACTGCGGAAGTTAAACACGGCGTCAATGTTGGGGGTTGAGCCATTGGGAGTGCCGGTATCCTTCTGGTCGTCAAATGCGGATTCCACTAGAGATATGTCGGACGATGAGGCGCTTGAGTGCGGTCGTAGATGTGCTTTGGTTGAAGGGTCTGTGATGGAGGAGCTTCCAGGTAGGCTGGAGGAGGGTTCGCCCTCCAGAGGGGTCTTTATCATCAATCTAGGCTGTTCCTTTGATTTTTCTCCGTCCATTTGGTCAACTGTGCGGGCTACCCCCTTGCCCTTGTCTAACGAAGAGGTGTTCCCCGAAGACTCCGGTTCAAAGCTGGTGATGCCTGTCGCAAAAGGCGCAATGACTTCCAAAGGTGTATTATTTCCAATATTGCTGAAAGCTCCATTCTGGTTGCCAAACTTTTCAGCCTTCTTCGCCTCTTTGTCTCGTTTCTTAGCTTCCTTCTTAGCCTCCTTCTCCTCCTTTTTCCGCCTCTCTTCTTCAGAGGTAAGGCTGAGCCGGATAGCTTCCATCACCATCATCTCCTCTATTTCTTCTGCTCTGCTCCTTTCCCGTCTTGAGCTGGCCCTCGGAGGAGCCAGAGCGCCAGTAATTTCTTCGCCATTATTGCCAGTAGCCTCAGTTGCCCGTCTTTCAGCTAAATAAGCAAACGCATTAACGTGGGTTGAGGAGTTGTTATTTCGACTAGTTGGACTGTCATTTCCAGTCCCTCTACGTAGGAGAGTCCTCCTGCCAATACTTGCCAAGTTTCTTGATTCGCTGTTGGACCCGGGAGTGGTATTCACTAGGTATGCTGCAGTATGTAGAGCTGTGGCAGCAGCTGATCGTCTTGCAGCATTCGCCCGTGCAGTAGCTAGCTTCTGTGCCCAGTCGGGTCGAATCTTATCTGTTGTAATGACCCCTGGCGCGTCTGCAGACAAAGATGTGGCTCGTCGCCGGGACCCGTTCACTCCAGGACTTGCATTCGCTGAATTTAATGAACTTGACGACGACATCGGCGAAGCTACCGTTGCAAGAGGGTGAGCGTTGTGACCCGGGGCGTACGCGAGGCCCCGGCGGAATTGTGGTTGTGCATATGTTACACCAAACTCGGGCTGCACGCAAAACGGGCAGGCTGCTGGCTCGGTTACAAGTTGGTGGTCAGTGTCGTTAGACTGTGATTCAGCTTGCCGGGGTGGGTTTGTTCCCGGCTGCTCGTGTTCAGGAGGGTGCGGGTCTGCTCGTTTAATTTGCACGAAGCATTCAGAACAAATGGGTTGATCGCAACATCTCGTTTTGTTTAGGTATGGCGGATAGTAAAGGAAACAGATAGGGCATTCTATAGGGTCTTTATAGAGATAGACTTCGATCGGCTGGCCGTTCACAAATGGATCGTTAGGGAGCTGAAATTCACGAGGTGCCATATTTGCATTAGATTTGGATGACGTTGTTAACGATGCAAGGGTCTTGGCCCGTCCTCGGAAAAGTTGCGAGCCAGACGACGAGTTCGCGGTAACGGGTGATTGTGACTGCGGAGGGGTTTTCCGCGCGCCTGCAGAACTGTCTGAATTGAACGACTGAGACCTTGATGTAATTGGAACTGTTAGGCTGTTTAGGTTGTTTAGGAATTTCTCGCTTTGTCTATCTTCCTGGGATACCGGGGCTGCTCTGTACTCGAGCTCTGGTGGGACTTCATCCGCCGGAGGGATGGGGAGGCCTCGAGCGGCAGCCATAATCTGATGTTCTGCCCAGGATGTCGAGAAGTCGTTTAGCCCTCTCCAGAATGGGGCGATCCGCCGCTCAATCTGTAGCGCAGCTTAGCAAGATGACAGTCAGAGAGACCTGAGAGCGGGCCGCTTACCATTAACTGCCTCACTATGGGTTTATTGAAATCCTCGGTGCCAACATAGACACCCTGTGTGACGAGATAGCCCCCGTCCACATGTTCCTCTTTCATACTCCGTTCTCTCTCCTTGAGTCTTGCGGCCCGTTCCTTTTCACGTTTTCGAGCTTCTCTTTCCTGCCTCGTTTCCCGCCGAGGCTCCGAAGCCAAAGTACCCCTATCGTTATTGCCAGAGAGACCTAAGAACGACAGGTCAGGTACGTTCGATTCTCCGGTGTGAGAAGAGTCTGGGTCAAATGTACGGGACTGTCCATGTCTGAGGCCCGACGGCCTTGCCTCCTTCGTAGCTGCATTCCCCATTCTAGCAGCAGGTTGCCCGTAGGACTATCGTATAGCAACGGTTTCTAAAGCGTAGGGGAAAAAAGGTATATAGAGGATTGGTCGGCTTTGAGTAACGGGCGTTCCACGGTGCACAGGGTTCTGCGATGGCGTTCACCTGGCGCTGGGCATAGAAGAGGGAGATGTTCTGCTATTTAGATGATCCCGTGTCCCAAGAGACCGTATTGCCATGCGAACCGGACGGGCAGGGAAGTGTGTCAGCTAGAGTAGAGGGTGATATCCGGTGCGGTCCGTATACCGGTATAGGCTGGCTTGCATCTCCAGATATCTGGACTTCAGGAGCGAGACCGCTACTCGCGGGCCAGGCAGTTCAAAAACGAAGGTGAGCCCTCAAACTCCACGTATAAGTATCGGTGCACGTCAACAAGCGGCCTGCGCATGTGAGGCTTGAGGCGTCCAGCTCGGCGATGTAGAGGATGGGTTTGACTTGAAGCTGCGAACAAGTTCGAGAGTTGGTGACGGACCTGGCCGGAGAATTTGGCGCAGAGCCAGGTCACGAGCTTGGCAGAGGGCAAAAAAAAAAGCTACGTCCTGCATCTTGAATATGTCCATGGATGTCCAACGCGCATGCACAACGATTGAACGTCGTACTGTGTGTTTCTTTAAAGCAGGACGCCAGGGCAGAGTCGAGTGAGGCTGGATATACTGTCGCGGGCGTTCGCGCAACCCAGATGTCAGACACTGCAGTTAAACGCCTGCACATCACACCTCTAGACGCCGCAATCCTCGATACGGTGCTACAGCCCTCCATCCGCCATCTCGCCACTGATATCTCATTCCATACGATCGAGACCTATCCGGAGAATAACTACGGCTTTGTCACTCTTCCAGTGGTAGACGCAGACAAGGTTACGAAGAAGTTGAACGGCGCAATCCTCAAGGGCAAGAAGTTCAGGATAGAGCAAGCGAAGCCAGCCCCCACCAGCACCACCACTGCTATCAGCCAGCAAAGATCTGTTGGATCAGCCAGTCGCAAACACCCTGATACACTAGAGAAGGATATCCCTCTCAAACGAAAGGCCACTGAGAATACCATTGAAGGCTACGAGCTCCCGTCGCCGCGGAAAGTAATGCGAGGATGGACCGAACCGCGCGCGTCTCTGGGTAGATCGAAAAAGAAAGACGAAGATTCGAAGAAATCAAAGAAACAGCCCTCGAAATACTCAAACGGCTCCGAATGCCTGTTTCGTACCGTCCCTCCGGCAAATAAGTCTACAAAGTCAAGCAAGAAGCGAGAGGGAGCTGATTCTGTGACAGTCCATGAATTCAAAAAGACAATCAAACATCCAAGCTTTGTGAAGTCTGGAGAAAATGTTGCGCCATCAAAGCTTACTGGTGAATACGTTGAAGGGAAGGGATGGGTAGACCGAGAAGGCAATGTTAAAGAGCAGCCGCCGAAGAGGAGTGAGAGACCACAGGCGCAGTCGTCTACAAAGTCAAAAGAAGCAGTAGCAGTTGTCAAGGCGGATAAAAAGACCGATACCACGGTAGAATCGCCGGTTGCTAGTAGTGAATCAGGATCGTCGGAAGCTGCATCTTCCAGTAGCGACGACTGGACTAGCTCGGAGGGATCTGATGAATCGTCAGAGGCTGAGGAGTCGGATGGTGAATCTTCTGGCACGGGATCATCGTCTAGCTCGGCAGCATCGGATGGTGAAGAGTCTGAAGCTGTGGAACAGGAGCCTCCGGCCGCACCTGTCGAAGAGGTCGCATCGGCGGCCCAAGTTCACCCACTCGAAGCACTATTCAAACGGCCAAAGTCTTCAGGCAGCTCAATTCCGAACCCACACTTGACAATTGATACCCAATTCAGCTTTTTTGGAAACGCCGAAGACTCTGGAAGTGACATTGAAGCACACAACGAAGGCTATACAGAACCGCAAACCCCCTTTACGGCTCTAGACCTGCAGTCTCGGTCCATGCGAAGTTTGGCCCCTACACCTGATACGGCACTTCCCACTAAAATAACATTTTGGGAAAACGACGCGAATGAGGATTATTTACGTGATGACAATGATGGGTTAGATGTGGCGGCCGCTGACAAGGAGCACACTCTCTCTCCGACCAAGCCAGGCGCTAAGCGCGGGAAAGATGGCGCCGATGATAGCGAGTTTGCCCAGTGGTTCTGGGAGAACCGAGGTGATAACAACCGAGCTTGGAAACGGAGAAGAAGGGAAGCAGGCAAGGAGAAGCGCCAGAGAGACAACAAGAGCCATAGCTCTAGGGGTAGACGATAGACAATAGATTACTCTCGGTGACAATGATATCTCAATAACGAATACCATCTTATATGTTTTAAGAGGACTTTACCATATCCCAAAGGCCCTCTGTTTCAGAAAGACGTCCATCACTTGGCCTTCGCCATCCATTATAATATATAGAAGTGCGATGTTGAACTTGGCTGAGGTAACCACTTGCTCACCCTCACGGAATCAACCTGCAAGCCTGGAAGTAGCAATGTATCGCGCCGACCTCTGATCATTAACACCACTCAAGAAAGTGAGTTACGTCGAGCAGACATGGTGCTGGTTGAGCATGGCCTCCTAGAGCCGCCTGACCTCTCCACGGTAATACCGCCTCACGATCTCTATCTTTCTGATAGTAACTAACATTCTCTAGATAATAAACGATCATGACCAGCTTCAACCCACTCCCCAATAGCTGGAAATTGCAACAGAAAGATCCCGGGATTATTGGTATCATCTTATTGCAATGGCAATTGCCCAGCACCGCACAGGAATTCCGCCTACATTAACGAGCGTTCGAGATACCCTAAACCGCGTTCCCGCAATCAGCACAAGGCAAAACCACGATACTGCATCTTGGTTCATCCCCGAGCGAAACACTTTGCATTGGCTCTGTTGCTTCTAGTCCTCCGTCATCCAAAAAGGTGTTCGAGTTCCTTGTACAGTTCTCCCAACGACATAATTTGGATTGCCAGCTGCCCGTTGCTCTTGCAACAGCATTGACTTTTCCTGTGCATAACTACCATGGCACTGCTATTCAATTACCTCTTCCTTTACCTCTTCCTACTAACAATCACGTTCAACAGGGAGTCGATTCTGCCAATTCAACTGCACTAGGCTAGCTAACTATGGACAAAGAGCTTCCTTACTATATGACTCTAAGCTACAGCCCAGAAACGGTTATATTAGCTCTTTGCGGAATGTTCTGGGAGCCCACCGTCCCATACAATAAGTTGAGCCCGTGGCTACACCCTATCTTCGAAGAAATCCCGGAAAACCCAAGTTTTTCTTCCAGTCCTGGGTTCTGCTATGAAATCCTCGCGGTTATTGGAGAATGGATCAATCGTTGAAGATCAAGGTTTTGACAAAATATCTAGCTACAGATCGGACGAAAGCAGTACGGCTTTCATCATGTTGGATACATTATTTCCACGAAGGTCTCCCATCCAAGAGGCGTCTCGGGAAGCGTCGCTTGGTATATTTCGATGGGTGATGATTAACGGCGAAGGAACACCGCCTGAGAACATATACAGAGACGAGTGGCTCCAACTTGAAGATGAGAGTGATAGATAGGCATGTCTGATGACGAAATCAGTGCGAGCCATGCTTCAGGTGAACGAATAAAAGGACTCGAAGAGTGGTTTGACCAACCCATGGTCCCAAGCATTAACAAACATACTTGCATAGAGACGGGTTCCGGTAGCCCGACGGCTCTAGGCTAAAGGTAAGGGCTTAGAGCGCACTAATTAACCAATAAGATAGCGTCTTTATATAGTAGAATAATACAATGCTATACAACCTAGATTTATGTAAAGGCATATATAAGTAGAGGAAAAGACTCTACATGCCGTAAATGGACATGCAAAGCCCGCTGGTTGTACGAGGTCACGTGATGAAACACGAGTTAAGCCTCGCTTATATAATCAGCACCCCCAATATTATCGTCATCCTGGCGCAAACTGGGACGTTGGACGAGACCGAAGCACCTTCACAAGCTCATACAACCCCCAGCCTTTGCGACGATGATACTACGACGGCCTCAGGTTCAACTACTGCTTCTCTTCCTTGTATCGTTGATACCCTTTGTTTCTGCAGCAAGTATGGCTCGCCACCACCTTCCAACTTATGCATTTACTAACGACCTCAACCCGTTTGCCTAGAGCCAACATCCTTCTGCAAGTGTACGTGCTGGACAAACAGCACCATCATACCGCTTGGTCCGCCGGGGACTGTTGCGCCTTTGGACCCGCGAGACAGCCTGTCGTTTCGGGATTTCCTCGGCGCCAGAAACAATGAAGTAGCTTCGCCCGAAGCAGAGGAAGATGGCGACCACAGCAACGATGGGACGAAAGACCACGGAGGCCGAAGCTGCAACGACTGCAACAGGAAGTTCTGTCTAGATCAGCATCTGCCGAAGTGCAAGGGGGCGGTGGAAGAGAATGTCTTTACTACTTGTTTCCGTGAGTGCTGGGTTCATGAGAGGCTGGAGGAGGCCGGTGGCTGGAAGAATGTTGCTAACTTTGATGAAACTTGACAGAGCGGGATTCGAACAAGGACAAGGCTGTTGTATTCATATTTATCATTGCGACTTCTAGTTTGTTGGCGTGGGCTGCAGTCAAGCCGTGGGCCGAGGTGTGGATTCAGGTATGTTCTGACAATTCAGCGCTGATACGTATGGTGTCCTTAACGAATACTTACGTCAAACAGAGATTTAGAGAGAGGCGTTCCTATCTCCCTATCTCGTCAGAGGCGGAAGGTAGATAGTCATGTAGATCATGATCTTAGCTGTGACATTGGGTAGGTATATTTCGGTGGCAAGGTGAATTGGCGCTTTTTGGGTGTTATATACGACGAGAATGCAAGTCGCATTTTACTTTGTTATATTTGGCAACGACTACTCGCAGCGAATATCTCACGTGCATAACGTGTAATGTCATTGGAGCTGTTTTTATATATGTATTGATGTGGATAAACATGACCAAGATACCCATGAGTTTGTCTTGAGATGCAATGCAAGCTAGCTACTTTGGATGCTGGTATTAATATAGTGAATGCAATTTATTCCGATGTATTCACAAAGTCATCTTGAAATATAATAGGAACAGAACAAGAAGAAGCAGCAACATATGTGACTAAATTTAGAAATTTAAACCCAGGTTCCAACATCTTTGAAATTTAAATGGACGATCATGACGCCGAAGAATTGCAAGGCTAAATAAAGTGAAAGACGTCATACCGAAAACCGACTGTTCTCAAATCTTGCGGATAAGATATAAATGGAGGATACATTGAACGGTGAGGAGTCTGATGTATAATGGATGAGAACCGAGAAAACACTGACGACCCTGGTACGGAGAGAGACTGTAGAATTCGTAGAAGGAGGAATGTTCAGGAGTGCCCTTGGATGAAGGTTGAATTTATACCAAGGGCTCACGTTCACGCTCGCCAGCGTCATCTTCCACGTGAACATGGATGACCGGGGGATGTGGCTCCACGTGTCGAGGGAAACATGGCGGGCGAGCCAGTATAGAAACCGTAGTATGCGGTTTACCTCTCATAAACCAAAGTTGCATGGCTCCAAAGATGGCCACCAAGCTGCTAGCCCACCACGCAATTCCGGTGAATCCAACGCGAGTACCAACGGTGTAAATGTATCCGGCGATTGGTGGGGCAAGGGTGCGACAAGCGGCGCCGGCGGATGCAGCGAGACCATTGATTTTTCCGAGAACGGCGTAGGAAGGGCTCGCTTGCTTGATCAATATTAAGAGTACCGGATAGGCTAGGATGGAGAAGAGGTTTCTGATTGTAAGGCATGTGTAGATGCCTGGGTATAAGAAGTTCGTTGGTAGGAAGGCCAGGAAAGGAACAATGAAGTATGCCACTGGGTGGAGGACGGTGACAAGAACGAAAACGCTCCAGACGCCAAGCCATTCCGTGAGAATGGGAAAGACGACGGCCTGGATTACTAGGGCAATGACTCCGTTTATGGCCATGATTAATCCGACGGTTTGGGTTGTTAGACCTAATCCTCCTGGGATATCAAGAGGGGAAGAAACAGGGTGATTTATGATTCCGTCTCGGTCATCCTGGAGGAAAATGGGGAGTAGATGGTCATATGTCATGGAGTGGTAGGTGAATATTCCCAAAGCGACGATGAGCATCGTCACACGCTTTGTGAAGACTTTGTCTGAACCCGGGGTAGGAAAGGGCTTCCCGTCTGGCCTGAGATACCATTCCTCGTCCTCGTGCATGTCAACCTCATTGAAGGTGCCATAGGACTTGGCGGTCAAGTCTGCACCAGCATGAGCGGTGGAACCAGCCGTGGCTACGGCGTAAAGATGGGTACCGAACCCCTCATTCTCGTTCTCATTCTCATCCTCATCGGTATGTGGCTCAGTATTTTCAGCTCGAATATACTGCGGTTGGTGGTCGGGATGCGTTTCATCCAGGAACAGGTACCCAGCAATGATACTGATAAAGAGTAGCAATGAACATATTATGTTAGGGAGCAGGTAAGGAAAGGTACCAAATAAGCCTGATTGAGGAAACAGCGAAGGGAAGGATTTAGAGGGCTGCGCAAAGGTACCTCCAATCGCTGGTAGAAGTTAGCAGTTACTGTAAAGGCAGATTTAGATAAGAACCAAAAGAATGAGATTACCTGGGCCTATTATCGTGCCGATAGACCAAACAAATGGTAGGACAGCGTATGCTCGCGCTATATAAACGGTTCGTTAGCATGTAGTTGTTATGTCAATATCAGTGGGTGTCTTACGCTCATGTTCTGGTTTCTTGACCACTTCCCCAACCATGGTCTGGATGACGCCAACGTTGCCATTTAGAAGTCCGCCGACAACTCTGCCGAGGAGAGCCACCCAGAAGTTTCGGGAGAACCCAACAATCATCAGGGATAGGACAGTACCCGCGCATCCTAAGAGGAGGACAGGTTTGCGGCCAACCCTGTCTGAAAGGCTCCCCCAGAACATTCCAGTCAGGCTCTCCGCCAAGGCGAAGGCCGAAATAATGATTCCGGCGAAGAAGGATGCATTACTCTTGTCTCCGATGTTGAAATCCTTAACCATAACCCATGAATACGGGAAGATGGAAGTCAACGCGATCGGCTCTGCGAAGCGACATATCGCTGGGAGAAGTTAGCCGTGGTGTCACCAGAAGGGGGGAATAACGAGACCAACCTAGGATGAAAAGCTGAAGAGTCGGGAAAGCGTCGTCGGCCGGAGTAGAAGTCGGAGGAGAAGTGTGATGGTGTCTTGCCTGACGTGTTAATCTCATGGTTCTATATATTCTAATCTGGTTCTTACGGCAGTCCTCCCAACCAACCCCAGTCCCTCTTTCAACCAAAATACCTGTTGTAAGTTGAGATTGAAGACGAGATACTGCAAGCTATCGATAGAAAGCCAATATAGAAGTAAGATTGAGGAAAATGTGCCAGCGGTGGCCAAATATATCAGTTGAATATGGATGGGGAGGGGAGAGGTGTCGTCAGGCTCTTCTGTCACGTCCCGTCTGTGGTCAACGGTTTATGTTCACAAGTCGCTGCTTGGGCCGGTTTACAACGACCGCAGCAGGTAGACGAGAGACCAGAAACGCTGAGAGTTCCAAGAGTGAGTTGTGTCCGTTGTGTCTGTTGTGTAGCGTGGAGTTGAAGGTTGAAGTGGGAAAGCCGAAGGTCAGGAGAGGGAGAGGAGGGAAAAGTGTGATCACAAGTGGCGGTCTGCCTGGCTCCGGCAACCCCTAGAACGGAAGATCCTAGGGCTAACATATATTACTGGGCGAAAGTCACGGCGTACTCTGGTACATCCATCGGTACATGGTACTGCATAGTGTTGCTTCCTTGCTACCCGATGGAGCGGGAAACTTGGCCCGGCGATGTTGCTGGTGGAGAGGACGGCTCTGTACATGGTACGGCGGTTGCAGTCTCCCAGCTCGCCGTCGAGGCCACGCATCAGCAGCCATTGAAGATCTCCCGCCGTCAACGGCTGCAATTGGAGTTGGATGAGCTGGCGGGCAGGTTGATATCTGGCCCATGAATCCCCGGCCAGACGCAGAGGAAAAAGCAACTATGCGCTTGAGGTCGAAAGTACGCGGAAAACAAAGCCAAAAAAGGCAAAGATGCCGAAAAGGGCAAAAAGGGCGGCGGATATAAGGTTTATGCTTACTTAAACGTAAACGCCAAGGCATGACACGTGATATAGATATGGTAATTTATATGTATTAGGTTGGTATTATTTACAGTACATATCCCACTTTCCGCTTATGTCAGCCATTATGTCATCCATTATGTTATCTCTTTGTTTACTCCGTTGCCGGGGCAAGGTCAAAACACCGAAGCTGCTATTCTTTAGCACCGCACAGTGAAGATTTACATACATTCCACGCAAGGAAGCCTTGGACAGTATCTTCTGTTGATTAAAAGAAGATATCTACAACGTTTACGCTGTTTGAGATTTTATGATATTCTGTCTAGATCGCTCGATGCTGGCACATTAGCAAGGGATTAAAGCTTTATCTCTGACCTCCAAAAATATAAACATACCGAGAGCCGACCATGGCAAGCCCACTGTCACCTCTGTCACCCTCAAGGCTCAATAGTCGCCCATCACAGATGCAGTCGCTTGCTTCACCACTGGCAAAAAGCACTATGGGGGATATCGACGACCTGTGTTACGATGAAAACACAACTCCATCAAAACAAACCAGCAACTCTCCTGTTTTTGAGATCCACGAAGACTATCAGGACCAGTCCGGTTTTCAAAACCCGCCCAGCTCCCCCTTTCAAGACTCCATTCATATCGAGTATACAGATCAGCTTCCTGAAAACCACACCCCTACCGAAGCCATTACGGTCGAAGAGGACCACCATTCAGACGATTACACTCGAGATACAGACCAAGATGGCACCGGGATTGATGTGGACATGAATTACGCATATGACAAGCTACATCAAGAACAGCCAGCTAATAAGATCGAGATACACGTCGATTGTGACGAGGAAGATAGGCAGATTATCGAGCCACGGTCTACTCGGCATTCTTTGGCTACCGTTGTTGAGGAGAATAATCACGAAAACATGAGCATTGTACGCCATCAAAATGAAGGCGAAGACTCCATGTGCAACAGCAACCTCGGAGACGACAGCATGGGCGACCATACAAGCCTCAGCGCCTTTTCAGCAGTTCCCAACGCCGATATGACCCTTTTCTCCAAACTCAGACACGAATCACCACTTAAAACGATACCTAGTCTGCGTGAACACATCTCTCAGACGACTCCTAGATCTGCAAAACGAGCGTCGAACAAGCGAGACTCCGAATTAACGTATGGGCAACAAGAGTGTGCCTCTACCTTCTCTACCACTCCAGTACGGAAGTACATGCGCGTGGATGACGGCGCCAACCTATTAGACTTTACAGATCAGATGAACGTGCTAGCGAACGGATCACGGGCGGATTTGGCATCCCAATCTCCTTACAGATCCCGACGTAACTCGACGAGGAGGCCTGGCGGGGATTCCAGATCACCTAACAAACTATCACTGCTGGATTTCGATATACCACCTCCTCCTACTCCTCGATCTATACCATCTATCACCCCTAGGGAGCTGGAGTCCCTGAAATCATCCTTCCTATCACAGATATCATCATTGAAAGCCACCTTGAACGGAAGAGATGCAGAGGTTGCGAGCTTAAAGGAGTCTGTATCCGATGCTGAACGCCGCGTCGGGGAGGCATTGGAGCAGGTGAGAAATGAGGCTGCTCGAAAGGATGCCCTCGAAGCGGAGCTGCATGAATGGGAGAGGCGAGGCCAGGAGATGGAAGACGTATTGAGAACGGTCAAGGCGGAAATGACTGACGGGGAAAGTGAGAGGGAGAGGCTCGCCCAGAGAGCAGAGGAGGCCGAGAGGTCACGAGAGCAGCTGGAAGGAAAGATGGTGGAGCTGGAAAGTCAGCTTTCAGCTGCACGACGCAGTGGAACCGCCGATACAGAGGGCTCGGCACAGCCAAGTAAGGGTAACACGAGTAACTCAGATGAGACTGCCAAAGAAGTGCAGGATGCTGTTGAAAGAGTCGCTCGGGAACTACATACCCTATACAAAGGGAAGCATGAGACTAAAGTTGCTGCCCTGAAGAAGAGCTATGAAGCTCGCTGGGAGAAACGCGTTAAAGAAGGAGAATCAAAGCTCAAGGATGCCCTGCAGAAAATCCACCACCTTAAATCCGAGCTCAGTGAAGTCAAATCTAGGCTTGCTGATGAAGAGACGACCCCGGGAGATGCCACGATGCTTCGAGAAAACGAAGGCCTGGAAGCTGAGAGAAGAGTCCTAGAGGCGCGAATCAAGGGGCTCCAGCAAGAAATGATATCCCTCAAACAGGATAGCGAAGCCCTGCGCTCAGAACTCAAAGCCGAAAGGGCAGAAAAAGGAGAGCTCGTAGCTGTGGTGGATGAGTGGTTACAGATGCAGCAGGAGGTCCAGCCAACGCCAACGTCGTCTGAGAAACCATCAACACCACCTTCTGAGGATTACAATTATGAAGAAAGAACTGAAAGAGTGCCTGTATCACAACCAACTCCAGCTGCTGGTAATAGCGGCATTCCTCCCAGGGCCTCAGCCACTACGCGACCTCGACAGCTTCCACAGAGCCATACCCCTAGAATACCACGATTCGGGGCTCCAGCTGGCACTAAGAGTGCTAATAGTAGCATAGCTGTCGGAAGAACGCCAGGGCGTAGCGGAATTATGAGCTCAATTGAGAGAATGGGACGAGGGGGTAATTGAGTGCAAAACTGGGAGCCGCGGCCTTACCCTGTACAGTGCTAATGATGAATTTGTTGACAGCTTTTTTTCCCTTTTTTTCTCTTTTGATGTTCATGAGTGCTGTTATTATGTTTTTCGTTTATGTTTTTTATGACTTGCCCTTCGTTTAGATACCTCAAAGCAATGGAATTGACATGTTTAAATGATTAATTATTTTTTGATGTATATGTAAAGTTGTGCGGTGTGCCCTAGCGGTACAATGATATGAGGGGAGATATATACAGGATAAGAAGCATCTTCGATCTCTGATATCTTACAAACTTCAGTCCTTTCGGCAGCCTTCGAGGATGTTCATGCCTCCTTGTCAAAAACCTTGCGTGTTTCATCTGCAATATTATACGAGAACACCTCCTTCATCCACGCCGGCGCCGGAAGGAAGTCTAGATGATACATTAGTATAATACCTAATACTTTGAATGCTGAGGTGTAACTTACTCATAATGAAGAGCATCAGATACATAAACCACTCCTGGAAAAGAGAGAGGTCACGCTTCTTGTTCTGGAATTGCCGTGTTCGGTCAATAATAGCTTTCACTCGAGGCATTCTTATTTCCATGAACTTCTTCGCAGCCCAGGAAATACTCGTCTTTCGGGATTGGACTTCGCTCTCCTCCAAAGATTGTCCTGCCTTGTTTAAGCTATGTGCTAGCAGCATCGAGAAACACTCTACGTCCTCCATAGCCTGCGATACTCCTTGTCCGGAGGTAGGCGGTAGAGCATGAGCTGCATCCCCAATCAGAACAACCCCATGTCTCTCCCACGTTGGCAACGGCGGCGTAGTCCATACAGGATACATATTCTGTATTTCAGCCATGGCAAGTATCTTCTGGACAACGGGACTCTTCCATGATCCATGTCTTGTTTTCACATCCTTAAGCACAACCGCCATATCGATGGATTTTGTGTCGGGACATTCTTTGATTTCGTATGTAGACCACCACATGACTGAGTTGCCTGGCTTCAGTACGCCTTGGGGTATGTGACGATTTGTCTCGTTCTCGTCACTGTTTGTATAGCAGTAGCCGAAAAATCCATTTCCGCCAAAGACCAAGTTCATGATTCCGGGCTCCATTAGCTCATGGAGTTCGTGGGCTGGAACGAATCCGCCAACGCCTATGACTCCCCTAGGTATGTGATTAGCCATGGAAGTATGTCAAACAAAGAGTATGGGGTATCATAAGTGCTTAAAGGCTTCTAGATATTATGAAAAACCTGGTAAATATATCCCTTTTGTATCTGATAACTAATGACACTTCAGCTTGTCTCGACTCTAACTCATCCTTAAGCTTACCTTGTAAAAAGGGAGCTTTCGCTATCCAACCCTCGAACAAAATGATAGGACCCCTTAAGCACTTATAATAGAAGCGTTCGTATAATAAATAAAGACACTCACTCGTAATGTGGCGGATACCTGTCCTTCTTATCCTCCGGAAACAGAGCAGACTTGGTTATGCTCTTCAGGCCGTCTGCTCCCAAGACGAGATCCGCTTCCGCATCCGGACTGCCGTCGGCAAACTTGATAACATTACGTCCATCTAAGTTTGCAACAACTGCGGATACCCGTTTATTGACGACGATGTCATCAGGTACGCGATCCCGAAAACAACGCCATAGGGCATGACGGCTCAGCGAGACAGAATTGATCTTAGGTTCCGAACCAGTGGCCTCCATTCTCATGAGATTCCATCCCTGGGAGCTTTTCATCTGCTGATATGCGTAGGGGTATCCTGTTTTAGCGATATTGTGAAATATATCTTCGTCCAGTCGTTTGACGCAGCCTAAACCGTTTGGGCCAATGGCGAGCCCAGCACCGACGACAAAGCTTGCAGAATGGGTTTTGCCATCGTAGTTTTGCGGAGACGTTGCGGAGGTCTCGTATGCCTCGTAAATGGTATATTCATGTTCGCCTTCAGACTCAAGGACCGGGAGTCGCTTTTTCAAGGCGAGATAGGCAGCGCAGCCACTGAGGCCAGCACCGATTATTGCTATCTTCATCGTGGCAAGGATGATATTGCAAGTCAAGACAGATGCATAGTAAATCAAACTAGATGCTTACTCTTATAATTTTCCAAGGTCGAGCGCTTTATGTAGTGACGTGAACAGCACACGTTGGTGCCTGGGAGGCCAGAATATGGCTGCCTTTGGTACGAGGACAAGCTGAGTTCTCACAACTATAATAGCTAACTAACTACCTCTTCCGGGTTAGCGCAGGAGGCTTATCTCCATGACTTAGCCAGGCTTCAGTTATATACTCTCGTTGACGGTATAAAGTAATAGAATCATCGAGTAAATATTGTAAAACCCGAAATATCACTAAAAATGCAAAGTTCACGTCAACAAAACATAGGAAACAACGGAAAAGTTACCTAAACAACATCAACCCTTGTCCAAAAACTACCTTTCAAAAAAAGAGCGGATATCACAAGAAGGGAACAAATAATCCCCCAGCAGGTAACTCACACACCACGCAATTTTCATCGATATAAGACCGCTGCTCCTTGCCCCAATCTCTCGGATCGTCATCATGGCCACATCACCAGATCGAAGGCACACCCACTGCAACCTCCACTCATACTTACACCTCGTAAGAATCTCCAGGTGACACCCAGACACAGCTTTCCAGTATGGAAACCCTTTCTGGATGTCATCAAACACCGTACAAGCATGGCCTGGAGTATAGTCCTCCGAACGCCACATAGTGTCAAATTTTGATGTCTTATCAAATGTTGACGCCAACTATCTCGCAAACAATGTCGTCCCCGTCCGCGTAAGCCCAATTATATCTCACGACCTCCGCAAAATGACGCTGCTGTATTAGGCTGGATATTCTCGAACATCACCGGACACACAGCGACATAATCCTCCTTCTCGAGTGTACCATCTGCATATGTAAGGAACACCCATTTACCGTGGAGCTTCCTGACAGCTTTACCTTTCCGTTCCCCTTCGAAATCCCGACACGTCCTCCTTCACGCGGATGAAATCTCGACTTCCACTACCGAAAACACTCCTTTTCCTCTGGGTATATTGGTATCCTCCCCGCCACTCAAAACACTTCGTCAAGAACCCAGTCGATAGCTAGATAGCTAATAGAGAAGATAGAAGAGATAGGGCTCAACCTTCTCTCTTTATACCATATGTATCCTGGAGACTGGACAAGTATCAACACACCACCATTGACAGTCATGCAACTTCCTGTGGCTTGGCATACGCCATCGTGCAGAACTCTCGGATCGCCCTTCCTAATGGCGTAGTAATTTGTGATAGAAATCTGCAGTCTCAGCGCTCACACCTGAGACTAGAGACAGTATACTAATCAGCCCTCGCATCCATGGGATTACGGCTTCGATACCATCTCCGGATGCAATTGCGGGAGTCCAAGTCAACTTATCGCTTGAGCTAGCCATGACAAGCCACTGTACGGTAACCCGCGACGTTGATATGGCTGAAGAGAGTGACGATCTGAGTCCGTCGTCGTCACAATTTTAGAAGGCCAGTGATAGGCCCCTGGATCCATTTGCTTCCAAGGAGAATTGGCAACGTCTAGAACGATAAAGACACCCGAATCTCCAAACGCACATCCTTGACGTAAGGATCGCCAAAATAGCCTCCGATAGTTGGTATCACGGTGTTGCCATCAGCGCATAGTGCATATGCCTCTCTAAATTCGCCCAATTCCTTATAAAAAGAACTTGACGGTACAAGAGACGCGGTGTCCGATATAAGTACAGTCGTTGTTTCAGTTGAAGGGAATTATGTTATCGTCGAAGCTGACCGAGGCTGGTATATCGCCGACTGTAATTGACCGGTGGCGTCAATATATACGCGAAGACGGCCGTGGTCAGAGTGCTCGGGCGACTGACATCTGCCGTGCTCGACGCCGTCTTCCCTGCGCGCATAAATCCTACATGAACGCCAGGACAAGGACCGAGTCTGTATGCGCGGCATGGAAGCATGATTCCGGTGGAGTTTCCGATCTCGCCGTAGCAATTGCCCTTCCGGGACTAGAGCACGCGTCTTGGTCAGCTGCCGAATTTGGACCGAGCCGACTTCATCTTCCTACTTTCAACGACAACTTGTATACGCTACGACATTGTGACGGCGAGACAGAGAGACAGCGAGACAGCTAGCAAGTTCGCGCTTCTGCAGCTCGTACGGCGACTCGTGCGAGAGATGTTCATTTGCGACCGGCCTTGTTCGACAGGGGAGACACCAGGCCAACGACAGAACGACAGGAGATAACGGTAGAGCACAGCATGCTGGGTATACTAGCTACAAACGGAGTCATTCAGTACTCGCGTCAGTCTGTCTGGAAATGTCAGTCTATATCGAATCTCTCAGAACGGTGCCGTGATCCGAGCAAGGTTGAAACAGAGCTCGAAGAAAGGCCGAAAACCCTCGTATTGCGGAAAGCCTAAGCACTGCCATTTGCCATTGGCCACCAATCAGACTCAGTGGTACCGCCGGAGGTTTCGCCGTTAATTTACTCACTGACCGCCGCCGCTCCTATAACGGCGCTGGCTTCGGCCTTTCGAGACTTGCAAAAGTGAGCTTGTTGTTGAATGGACCAGGATGGACGATCGGAGCCGCTCTCCGCCCTTTGATAGAGCGTTAGGGCTCATGACCTCGCCCGTCAGGATATAGAAACTTGCCCCGGTCTCGAAACTAGTCGATACTAACTCCACGAGGCGTGGCATCGATGCATGGATGTGGAGCTTAGTCGTACAAGGTGGCATGCAACTCCACGTCAAGCTTGCCTGTGACCACTTGACATTTTTCATGTCCGATCCATGGACATGCTGCAAGTTAGAGCCACCACTCATTTCCAAACAAGATGTACCAGGTAGGCTCAAGGGGAACTTAAAAAAGACTACTCCGTATGGTTGACGTTTTGGGTTCGGCAGAGCGTCTGTTCCTTGACCTGGATGGAATTCAAAAACATAACATTAATATATGCTGCAGGATAGCTTTGACAGTTTCCGAGTTTGCGGGAACTTCGGCAGTACCGATCCATTTCTCCTCTATATATACTTCTCCTTGACTTCTTAGGTCAATAGTCAGCTTGGCCGACGCTCTCGCTCTCGCCTGCCTAGCTGGAATCTGCCGTGCCAGATACCCCCAAGCTCGGCCCAGGAACCTCCCCAAGCAGACTACAGTTTCCTTATGTCGCGCTTCCCGGTCCACTCTACCAGCATTACTCTGATACTCGCCTGGGCTTAGCAGGGAACCGCCTTCGCTGAATCATTCCATCTCCACATAAGAAAAACCGCCTGCCCCACCGTCCAAGAACATTATTTCCCCAAACTTGATGCTCCAGGGGGGTCTGGGGAAGAAGTATAAGTACGGCCTTGCCCCTTACTGGCCAATAGAGCCGTCTTGAGTTATACATATAAACCCGAGAATTTAGGGCGATGACGATGGCTTGAAGGCGAGACCTACATATATTAGAAAGTTCCATCCCACCTTCACCCCACGTTTGTTCTAGTTTCCTACTTTCTGTCACAGCTCGGGAATCTTTGACATTTGGCCACGCCCTTCGCCATATACGCTCGTATACGCTCTTGTTCTTATATTTCGCACACTATCCTGCATATTTCAGAAGAGGATCTGGTCCAATTCTATATTGTAACCACCACCACTTGCCGCAGTACATGAAATATCACAATCCGTGGCGTATAGTGTCATCATGACGTCCACCGAAGCTCTTGACGACTCGTCCAAGAACAAACGGAAATCCAGCGCTGCCGGATTACAGAGTGCAGCCCGCCCAGTGAAGAGACGGGCTTCAAAGGCTTGCTGCTGCTGCCGGGCCCGGAAAGTTCGTTGTGATGTCGTTGAAAATGGTTCTCCTTGTACCAATTGCCGCTTAGATGATGTCGAATGTGTCGTTGCAGAGAGTAAACGAAAAAAGTTAGTAGCCACAAACCAGCACAGGCGACGTCTAGGAAAATTTGCATCAATGGAGCTAGATGTAAAATCGAGTTCTGTATCTCAACTAAATTTTTTAATAGGAAACACCACATTGACGGACCATCGGAACATTCAGCGGATTCATCGACAGATCAGGCATTCATATTCGGCAGCAAATCTGATTCTAGCAATCTGTTCCCATCCATCTCTGATCCATGGGCCTCTCTTTCTCCAGGGCGCTACCCAGAGAACGAGCACCATGTGCCACATCTAATCTGTAAGCAACCACTGAGTCCACTTACTTTCTATAGCCGGTTACTCATGAATTCTTCAAGATCAAACCCAAAGACAGCGTATCCAAGAAGATGAAAGACGACGACGGGTATCTAACAGCACAACCACCCCGTCATTTGTCTACAGTGTGCCCCGGAATACCGCCACCCCGATTGCATCCACTGGGTTTGGACAGGCGCAGCCCCAATCACCTCGTCCCAGCCCTAGAAACAGTCTTCCAGACTACATCCAACCGCTTCCCTGCAAATTTCAGACAGATGATATCGATTACCTGGAACGAAAAGGCGCTTTGACTATTCCAGGCGACTCTCTCCGAAACGAACTACTAAAGAGCTACATTCAATATGTCCATACATATATGCCATTGCTCGATTTGGATGATTTCCTCCGCGTTATTGTGCGCAATGATGCCTCGAGGCGATTGAGTCTATTGCTTTTCCAAGCCGTCATGTTTGCCGGCACAGCGTTCATCGATTTTAAGCATCTAAAAGCTGCCGGGTTCGAGTCGCGGAAGGATGCTCGTAAAGCATTCTTTCAAAAAGCCAGGGTATGTATTCAGGTTTTCTGAGGGTAGATGTATATGATGCTAACAGAAGTAGCTTCTTTATGACTTTGATTATGAGGCCGATCGGATATCTTTAGTCCAGTCGATACTCTTAATGACACATTGGTACGAAATGCCAGATGATCAAAAAGATACCTGGCATTGGATGGGCGTTAGTTTGTCCCTTGCCCATACCATTGGCCTTCATAGAGATCCAGCATCTTCAAACATGGACCCAAAACGCCAGAAACTTTGGAAGAGGATATGGTGGAGCACCTATACCCGAGACCGACTTATTGCTCTTGGAATGAGGAGACCAACTAGAATCAAAGATGAAGATTGCGATGTCCCTCTGCTGACGGTGGATGATTTTGAATTCGCGCCCTTCTCCACCGAGGTTCTCCAGGTTCTTGGGGATTGCGAACTCACGCATAATGTCAGATATCAAAAGGATCTCGCCATGATGTTTATTGAAAAGACCAAACTCTGCTTATGTATCAGTCACGTCCTATCAGCACAATACTCTGTCCTTGGCCATAAATTTGGCGGCACAACGGAAACGACTATGATGTTGGTGCCGAAGAAGGCTACCACAGAAGCTTGCGAAGTCAGGGCATGCGATATTGAATTAGATAGCTGGAAAACAGGCCAGCCAGACGTAACAGTATACCGTCCTTCGACCTCATGGAGCCTCTCGCGCGGGGAGGAAGTACTCCATCTCCATCGTGGCCTGCTTCAAATGATATATCTTGCTACGCTGAGCGCCTTGCACCGACCGCAGGTTCTTCCCACTAACCATTTGCCCACAGTCGAGGCAGAGCTACAAACTTTCTCCCGATCGAAAGTTAGGCATGCTGCTGTGGAAATCACGAAGGTTGCTCAGGAGCTGCATAGCCTCGATTTAACTCGCTACCTACCGACTAGTGGTGTCACCGTTCTTCTTCCTGCTGTCATTATACATTTACTTGACATCAAATCGAGCGATACAAATATTCGGTCTTCCAGCCTTGCCAGATTCTACCAATGCATGCAGATTTTGCAGCGCTTGCGCGAAATTTATGCGTCCGCCGACTTTGCAACATCATTCCTTGAAGCCGCTATTCGCAAAGCCGGCGTTCACATATCAATTGAACCAACTGAACAAGATAAGCAGCAAAAGTCCAAAACAGAGGCACCCTTGAATACCCTGACGCCTCCACCAGACCCAACTCCAGAATATTTCATAGACCCAGTGTTGTCTCTAAAGTCCGATCTCGGCAACCTCGAGCAACCGGTCGATACAAACGCTGGTATTGTTGTTTCAACTCCACCTCATTCAGCGAGTAGTGAGAATGGAAGCCTTCAAAACATAAATAAGGAGGCAACGGTGGATGATATTCTGGGGGCTAGTACTGATCCTACGGAGCCTAGTTTGGCAGAGTTCATGACCCTCGCACATGATGCAGACATTACTCAAAATGATTTAGATGCATTGATCAACTTCGAAGAAAATGCCGCTACCGACCTTTTCGCCACAGATGATGCGGTTGATGTTGATCTTTCATTTCCGGATATAGGGGATGAATTTATGAAAGGGGATTTTAATGATACCAACGATAAAAAGTTAGATGATTTGAAGGCAGTGGAAAATGCCGATTTGGCAATGGATATAGAGGGACAGACTTGGCTTAACGACCCTTAGAGGTAAGAGGAATATTTGTACATAGATACCCTTAGTATATATACCCTTGGCTATGCTACTTTTTACATGATTTATTCCTTAACCTAGATGAAGATAGGAGTGTGTTATAACCTTTATTATCAAAGGGAGTTTAAGCTAAGCGTTCTCCTAGATTTTGCCTTTAGGAATAAGGTAAAGGGAGGATAGAAGCAATGCTTGGTACTTTGTAGACCTAATGCTATGTTGCAAGCTGAAAAAATCTACTAACCTTTCTCCATGAGGAAAAAAAAAAGGGAAGAACAAGAATAACCCTTGTGACCATGGAGTTTAAAGAAGATTTACAGGCCCTTAACTTAGACGAGTATTAGGGGATTCAAAAGCAGATATTTTTGTATTTTTATCCTTAACTATAGAAGAAGGTAAGGAAAAAACAAAACAAAGCCTATGGCTGATTTTTTGCAGAGGAAAAATTCCAATGCATTGTGAACATGAACTTGTGGTACAAACAGGATAGAGCCGTCATCTAGGGCAATATCAAAGGAAGAGGGGTAGCTTATGGCTGTAAATCTAGCTTGCGAGCATGGTTGGATTGGCAGGTAGAAACGCAAGCATCACAGCATAAGAACTTATTTGCCGCGGAGTTCCATGGCAGCAGCGGTGGAAACTTCTTCAAGATTCTCATCGGAGAATTTGAGATCTTTCTCAATGTCAGTGGTGTCTTTGATCTTCATCCAGATAACTGGGGCAGCAACAATTAAGGAGCTGGCGAGCAGGGCCCAGTTAGATATGAACATGACGCGGTAAGAGACAGCCTGACCATCAATACTATAGTGAAATGTGTTAGTTCCTCTACATTAAGAGCTGGAGAGCGGATTCTGTACATACCGCCATGCGATAGCTGCGCCAGCTGATTGAATACTCTTGTAGAAACCAGCGAAGTTGGCAAGCTTGCGGGAGTTGTTGGTTAAGGCACCCATAAACCTATTTAGAGTCAAAGTAATTAGTAAAAAGGTATAGAGGTGCAATAGAACGGAAGCACATACCAGTAAGCGCAGGTTTGGAAGGCAGCATCATAGAATCCATAGAACATGTAGAGGAACATTGGTCCAACATAGCCTTTGTCTTTCCAGTCCATGCGGTCGGTCTTTTTAACATCTGCACGGTCATAGGAACTCTGGAATACCCATCCACCGCCCCAAATGCCCATAGTAATGGCAAAGAGCAGACCGAGGATATAGCGGGAACGGATAGAGCGGCGAATACGTTGGATATCAAGGATATATCCAAAGACAAAAGCACCAATCATCTGAGAAACCCAGTAGAGGACGTTGTTAAGTGCACGGGTACGGATGTTGAACTTGGCCAGGTTGACTCCGTTGAATTGGTAGGTGGTGAACCAATTACTGGCAAAGAACATGGGGAAAAGGAGGATAATGTACCAGTCTGACTTAAGGACATAGAAGAGGCCGATGAGTTCAGATTTCCAGGAAGGGTTCTTCATAAGAATCACGCGAGTGCCATCTGGACGTTTGATATCTCTTGCGTTGACAAGGGCAAAGCCAAGGATAAAGCCAATGAACATAAGAACCATGAACAAGATGTAGGTGCTATCTTGGACAGAGTTTGCTTTGTTGTGAAGGTTATTTGCAAGGGGAACCTTTCAGGGGTAATATCAATTAGTCTCACTGTCAATGTATTTATAAACAGGGGAAAGTCCCTACCAATGATCCAATAACACCGCCTAAGTTGAAGATGGCCCAGAACCAGGAGATGAACTTTCCCTTTGAGTATTCACCTGGGTAGCTCATCATGATTGTACCCTGAGCAGTCCAGAGACAAGCAGCACAGACACCGAGGAGAGCACCAGCGAAGATGAGGAAGCCTGCGTTCTTGTTATGGTTGTAGGACAGGATTGAGGCAACATAGAGGAAGTATCCGAATCCACCAAAGGAGAGAGTGTAACGAAGTCCCAGACGGTTAGCAATTGAGCCAGCGAAGAACGCCACGACTGCAAAGGTGCTGTAGAGAGCAACATACGCCTTGTCGATATCGCCAGTGTCGACCAAACCACCGGCACCGAGACCACTGACAGCATTAAACATGCCAGGGCACAGGAAGCAGACGAATGAGACCAGAATGAGCTGGCCTGCTGGAGATGCATACCAGGGGACTTGGAAACGCCCAATCTTGGGAGATTTGTACATCCACGCTGGGCCAGTATGCTGGTAGGTGCCAGGAGGGATGGCTGCATCCGGACCAGAAGCAACAGAGACCATCTTTGCAGATAGTTGGAGGTAGATGCTGCTGGTTCTACGACGCGTTAGAATGAAGCCAGTTTATCAGTTTTTGTATATATCTTGCTTACCTTGGTTAGAGAACTTATTAAGTCGTGCAAGACGCGCCGCCAATAGAGCAAGATGAGCCGATGAAGCTGTAGACAGAGGCAAGGAGGTTGTTGATCGACGAGAGAGAGAGGAACAAGAGAAGAGATTTGTAGATAGCTGAAGGTAGCTAAGAAGGAGGGGTTTGTGTGTGAAAAGAAGGGGTAGCGAGAAAGTGAGAGATTGATATCAGGGCAAGGCACAACAACACTGGCAAATGGCGCTAGAATTGAGGACAAACAGTGAATACTTCACAGACCTTTACCTCACTTTCAGCAGAAGACGAGGGGACATTCCTGTTAGCGCCATCTCCCTGCAATAACAACACAACAACACAACAACACAGCAGAGAGAGAGAGGGAGAGGGAGTCCCCCTAATCTGGCTCCTTCATTCTGTACTGACAGTCAGGCTGTCCACTGGTATACATTGTAGGAGGTTGACATGCCCCTTTATATTTAACAAAGCATTTGTTATTGATATGTTTATTTTCATTAACGGGCCATCTTAGCCATCATCACAGTCCTGCTTAAGAAGTAGTAGACTTAGCCGGCCAGGTTAAGGCTACTACCTCTGTAGGATACTATAAGAAAGGATATCATCATAGCAGACACAAGCATTGACATTGCCCATATATATATCAAACTCAAGAGCTTCATATTTATATGCCATGCAGCGCTTAAGGTCAAGCTCCCCTGTCTGGCTGAGGGTTATACCCCTGTTAGTGCCCGCGGCTGTCAGGGGCCTCAAAGCTTGCCCTTATACAATGAAAAGGGGCTTTATCTAGTCAACTGATATAGGGGTTGAAATTCTGTCGGTAAAAGAAAAGTCGTTTAGGGCAATATGTCCTCTAGACGGGACAACTGTGCTGCCATCTTCCTGGTGTTGCCATGCAGCCACAAAGAGGAACGGATGATATCCTGATAGGAGCACTGCCATGCCACTCGACTGAGGCGGGAGTTAATTCCTCTTGGCGCATCACCGGCATCTCTGCCATCTCCCATCTCCCATCTCCGGCACCTCCAGCTCCTTCAGCGTCGTCTCCATGCATGGCGTCCGTATATGCTACTGGGTATACTGGGTATACTGGGTATACTGGGGTGCTCCTCGCGGGACAGAGACGGCCTCTCGGTCTTGGGTTACAGGCCGATATATACCCCTACCGCCAGATGCAACCATCGAGGGCGACTGTGATATCCCTTAGCAAAAGGCCAAAAAGCGTCTGTAGTTACATCTGACCAGGTCATGTGACGCCAACTATATGCTTAGTCAGATATATATCGCCGTACTTTAGGTATCTGTAAATACCGTCATGAAACCGTCTTTTCTGTGTAATCTTCGTATCAGGCCGTACCACTAGCGTCATCAAGCCGAAAAAGGAATAATAAAGAAGATAAAACGCCGAGGGTTGTGTCGCATTCCTATGATCTCATCCATCCCATCCCACTGCAACTGCGACTGCGACTTCATATTCATGGCGATGGTACAACCTGGATGGCACGACCTGGCAGGCTTTTTGGCCTGAGCATTTGCCCTGAGCAGAAGAGCTTATTGGAGGGATGCTCAATGTATATGCCTCTCGCTCAAACGCCTTCCGAGCCCGCCGTAGAAGAACGTAGATAGAAATATAGCCATATGTCCGGCCTTGGGTGAGAGCTTTGTCGTAGTAGGCAACCATCGGCTACTATCAAGCAGCCTTTCCTCTCATCGTCTGCCCTCTCACTATCGTGCTTCTCTCCCCTGAACACATCTTCATACACATTTGATAGCTTAGCCACTTGGACTGTTGTTGCTCAGGACAAGGTACCTTTCTCTCCACGGCGTCGCTTTGGGTCATACCAGATATTGAAGCCGACTTTTGCCTCTCTAGATCGTTGACCAATATATTCCGTATAGGTTGCGCATCGTCAGTTAGGCTCTCCCCGTCTCCAACACGCAAAGGCCCCATACAGTCAAGCAGTCTAGAGCTCCATCAGAGCCATCGGCCACCATGCCATCGGTCACCAGGGACGTTCCTATCCCCCGCGTCACGAAGTTCACAAACTGTCGTGTCCCCAGCGGGCAAAAGCTGATCGAGCAGGATCTCTGGGTTGATTCTGTCTCCGGCAAGATCCTTCAAGACCAGCATGCCTTCTATGAGGATAAAGTGTGTCCTGATCAGATCATAGACCTGGGCGGACGTATCCTTGCTCCAGGGTTTATCGATGTGCAGATTAACGGAGCCAAGGGGTTTGATTTCTCGGTGCCCCAGCCAACCAAGAAGCTGTTCGATGAAGGATTGAAGGAGGCTGCTCAGGCGCTGGTGAAGATGGGCGTTACTTCTTATCTACCCACTGTCACCAGTCAGAGCAAAAATGTCTACCCAAAGGTGAGCACCGACGTCCTATCCCTAATTGTCGAGTGTTAACAATGGGCTCACGGGATTAGATTCTCCCCTCCCTAGGTCCATCGGGCCATCTTCGTCGTGCTGAAGACGGCGCAGAATCTCTCGGTGCCCATGTTGAAGGCCCATTCCTCAGTCCTGGGAAAAACGGCATCCACAGCTCTGAAGTCCTGCTTGCCGCAGACGGAATCGACGACCTCATCCAATGCTATGGATTGGAGAACTTCTGTCTAAACGAGGCATCCCCAGACCCAATGCCCATCAAGATGATCACCGCAGCCCCAGAAGTCGGCAAGATGCTTTCTCTCATTCCAGCAATTCAATCACAGAATATCCTCTATTCAATCGGTCACTCTGACGCCACGTACGAAGAAGCTCTCGCCGCTGTCAAAAACGGCGCGAACATGATCACTCATATGTTCAACGCCATGCGCCCCTTCTACCACCGCCACCCAGGCATTTTTGGCCTCCTGGGTCAATTCGAACAGCGCCGTCCGTTCTATGGTATCATTGCTGACGGTATCCATCTGCACCCCACCAGCATCCAGATAGCGTATAACGCTCATCCGGCCGGTATGATTCTCGTGACGGATGCGATGAAGCTGTGCGGTATGCCTAATGGCATCTATGAGTGGACGAACGGCGACCGTATCGTGAAAAAGGGCGCAATGCTTACATTGGAGGGGTCTGATCGGTTGGCTGGAAGTTCCGCTACGCTGATCGAATGTGTCAATAACTTCCGTCAATGGGCTGGAGCAAAGACCGTCGAGGCAATCGCAGCTGTTACTGAGACTCCGGCTAAGATGTTGGGCATTCAGGGTACGAAAGGAACCCTTGCTCCGGGAGCTGATGCAGATTTGGTGGTGTTGGGAGAAGAACGGTCCGCTGATGGTGGCATGGGAACACTGACGGTTGACCAAGTGTGGAAATTCGGCGTGAAGGTGTTTGATAAAGAGAAGGAGAAGGCATGAAAGGGTTTGGTGAGAAATATGTCCTTTCAAGCACTTCCATTCTGCGTTGACGTTGATCTTCTTGCACTTTTTGCTCCTGTTTGCGCTTACAATGACAGGGGATACCTAAACAAGGTTAATCGCTGCCCTTTTTCACAGCAGGCCATGTTAAATAGCTGTAGCTTACTTTGACGTACATTTTAATTAGGTTATGACTTTACGATGATAGATGATATTGTATACTAGATAAATTAGATATATAGGAATAAAAATGTGATGTTTATTCATTTGGTTATTTGTGATTGTGTGCTTTTATCTAGCTAAGATCCCTACCTAGTAGTAGGTCACCATTATATATTGCCCTAAGCAAAAGACTGATATACCGATTTAATAAAAAATGGTATGGACGTGATATTCATTATTGCCTATCTCCAACAGGCTCTAGCTTAAATTCCAAGAGTAAAGGATCCCAAAAATGCAGCGTGGATGGTATATATTGAGAAACACAGAGACTTTTAAAGGTTCGATCTTGCAAAGGGATTGGGACCCTTATAGACGAGAAGACGAGGGACGCCATCCAGCTTCTTCGGCGATCAATTCGGCAGCACGCTCGCCAACGCTCAAGACTGTAAGCATAGGGTTGATACTAGGCATATCAGGGAAGACACCGGCGTCTGCTATTCTGATATTCTTCAACCCGCGTACCTTGAGAGCTGGATCGACGACGGCCATGGGGTCATTTTGAACATCGCCCATCTTGGTGGTACCGGCAGGGTGATAGACGGTATGATGCACTGATCGGCCATATGCGCTTAGGTCTTCATCAGAAGTAGTGTTGGGTCCAGGAGCAACTTCACGCTTGATCCAGCTCTTGAAAGGCTCCTCCTCTGCAATCCTACGGGCAGCTTTCAGACCTGCAACGATGGTAGCCGCATCGTAGCCCTCGGGATCGGTGAAATAGCGGAAGTCCAGGGCCGGTTTGACCGCTGGGTCAGCCGAGGTGAGGTAGAGTCTGCCGCGGGAACGGGGTCGGGGGATGTTTGGGGTTACGCAGAATGCGTCAACGGGGACATCGTAGCCCAGGCGGGAGGTGTGGATGCCGAATGGGATTTGGTAGCAGTGCATCATGATGTCAGCGCTGTCACCATCAAATCCTGCGGCGTTAATTGGCTCTCGGCGGAGGAAGACGCCTGCATCGGAGTCCATGGTTGTTTGGTTTGGAGGTACGGGCCGGTTGAGTTCCCACATGATCATGGTTTCTGGGTGGTCGACTAGGTTCTCTCCGACGCCAGGGAGATCCTTTACCACGGGAATGGAGAGGGAGGAGAGTTGCTCGCGCGGTCCGATACCCGAGAGCAGGAGGAGACGGGGGGTGTCTATTGCGCCAGCGCAGAGGATGGTCTCCCGTTTAGCACGGAGGGTCACTTTGGTTCCTGACTGAAGAGTGACATTCACACCGGTTACGGTGTCACCAGTGACGTTAACTTTTGAGACCCAGGCGTGGGTTAAGATGGTGAGATTGGGCTTCTTCTCCTCTCCGCTGAACACTGGATGGATATAGGCAACGCTTGCGCTGCTTCGTCTTCCATCATCAGGGTTGTAAGAGACTGAGAAGAAACCGGTTCCCTTCGTCAATTTGCCTTCAGAACGGATGACTTGGTTAAAATCGGGGATGATGGGGACATCAAGCGAGGTTGAACAGGCCTGCACCCAATCTTTGCAAAGCTGATTGCGGTGCCGGGCATGGATCGGTTGCACGGTGTTGCGGAGGTTATCGATCATGCGAGTGAAAGTTTCAAAGTTCCAGCCCTTGCAACCCTTGCTTTCCCACACTTTGCAGTCGTATTCAAACGGGCGGAAAGATATCAAGGTATTGTGGCTTGAGCAGCCTCCAAGCACCTTAGCACGCGAATGGCGAATATGGCTATTTCCTATATGGTGAAAATAGTGTAAGTTTCCACCCCTTCTTCAAAAAAAAAACAGCATATAACTCAAAAGGCCAGAGTTTGTTGCATACGAGCATTCGTTATTTGGGACAATAATTTCAGCTCATCGGCATTTGACCACCCATTCCGTAGACACCGGATTAGTGATTTTAGTGAATGGGGATGTAGACGTACCCATGGGCTGTTCGGTAGTGCCGTAATCATAGTCGAATTCACCACCAAGCAAGCTCAGCCAGTCCTTCAGCTTCAAAACCCGATCATCCATGTAATCGCTAGGCCCGGCCTCGATAAGCAAGATCTTCTTCCGGGGAAGATACTCCGCCAACCTGCTGGCGATCACGCAGCCGGCGGTACCACCACCAACAATGACATAGTCATAGCTATCGACATCACCCGGAGCAATTTGAGTGACTGGGCTGGCCATCGTTGACGTCCTATAAAGTTGAAAAGCGAAAGAGCGGGTTGAGTATGTAGCGAGTACTCCGCGTATATATATGTATATATATATAAAGAGCGATGCTAGCAAGCCCTACGGCGATATATCGAAATGAGGGATTGACCGAGACGATACGGCCCAAAGGGTGACCGGCCCTCCATATATATACCACCACCCCCCTCCCCATGACGAAGGATTTCCGACAGAGAAGAAGCTCTCGCCGAGAAGCGAAGTTTGGATCAATTCGTCTGCTCCATTGTCAAGCCATCGGCACCAATCACGGCCATCTCGCACCCCACATCGAGATGCGGCGGGTGGACATCCTGGCCACCGCCGGAGTCACTGTACATGCTTCCGCCCATCGCTAGCTGCGCCGGGCAGGCCTCAGTTCGCAAATCATGGCGGCGAGCTGGATCAAACGGCGCTTCGTATGGTCAGCAATTGTCCGGAGAGATGCTTGGGGAGGTACCAGGCTCAGGGATGTGCTTGCGAGCATCACTTTGCTCTCGGTACGCGGTCTTTTCTCGCTGCTTCAAACTTTTAGCCCTTCCTCCACTTGTTCCATATTTAACAGTTATCGCCAGATCTCCGACTCCCGTATGCTGGGCCGTCCCAGGGATGAAACGGCGGTTCGGAGATGGGCTTTTTCAAGGGGCCAAAAAGGTGGTCGCATGCAGAATGACATCACTACACGTGAGGGGCTGCTTTTCGTCTTTTGATGCTTTCATTATGATAGACGAGAAGTTGAAGTGTAGAACCAGGTTGATAGAGAGAAGACGAAGATGGCGACGTTCAGCTTGCAGCGTCTATATTACGATGGCAAACCGCAGACATGCACTTCGGGCAAAACCTTCCAGTCTATCAACCCCGCGACCGAAGAGGTTCTCGCAGACGTGAGCATCGCATCGAACGCAGACGTCGACGAGGCAGTTAAGTCGGCTCGGGCAGCGTTTCCGTCGTGGTCAAAGACTCCCCATGTTGCCCGCGCGCGTATCCTCCTGAAGGCGGTGCAGCTGCTCCGTGATCGAAACGACGAGATAGCCAAAGTCGAGACTGCAGATACGGGCAAGCCCTTCTCAGAGACCAGCGCCGTGGACGTGACCACCGGAGCCGATGTTCTAGAGTACTTTGCCAGCATGGTTGCCGGCGGCGGACTGAACGGAGAGACTGTACAGCTACGAGAGGATGCGTGGGTGTATACAAAGAAGGCACCTCTAGGGGTATGCGCTGGAATTGGCGCCTGGAACTATCCCATACAGATGTAAATAATAACCATACCTTGATCCCTCTAACTAATTGCTTATACTAATGACCTTTGAATAGTGCTCTCTGGAAATCAGCTCCCTGTTTGGCCGCCGGGAACACGATGGTGTACAAGCCTAGCGAATTCACGCCGCTCCATGGCGAGATTCTCGCAGACTTATACACCAAAGCCGGCCTTCCGTCTGGCGTCTTCAATGTGGTCCATGGCGCTGGAGATGTAGGCGCCTATCTCACCGCACACCCGTCGATCGCGAAGGTCTCCTTCACCGGTCAAGTGGCAACCGGTAAGAAGGTCGCTGGCTCTGCGGCTGGCAATATGAAGTACGTTACCATGGAACTCGGAGGGAAGAGTCCCTTCATCATTCTTCCAGATGCAGATCTAGAGAGTGCGGTTGATGGCGCTCTGTTAGCGAACTTCTTCAGTACGGGTCAAGTCTGCACCAATGGAACTCGGGTCTTTGTGCCTTCGAATATGAAGTCGGACTTTGAGAGTCTGCTGGTCAAGAAGATGCAGTACGTTAGGGCTGGGGATGTGATGGATCCAGCGACGAATTTCGGGCCACTTGTATCTGCTGTGCATTTCAAGAAGGTCTCTGATTACATCAAGCATGGCATCGAGCAGGACAAGGCAAAGCTGTTATATGGTGGACTGAAGAAGCCTGAGCCAGCCTCATCGTCAACGTTCGAGAAGGGATACTGGATTACACCCACCGTGTTCACGGACTGCAGGGATGACATGAGGATCGTCCAGGAAGAGATTTTCGGCCCTGTGATGTCGATTCTGTACTACGAGTCCGTGGACGAAGTTGTCCGACGAGCGAACGACACCCCCCTCGGCCTCGCGGCTGGCGTGTTCACTCAGAATATCAACCTTGCCCATCGAGTTATCGACCAGCTCGACGCCGGGATCACCTGGATCAATTCATGGGGGGAGTCGCCGGCCGAGATGAGCGTGGGTGGATGGAAGCAGAGCGGCGTTGGCGTTGAGAACGGCCGGAGAGGGATCGAGGCATGGGTGAGAACGAAGAGCACCCTGGTCGACATGAGCGGTGTAGTAGCCACAAGTTTTACGAAGCTGTGATATGGCGTGCTTTAGCTACCTTGACGATCTAAAAAATGTATACTTCATCCCTAGCCTTTCAAAATAAAATAGAGGCAACCTAAAGCTGGCTCAAGCTAAAGACGTAGACTAGTTCACCGCTCCAAGACCAAGTCGATGTATGTTCATTCTCTTCCTATGCGTGTATGGTACAGGGAAGCAAATTCCACCCGAACTCCCTGATAAACCGTCCTTCCCATGCTCTTGTTAACGCCGCATGCAGATGAACCCGAAAACGCTAGCAAACCAATCACAACGTAACTATATACATACATGATATCAACACAACACAACACACAAAACAAACATCAAAACAAATAGAACAAGACAGTAGACGGACAGACTAGTTTAGAATATCTGAAATACTACACGAGGCTATGTGCTCGAATGCAAAATGAGAAGTTAGAAAAAAAAAAGGAAAGAGCCATAAGTCGTAGCGTACCAACCCCAACCATGCTTCACTTCGGTTCGTCCCATCTCACCTGAAATACACGTCCATTGACCAATCTGTTCGCTTCTCTGTCTGGTTATATCAGATTAGCCATGGGTAGGAATTCTAGACCCCATCCTGTCGAAAATCAGATCTCCGCCTCGAACCATGGTCTCGTCTAGTCCGGCAATCGCAGAGTCTACAATGCGAGAAGACATGCTATCTGGCGTAAGTTCGTCTGGATCAGTGTCGGTGGGATGGAAAGCTGTATCAATCTTTAGACCGATCTTTGAACCCACGGGTGTGCTAAGGTCTGCGGGTGGCGCGACTGGCACATATGGCTTTGTGGGATGGACGAGTGGTGGTCCCTGAGTACGTGCGTCTGTGCCTGCGAGCTCGATGCTTTCAAAGTACTATATAAAAAACGTTAGCTGGAAGGAGATGCAGGAGGTATCGGTATCTGAACGTACCTTGACGGTCTTGACCTTCAATTCAAGGGTTGCATCCTCATCGGCGACTATCAGAGGGTGCTGGTGAAGCTGGAGAGCAGACAAGGTCCACATATGGTTGACGCCGCCTTCGATTCCCTTCTGAAGGGCCTTGGCTTTGTGGACGCCGGTAACGACGATGACAACCTCGCGAGCATCCATGATAGTCTTGATGCCAACTGTGAGCGCAGTCCTGGGAACCTTGGATAGGTCATTGTCGAAGAAACGCGAGTTGGCTAAAATGGTATCATATGCCAGTGTCTTGACGCGGGTGCGCGAATTGAGACTGGACCCAGGCTCGTTGAAAGCTATGTGTCCGTCTGGGCCGACGCCTCCGAGGAACAGGTCGATTCCTCCGGCTTTGGCGATCTTTGCTTCGAAGTCTTTGCACTCCTTGGCCAGATCTGATGCGTTGCCATCTAGGATGTTGATGTTCTTTGGCTGTATGTCGACGTGGGCGAAGAGATGTTTGTACATGAAGCTGTGATAGCTCTGGGGGTGGTCTCGGGGGAGACCAACATATTCATCCTAACAACATTGTTTAGTATAGCTCGGGGATACGTGCATCGCATATTGGATAGATCAATATATCATACCATGTTGAAAGTGATGACATTTTTAAAGGATATTTCACCAGCTTTGTATCTCCGGGCTAGAATCCCATATACGATCTCGGGACTGCTGCCAGTTGGCAGGCCAAGGACAAAAGGTCTGGCGGCCGATGGAGAGAAGGCCTTGATGCGGGCTATAGAAGGCAACACGTTAGAACTAGAAGATGTTATTAGAGTAGATGAGCATACAGATAATATAGTCTGCAATGTATTCAGAGACAGCCTGAGGATTCTTCCTAATGATAACCCTCCTACACGTTGTTAGCAGCGTCCAAGGAATAAGAATGATAGGGCCTTACATGTTGACGACTGAACCACAAAGACCGTTTTCTCAGTTAAGAGTGTGATAGCAGTAGATGCACCGACCTGGGTGCTATCAAGGTGCAGATGTTTGAGAGTAAAAGAGAAAGATGAGATAAAGAGCAAGTATGTGCCACCTCATATAACTGAGAGATGTCACATTATCCGCCTTTCCAGCGCCTTCAAGGCTCTTCTGGTTCGACCAAAGGCATAGTTTGCTTGCGCTGTAACCTACACAAAGGGTAACATCTTCCAAGGAAATAATGCTACTCCAGCACAGGAATAACCTAATATCAAAGTAAGACTTATACTGCTATAGACACGTAAGAATCAAGGTTGACTGCCCTACCCGTCGCCCCTCCCCTCTCCATCCTCTCTATCATCTCTTCTATCATCATCATGCATAGATGTAGATGTAGATGTATGTAGATGTTTTGTCAAGTACATATACACTAGTACCATACATACCGTAATACCATACCGTACCGTAAATACACATATAATACACATATATATATATCCATATACTCCGACTCCTATAGATGCAACGTCACATTTCTCTACCAGCTATAGCTTCCCCACACTATACGGCGGCCATCGGGGAGAGCTTCAGCGTCTTCATACACAGAGAAGGGAAGACGAACTGCGGACAGGGCCAGGGACGCCCGTCGCAGAGGCCGCAGCATGGAGACGCAGACGGAGTTTCTGTCGCGGGCAGAGGCTGAATAAGCGGCAGTCGGGTGTTTACCTAAGCAACCTTAACCTCGCCTTCCGCCAACCTCCCTTTAGAGGCCTTTTTTTGTTTTGAAGGGAAGCTCTTGATCCTTGCTATCATGTGTCCGCCGCGCAGCCTCGTTTCGATCAATATTAGCTGCCCTGCACGCAACGACGGGCGCTCCTGGCAAGCCGCAAGCTCTACTCTCACTACACTACGACCGTGACAGTGACCCGACGGCGACGGTGTTGAAGGTTGCGTTGGCGCAACATATCCACCACCACCCCCCCCTTCGACAACTATCCCTCCACAGAGCTATCGATCGATCGCAACGTCGCCTCTCTCCCCTGCGCGCTTTACTCTGCGTGTCCCGCTAGGCCCCTTGGAAGCTCCCCTACAGCCTATATATCGCGAACCCGGTCGGATCGTCACTCATACTGGCATCGCATAAGCTGTGTGGTTGGTGGCGCATTGGGGAAGGGCACAAAAAGGGCACGGCATGACCGTTGCCTGCCATGGCGGCCCCGAGAGCAGAGATATCCCCTGATTGGGATACCAACCTCAATAGGTTCGTCGACAGCTTCTGCGCCTCTCCTTTTACATCCCAGGCCGCTTCATTTGCCGTTTCCTTGGGGCTTCCTTGCCGTCTCTTTGCCCGTTCCTTTGGCTGTCAATCCTTGACCGCTCATAGATGGTCTATACCATCGTATCTATGGCCATACTGTAGCTTGCGCCTGATAGGTTCAACTACAGCAGATGTCGCCTTCTTGATTTCCGGCTCTGGTTCCTGCACTGCCCGTTTCCTTTTGTTTGATCCATCAGACGGCCCCAACTTGATATCTTGTAGAAAGGGCGCATTTGGCTGACTGAAACTCCGGCATCATGATGCATGACATTGGATACAGGCAAATGGGACAGCTCTTTGTCATGGGATTCGATGGTAGCACCGTCGACCCGCAGATACGATCTCTTATTGAGGACTACCATCTTGGAGCGATTCTTTTAACCGCCAAGAACTTGAAGTGTACAAACATCCCCTTGCGTGCTTTCATTTCCTCCATCCTTCACTCCTCCGTAGAGTCACTCCCCCCCCCTTTTTCCATACTCTTTTCCGTCCTAGTCAACATCTTAACCATTTTGGGTCCACCGCGGGTTTCAAGGCTGGTACCGTATAAAGAGCCTCCTGAATTCTGCCCTATATGAGACTGACCTTTTGCCCTTGGGATTTACCTATCTTTGTAAAGTGCTTGGAGCAGAGAAGGTCAAGCTACCCACCTGAAACTAACTTCCGGATAGCAGCAGATGAAACCGCGAAACTTGTCCTTGAGCTCCAGACCATCGCACGGCAAGCAGGCCATAAATTGCCACTATTAATCGGACTTGATCAGGAGAATGGCGGCGTCAATAGTCTCTTTGACGATGTTTACATTCGCCAATTCCCCAGCGCCATGGGTGTTGCGGCGACGGGCTCGAAGAAACTGGCTAGAGAAGTAGCCAAAGCGACGGCACAGGAGCTCCGCGCTGTCGGGGTGAATTGGATCCTGGGCCCAGTATTGGACGTCTTGACAAACGGAAGAAACCAGCCGTTGGGCGTCCGGAGTGTGGGGGATGATCCACAGGAAGTGGCGGCGTACGGAGTTGAATCGATGAAAGGGTATCAAGACGCAGGACTGGCCACCTGCGGAAAGCATTTCCCTTCATACGGCAACCTGGATATGCTGGCATCTCAGTCCGACGTACCGGTCATCACAGACACACTTGAGCAACTCAGGCTAAGTGCTCTCGTACCGTTCCGCAGCGCAATATCACAAGGGCTGGACTCGATGATTGTGGGCGGCTGTTCGATGATGTCTCATGGAATGAACGTGATGCATGCCTGCCTCTCAGAACAGGTAATCGAGGACCTACTTCGAACCGATCTCAACTTTCAGGGAGTTGTCGTTTCCGACTGCCTAGAAATGGAGGCTCTCAGCAGCAACATTGGCGTTGGCGGTGGGACGGTGATGGCTCTCAAGGCTGGATGTGACCTGGTGCTGCTCTGCCGGTCTTTCACCGTCCAGCAGGAGGCCATCAGCGGGTTGAGGTTGGGGGTAGAGAATGGCATGATCAGTAAAGAGAGGATACGACAGTCGCTACAGCGAGTGTCTGCCATGAAGAGCCGGCGAACAAGTTGGGAGCAGGCTCTGAATCCTCCTGGTCTCGGCCTGTTGTCCAAACTGCAGCCGTCTCACACCAGCCTATCCACGCAGGCATACAACAAGTCGATCACCGTTGTCAGAGACAAGGCCAACCTGCTCCCGCTCTCCAGCATACTCGAGGCTGACGAGGAGCTGCTACTGCTTACTCCGCTCGTCAAGCCGCTCCCAGCCTCTGCGGCGTCTCAAACGGCCGGCGAACGCAGCCGAGAGTCCACACATTCGATAGATGCTTCCAACTGGGAACGAACTCCTTCCATCAAGAGCGGCGAGGCCGTATTCCGTGATTTGGGGCGGTCGTTAGCGCGCCGGAGGAACGGACGGGTTCTTCACACGTCCTACACCGCAAGCGGCCTTCGACCGATTCACGAGACTCTAATCACTCGCGCCAGCGCCGTGATCGTCGTCACAGCAGATTCGAACAGGAACCTGTACCAGCACGGCTTCACGAAGCACGTCTCCCTCATCTGCAGTGCTCAGAGCTCGGCGAACGGGTACCCGCGAACGAAGCCGGTCATCGTGGTCGCGGTCAGCTCACCGTACGACTTTGCGACGGACCAGTCCGTAGGCACGTACATCTGCACCTATGACTTCACGGAGACAGCACTGCAAGCGCTAGTCAAGGTGCTCTACGGCGAGCTAGCCCCGACCGGACGGATGCCAGGAACGCTCAGCAAAAGCTTGAGGTCAAGCCAATTACGCCAGCACTGGCTCGTGGAGACCTGGAACGAGGAGCGAGACGTGGCCGCGCTCGATGCGCTCCTTGCAGCTATACGGGAGGGCGACGGGCCCAACCACGGCCGCGAGCTGGCCAGCGTAACGGCCAACACCTTCCTGCTGAAGAACAGCGATGTGCAGGAGAGCCACCTGGTGGTCAGGAACAGCAGCACGCACGCGATCAACGGGTTCTGCGCCACGTACCTGTTCAAGTCGACAGGCACCGGCGTCATCGGGGCGATTCTGGTCGACCCAGCACGGCGCAAACTGGGCATCGGCAACTCACTGCACGCCCGCGCGATCCAGACGCTAGCCCAAGGGCAAGGCGTGAAGCAGTTCCAACTTGGCTCGAGAATCCCCGGGATATACCTTGGCATCCCCAGGGGCGATCCGGTCGAGCGGAGGAAGCTGCGCCGGTGGTTTGCCCATCTCGGCTGGAACATGGCGCTCTCGCGGCCGCTGTGCTCGATGATTCTCCGCGACGTGCAGAAATGGGTGCAGCCCGAGGGCCTGACGCGGGCGCTGGTATCGTCCTCGTCCTCGTCGGCGGTCGAGTACGACCTGGTCTTTGGCTGGGAGTACGGCGAGGCGATCGTGGACCACGTCAAGACGAGCTCGCGGCAAGGGGTGGCCGAGATATACCGGACCGCGCTCTCTGGGCGGCCTCACTGCGGGATCATACGCGCGAAGAGGAGCGCGGACGGGGCGATACTGGGGACGGTGGTGGTATACAACTCGCTCTCGACGCTGGCTCGCGTGGTGCCCGCGGTCAAGGACGCGCGGATCCGAGCCGGAGGAATATCGTCGCCCGTGATATCGCCCTCGGCCGGAGAATATGCAACTCTCGTCCAAGGCCTGATCGTGCTGGGCATCAAGGAGATCCGCAAGCAAGGAGGCAACGCGGCAGTCCTCGACTGCGTAAGTTTTTCCATTTCTCTTCTTCCATCCTTCTACCCCATGATCTGCCGTCGGTCGTCCCCTGCTCAGGCCCTTCGACATCCCTGCCGCCGAGTCGAGCGGTGGTCGAATCAGGCCGCTGGGAAGTACGAGAACGACCCGAGGCTTTTTCTCCAGAGCGCCAGACTAACGGGAAACTCGCTTCTGGCGTAGGTGGATGGCGACGGCAATTTCGACAGCCTGACGACCATGGGCTTCCAGGTGCTGCACAGCTTCGAGGAGCTGACCTGCGATGCGGCGGCGTGGTAGTCTTCTTGTATAGCATCACTCAGTAGCGAATATGAATATATCTAGCTCAGCATGATCTCCCATGATCGCCCTGCACGGCTAGCGGCGCCACCAGACAAGCGAGTAAACTATGTACAGTTACGCGGAGAGCTCCGGATAAACACCTGCTTCATCGAGTTAGATTCTAGAGATGTAGAGTAGATATATTAGATGTGTAGATATATTAGATGAGAGTAGATATATATGTAGATAGTAGAGTAGGAGAGTAGAGGTATACATAGAGAGTAGATATACATAGAAAGATAGAGAGTAGATATACATAGAAAGATAGAGAGTAGATATACATGGAAAGATAGAAGATACACATAGAAGATATAAGATATATATAGAGCATCGGATACTCCGTAGAGATAGTACTCCGTAGTAAGCTAGGTTGGATAAGGAATCCTCCGAGTTGGACGGCGATGCTTGTTCGCAGACCTTATTTTTAATTAAAAGCAGTAAAACAAAGCATTCATGCAGCCGGGCAATCTCTCCCCAGACTCTTCACCACATTTATACCGCCAGGCCGACATCGAGGATACAGGTTTGCATCGCAGGTTTCGCCCGAGTATTCGCTTATCCTGGTCTTCTCTCTCCCCTGCCCGTCTGCGAGAGCCGCCAGATCGATCTCAGGCCTGGAAACCCCTCCGTCTGCTCTACAGCGTCTTCGCTGGCGGGACGACATCTTCACATCGCGCAGGACGATGGACGGCTACGACGCCATGACGATGCCGTACATGGGCTCGCCGCTCCCTAACATGGGCCACGGCGAGTTCCTCAACACCATGGCCTCCATCGACATGCCCCAGCCGTCATACGACGGCGACGGCTTTCCCAGGTATGTCTCTATCTCCCTCTATGTCTATCTATCATGTCTAAGTATGCTAACGAGAGAAGTGCGGACGACATGAGCTACACGCAGCAGATGTCGACGCACTCGCTGCGGCGGTTCTCGAGCAACCAGTTCGAGGAGCCGTTCGCAGACATGCCCGAGATGCTGCCCGCCTTCGAGGCGATGGCGCCGGAGCCGCCGCAGCAGGACACGTCGATAGACCACGGCAATAAGCTGCTGGGCTTCTCGCTGCCCGTCTACAACTTCACGCTGCTCGACTACTCGCTGCGGCGGACCTCGCTCTCCATGTCTGCGCAGCTGCACGGCATGTTCTTCCTCGCCGAGTCGCCCTTCACCACCTCGCCGACGGGCGAGCCCAGCGGACCGCCCCCGATCGCAGAGCTGACCTGCTACAGGCGGAATCTCTTCCAGATCACCGGCTCCGTCACCCTGCCCCGGACGCTGCGGTACATCATGACCGAGCAGGGCGACCGGATCCCCATACTGGCGCAGGAGCTGTCCGTCTCCGCCACCGAGTCCGTCGAGGGCAACTCGGTCAAGATCATCTCCGTGCCGTGGAAGACGCCCGCTGCGAACGCGACGGGCCAGCCGGAGGACAAGACTGAAAAGGAGCCGCCTGCGATAGGGCTCGATACGATGACGGGACAGGATACGGACTCGGACTATGCTACTTTCTCCATCGCCTGGAAACGACTGCAGTTCCGGATAGCGACTGCGAACAACGGACGGCGAAAGGAGCTGCAGCAGCATTTCGTGGTCCGGCTCAAGGTCGTGGCCACCCTCTCCACGGGGGCGAAGATATCGATATGCGAGACGCAGTCGGGCCCCATCATCGTTCGCGGTCGGAGTCCCAGGAATTTTCAGTCTCGCAAGGACCTGCCGCTCAGTGGGAGTGCCGCCGCCTCGAGGAAGAATATCCAGGCTGCGGCGGCGTTGGCCAGGAGTAACGCGGAGTCCTCACGTTCACAGCAGCAGCAGCAGGGAACATCGAAGAGGAGCAAGTCTCCTCAAGACCGGCCATCGACGAAGTTGGAGTCAGATAGGAAGACAGAGCATGCCGGCGAAGGCAGTTCGTCGCACCAGCAGCATCCTACATCTACGTCTACATCTACATATCCGGACTGGTCTCATATCCCAGCCACGGCGGCCACGCCCGGGCCGGCCTTGATATCGGAACAGCCCTCCAACCAAGACGGATCGAGAGCGTTCAAGAGACGCCGTCTGAGCTCCAGCCTTGCTCCCGTCAGTCTCTCCTTCATGGACGACGAAGCCAGCGCGTCCGGCTCTCCGCATTCAATCGATATACCAGCTCCTCCTCCTCCGCCATCCCATCCAGCTCCTCCTCCCACGATCGGATCAGAACATAACCACGACACCGCCTCCCGCGACGACACCGATCTATCCCCTTCCAAGTCACGGAAACGATCATCACCCACCTCTGCACCGCAGTATCAAGACACCGCCAGCACGACAGCGACTTCACACGACCAGCCGTTTGGCAGCGCGTTTATACCGCCTGCCATAATGGGAGCGGGCGACAGTGCAGAAGCGCTGTACGAATACTTCCCTCTCGCGCTGGACGAGTGGCAGGCCCCCGTTGACGCCGTCTACCGGCCGCATGTAGTACACCATACCGGCTATGTTGACGATGCAAAGGCGCTGGCGGCCAGGAGTCGGAGTAAGCGGTACTTTGCGGAAGAGGGGAGTTGACGTCCATCCTTATGACTTTCCTTGCAGTATCTGATGGTCTGTCTCTAATACTCTTACCCTACTCTTACTCTTCCCCTTAACCTATCCCTATCCTATCCTTATCCGTACCAGACCTATGCGCTTTCGGAGTTCCGTCCAGCTCTTTGGATGCAAACGTGTTTTGTCTTTCTTCGTGATATACTTCCGCCTCCCGTGTACATACTTCGCCATGCTGTTTATGAGGATACACGAATCAAATGACTGCAATCTTCCGCCTCTTCGTCCACCTCGTATCGTAGACCACGTAGACCACGTAAAACGTAGAGTGCAGAGTATGGCGCTTAAGGGCTCGCGGCTGCTGCTGCAGGGATAGCTGATTCATGTCGCAGTCTCATTTCTGGCGATAGTATGGTTACATTGACAGGAGAACTCCATCTATAGGGAGATATCTAGCAGTAAGTCAGTATGCAGCAGGGTCAGGAGTAATTACAGATACATGGTGATGTTGCATCCAGCCAACCCAAACTTCATCCGCACCATCGCATCGCATACGCATCCTACAGTCTCACTCAGGGCGCTCGCTGTTCCCACCCCCAATGTCACCCTGCCCGGCCACTCCACCCGCTTTCTCGTTGATGTTGACGCTGATCTCGATGTCGATATTTTGATGTCCTCGATAATCCTCGATCTGTTGATACTGCTCTTCGCCATGTGTGGTGGGTCGAGTGTCTGCACAGTGACAACCACCAGCGGCCGCTCTCCTGCTCCAACAGTTACACCCGCCTGTCCTCCCTGATACCGCCTGTCGCCCTGGTATACGACGTTCCTCAGCCGACCATTCGAGCGTCCTCGTCCAGCAACCCCCTTTCGCTTCGAGAAAGCTTCCTCGCTTGCGGTTTCGTGTGGTGGCAGCTCCGTCGTCCTTGGGGGAGACGCCAATTCTTATAACCAGGCCTATAGCTGCGAGGAGAGCAGTTGAGAGCGCCATTGTCTACTCTTCCTCTGCTGATATCTCTGCATAGTGAATCAGACTCACTCGATCTACTGCATCGACACGAACTCTACGCTACGTGCTACATCTAGTACCCAGGTGGCAGGATATCTTGTCCAGCTCAAGCTGTCCCCGCAAACATGGGCAAGACACTCGAACAGGTTGCCCTGCGTCTGCGTGAGCTCTTCGATAACCTCATCTCCATACTCCAGCGACTGCTCAGACTGCGGCCTCGACCTAGCGCGCAGCCGTGCGAGAAACGGCCGTCCCTGAGCAAACGATGGCGGACCCGACGCACCCTCGACGACTTCGCGGTAGAGATCGAACGGGAGTTCACCGGCCACCTTACCACCAAACAGCTAGCTTCGATGGCTGCCAAAATCCGTACCCAGATCGACAAGTGCGCAAAGACGAGCCCGGTCTGCATGCTCCCCTCGTTCAACCATACCTTGCCCACGGGACGGGAGAAGGGGACCTTTCTGGCACTGGATGTAGGAGGGTCTACATTCCGTGTTGCGCTGGTTGAGCTGTCGGGTGAAAATGGAGCTATGAAGATCGTCCGTATGACTTCATCGGTTATCGACGAGTCTGTGAAACTACTTGAGGGACGGGCCTTCTTTGACTGGATTGCACTGAAGATAGGTGAGATGCTCGAGCAGGGGACGGAAGGGTTCGGTCAGGCTTCTACCCCCCTTTCAATGGGGCTCTCGTGGTCGTTCCCCATCGACCAGACGTCTATCCGCAGTGGGCTGGTTATCAGTATGGGCAAAGGCTTCCTATGCTCCAACGGCACCGTGGGCGATGACCTGAGCGAGCTCATCATGGCAGCGTGCCACAAGCGCAATCTCAACGTTCGCATAGAGGCAATTGTCAACGATAGCTCGGCCACCCTCTTGTCTCGCGCATACTCGGATCCCTCAACTCGCATGTCTCTTATACTAGGCACGGGCACGAACGTTGCCATCCACTATCCCACGAGTGCAATTGGCCTCGAGAAGTTTGGAAACCGGTCTGCCGAATGGTTCGCGGAAGCAAGCCGGGTCATCGTCAACACCGAGCTTAGCATGTTTGGCGGAGGCGTGTTGGCCATGACCCGCTGGGACGACGATTTGAACCGCAGCCACATCAAGCCGGACTATCAGCCACTCGAATACATGATCACTGGCCGATATCTAGGTGAGATCGTACGGCTGCTGATCGTCGAAGCTGTGCAGGTAGCTGGTCTATTCGGCGGAGAACTGCCCATGTCAATGCGAACCCCCTATTCCTTTGACACCGCCATCGTTGCATGCATCGAAGGCGATTCCTCTCCCACCCTAGCCGATTCTTCCGCCTTCCTTCAAAAGAGTCACAAGTTCCTCATCCCTCCAACGACATCAGACCTTCAATTCCTACAGAAGATTTGCAAATGCGTCTCCAAGCGTGGCGCAGCATACCTGGCAACAGCCATATACAGCCTGTGGTGTCTAAGCAATGAAAGCGAATCTCCCATCCCGCCGTCAACACCGGACTCGGACGGTAACGAGGAAGAGCTAAAACAGCAGACAGCCGTTAGGGAGGCACCAAGTCTACAGGTCACCATCGCCTGTGATGGCAGCGTTATCAACAAATACCCCAACTTCAGAAGTCATTGCCAGACTTACCTCAACAGCCTGACATCCTGCGGCGCCAACTCGGGCGTCATCTCGACAAAGAATGACGGGGCACCTACATCTCTCACTCCTGTAATATCGCTCGATCCTGCCCCGGAGAGCGGTATCCTCGGCGCCGCGGTTGCTGTGGCCGTTGCCCTTCCAAGCAAGTAATTATTATTCCCCATGTCGTTATCATCTTTATTCTTTCGTCATCATTAATCCGTTCAGCCTGTCTCTGCCTTTTTTTTTTTTTTTTTTTTTTTCCTTTTTTGGCGCTGGAGTTACATACGGACGGAGTCGGTGAGCGGACTGGCCGTTCCTATTTATCCATCTCTTTTTCACATCTCAAGTCCATCCGACTGGCCACAAGGGCGGTGCTTACTTGAGCCCACTATCGTGCAGGGGGATATGGACTACATATGTGTCTGTCATATTATCACCTATTGGCTGTTCGCCCTTTTGTTTCGTTTTCGCCTGGCGTGTGTTGTCTCGACTGCATTGTATCGGCGTTACCTACGACCAGTTTCACTGCCTGCGAGGAAAAAATATAACATAGTAAATGACGATGCAAGACGCATTTGGCATGTAGCTTGCTGTCTTCTTCTGGACAATAGCCCCTTGCGTGACATATCTCTAACTATGTACTCCGTAATGGCCTTGCCTCCTATTTAAATGGGGCCGATATAAAAGGACCACGGTATCCATATCTCGGGTAAAAAACAACCTTAAAATGCTGCGCATCACACTAGTTTCCTCCATGCCAGCTAGCGAAATGCTTTATCTTCGGTCCTGCCGAGCAAATAAGACAGCGCTCAAGATCTGTCTAGCATGGGCTTGCACTGCCTGTCTGGGTCGGACGAAGCGACTGAGCGAAAGCAAAAAAAAAAAAGGCCCCCGCGTCTCTCGTCTGACGCTTCATGCTTTATGCCAGTTATGCCGTTCCACGATGGCCTGCGATGCGAGCTGCCGAGAGAGACACTGCTGGGGGCAAGCCGGTCAACTTATGCAGAGACGGCGTACGGGGGTTAGGGTTCCTCCGCCCATGGACAGCGCAAGGCAAACTCGTTTTATATAAGATCATCCGTTTCATGTGATGTTATGCCGACGACCGAGTCGTGTTTTGCTTTGCATAGTCTCTGCATTTCAGTTCGGAGCGTCCGCGGCGTCTCCATAGGGCTTTGTACTATATACATCGCCCTTCCTCGCCATTCCCATCCTTAATCAATTCGATACAACTCATATAGTCATCGCTATTGTTTGACAGATACAATATGTTGTTCGCCACTGAAGGTAGCGGTCTGTTGCCCGTCGTGGGGTGGGTGCTCTTGGGCAGCTTCGTCTTCTACCGCATCGCCGTGTACATACAGCTCAGCATCGCCCGGAGTCGAGCTGCAAAGGAACATGGCTGTAAGCCGCCGCCGGCCTATCCTGACTTTGATCCCATCTTCGGCCTGGGGCTTGTCCTCGCCGCCGTGAAAAGTGGCAAGAAGGACACCTTTCTCGAGGATATCTGGAAACGGTACCAGAAGTATGGGAATACCTTTTCAAGTAACCTCACCGGTCTGCCGAGTTAGTATATCCCGTCGCTATATGTGTATGTACATACTTACCCGGTTCAAACAGTAATCACCACTTGTGAGCCAGAGAACGTCAAGACCGTGCTGGCAGTCAAGTTTGCTGATTTCCAGCTTCCACCCAGACGGAAAGCTGGATTCCGTGATCTGTTTGGAAATGGAGTCTTCACGACCGATGGAAGCGAGTGGGAGCACTCCAGAGCTATGCTGCGGCCTAACTTCACCCGTACCCAGATTGCTGACTTGAACATGTTCGAGAAGCACGTCAACGAGCTGATCGAGCTGATACCCAAGGATGGCTCGACTATCGATCTCCAGGACCTGTTCTTTGGCATGACTCTGGATTCTGCGACGGAGTTCCTGTTTGGAGAATCAGCCAATACCCTATCTGGCCAGCACAGCTCTGCCCCCAAGGGTGATATCTTCGGACAGTCCTTCGACTACTGCACTGGCTATATCGGAAAACGCTTCAGGGTCGGTTTGCCCACCATCTTTGGCAATAAGCAGTATACCCAGGGTGTCAAGGATGTCCACACCTTTGCCGACCACTATGTGCGCAAAGGCATCAAGAGGTACAACTCACGCGAGAAGGGTAGGGATGGCATCGATTCGCCCTCCGAGTCCGGGCGATATGTATTCTTGGACGAGCTGGTCAAGGAGACGCAGGATCCTCTTGCTCTGCGATCGGAACTCATGAACATCCTTCTGGCTGGCCGTGATACCACTGCGAGTCTCCTGAGTGTCCTCTGGAACACCTTGTCCAAGCGACAGGACGTATGGGCCAAAATACAAGCTGAAGTCGAAACCCTCGAAGGCCGCGCGCCATCGTTTGAAGAAATCAAGAACATGAAGTATCTTCGCTATACCATGAACGAAGGTAAGGGAAATCGTTTCTGCATCCCCTCTTAAACTCCCTACAGGTGCTGACGGTGAACCATGCAGTCCTACGTCTCTACCCAGTTGTCCCAGGAAACTCTCGCAGCGCAATTCGCGACACCGTCATCCCACGCGGTGGAGGACCAGACGGCCTCTCCCCGGTCTTTGTGCCCAAGGGAACTTCGGTCGTATATAGCGTCTACAGCATGCATCGTCGCACCGACATCTACGGTCCCGACGCTCTTGAATTCAAGCCTGAACGATGGGAGACCCTAAGACCCGGATGGGGGTATCTGCCATTCAACGGAGGTCCCAGGATCTGTCTTGGACGTATGTTTTTCCCTCCTTCCCACTGCTAAGCAATAACCCTGGCTAACAATGATATAGAGCAATTCGCACTTACTGAAGCTTCGTACGCGACTATCCGGCTTATGCAGACGTTCAAGACTATTGAGTCTAGAGATCCACATCCCTGGACGGAGTTGCTCACGGTAACTTGCTCCAGCAAATATGGAGCAAAGGTGTCTTTGAGGTAGAGGGATATCATACGGGTTTATACAGGCGCACGGTTTGTCGTAGCAACCACTAAGCAATTTATCAATTGTAATATGTACATAGCTAATTAGGGATTGTTTCTTCACTCATACTCACCTTGCATTATGACATGGCTCTATATGACCTTTCTCGTACACATATCCAGCAGTAACACCTACATCCGAGTTATACTAATGAATGGGACTATCAGTAGAGTGATAAAAAGATGTAACGAATGCCATGCAACCTCAGAGTCCAAGGTGTCGAAGCAAAAAAAAGTCCTAACGGAATGACTAGACTGGGGTTCGATCCCAGGACCTTATCGGAGCAAGTGAAAAATCACTGTGAGCGATACGTGATAACCAACTACACCATCCAGCCAGTGTGACTATCCGAGATTTGGGCCAGTGACACCATAGACACGTAAGCAATGGAACGTTAGTCAGCATACTTACGTCAGCCAACACTTTTTATGCAGGAACCGACTTGGTGGCGCGGGGACGAGGAAACATCTTCCTTTACCAACCCCCAGAAAGGCGTTATATCTGTTTCTTCACTGTCCTGTCTGGATTACACATGATGGACGTCGACGCGCCTTTGTTTAATCCCGCGAAGAGGAGAAAGTTCATGCGCAGACGAGCGGACGATGCGAAGCCCGAAGACGAGCCGGACACATCAGGGCAACGAATGGCCGAGCTGGATACACGAATATCTCCCGTCCACGATGACATGGAAACAGACGATACCCATGTTGCCGATATAGTGCGTCTTCGCAAACCACACCGAGTACGGAAAGGCGGTATAGAGTTCTCAACGTCGCGGTTGGGGCGAAATGACTCTCTCATCCCAGCGTCCGAGGCAGTGGCCGACGGTCGGTTAAGCGGTATCTCAGATCGGTTTGTTGGGCATTCGGGGCAGAAGGTGGATGTCGATAAGCACATGTACGCATTACCTCCTCCAGCTCTGTTATCATCCGTCAAATTCCGCTATATATATATATATATACTGCAGTAGTTAACAAGATAAGGATGGCTTTTATAGAGGCTGAAATGGCTAAACGTCGCCTTGGGACGTTGCCGTCGGAGACAGCAGATCCTACTGATCCCACCGATCACGATTCACGGCGAGCTGCAGACAACACGTCGGCAGAGTTACATCTACCGCAGAGACAGCCGGCAACTCTGGGGAAGCTACACGAGATCGATCTCGGACCCGACTCTAAGCTTCAAAACATTGCAAGGACCGAAGCAGCTACCAGGAACCTTGTAAAGGGGGATTCTGCAACTCCCGAGGGTGACGACGACACATTCAACAAAACCCGTCTTGATAAGGATGGCAAGCCGATACGCAGCAGCCGGAGGAGGCGTAATAGCGAAGATGTCATGCGAGATCGGCTAGTGGAAGAAGTTTTGCGCGAGAGCAAACGTGAGTTGCCAAACCCTCTATCAAACTATTTAAAATATAATCACTAATGCTGTTTTTTTAAGTCGATGTCTACGAAGAACCCCAGCGCTTGCCGCTTGAGGACGATCAAGCCGCTGATGATCGAATTGCAGATCAATTCCGTAGAGACTTCTTAGACGCCATTCACTCGAGAAGACGCGGAGCCCGAACCCGAAATACCAAAACAACCAAGACGGATGCACCACGTGGACCGAAACTCGGTGGTAGTCGTAGTGCAAGGGCAGCCATGCGAGAGCAGCAGAGCAAAGCCCAGAAGTAGCCCGGCCAGGCAACTCCATTCCCCGATTCTTACTCTTCCTATACGGAACTCCGGATGGAGGAGATTTCCTTCTATCATGTACCACAGCCCTGTACCACAACGTCATAGTGTACTCCCTACTTATACACGGATGGAATGTATGAACTTCACCCTTCTTATGCACGGTATCCTCCGCCATCCATTCAGACCCCCTGATTAAGCGACCCAGGGAGCTCGAGACTCCAAAAAGTGCACACGCACAGCCAGCAGCACGCGGGAGAAAAGCGGCTTGCATCCCTTAATAAAACGCTACTGCAGTTATTTATGGCATAACGCACCATCTGACGGGCGATATCTAAGTATGGAGTAGGAACAGCGCACCGGAATTTCTGGTTGAGTCCAGCCCAAGGCCGTCTTGGCCGTGGCTGTGGCTGTGGTCTAGGTTGCCGCCTGGATAGGTGGTCCTCCCCGGTCCACCCGTCAGGGATGCGATGCCTTCATCCTTAATTATTCCCTGTCCGTTCGGTGGCTTCGACATCTCGACTTTTTCCCCTGCACTCCGACAACTCTGCATACTCCGTGCTATCTGGTGTTCCTGAGTCCCAAGTCGGTTCGATCGCACTGATCCTGCACAGCAATCTAGCAAATGAGCCTGCTCCATACGACTAGTAGCGAGATGCTGGTGCCTCTGTGGATACGTGGCGGATGCACGACTGAAGGCCGGTGGGCGCGAAGATGCCCCTTAGCTCCATAATTACGCCGTCAATGTCTTGGTTAGGCACCCCTAATGAGACCAGCAACGGCATTTGAGTGGTTGCTACTCAGCAGTGGGCCGCTGACCCTCACCTTCGGAGAAGCTCAACTTGCCATCACCAACTCCTCCCAATCATCTTCCCTTTCGTTAAACTCCCAGGACCAGCGCAAAGTCCGTTTGAAACAACATCACAGCACATTCGTTTTCTTGGAAATCTTTATCTTTCTCTCTTGGAAACCTTTTTTTTTTCCTTCTCGCGTATAACTATACGGACATCTTGGGGTGGCTATTCTTATCCTAAAGGTTGATGTTTATATTTGACAACCAGCTGAGCGCTTCTATGGACATCAACCAATCGCTTAGCCCCTGAAGGACGATTCTGTCCAAATGGGCCTTGCTTTACCTTCTTTCTTTACTGTTTAACTACTCATATTCTAAGCGCATTAGAAAAGCATTAGCATTGTTTTTTACTGTCTTTGCATGACTATGCAGGTTGATCCTGCTAGCCATCTCCTCGTTTTAACCAGCGTTTTCAATCGTCTTTCAACTTCGCGCGTTCGTTATTGAGTATACCAGTCTCAAGTTCAGCCATCGTTTCCTCTGCATTCAAGGTGGGCTGACCAGGGCCCATCTCCTACCTCGCCTTCTCTCCGCCATATCCTTTTCAGCAGCCTCGAGCCGCGTTCCGCCACCATGAAGTTGCCATCCATAACCGCCGTTGCTTGGTCTCTCTTGTCTCTACACGCCGGATACACCTTCGCCGCAGATGTTCTCAAAAATAACGGGTTCACCACTTGTCTCGATAACAGCGATATCAAAGTTGAACGGCTATCCTTTGTGCTTAACCGCGCATCCAAAACCGCGACATATGACGTCTCGGGAACAAATTCCAAGGAGCAGAATGTGACGGCAACTATCACCATCGATGCATATGGACAAATATTCACACAACACCTTGATCCGTGTGATTCAAACTCGTTTGTGGAGCAACTTTGCCCTGGTATGTTCATGTCCCTGTACCATATCACCACAACCCCCGATACACGAATCTACCATAATAAACTATAAGCCATGGAACTGACAGTTTATAAAGTGCCTGCCGGCACTTTTAGCGCCAAGGGTCAGCAAGCGATCTCAGATAAGTTTGCAGAGAAGATTCCAGCCATCGCCTTTGCTGTGCCAGATTTGGAAGCACAAGCTACAGTCAAGTTAAACGCAAAAGATGGCGGCGCCGAACTCACCTGTGTCCAATCCATTGTTGGGAACGGCCACTCTTTGAGTACTCCCATGGTTTCATATGTGGCTGTCGGTATTTCAGGAGCGGCTCTGGTCGTCTCTGGTGCCAGCGCCGCTGTCGGTGCCGCCCATCCAGGGGCCCCTGGCGCGAGTCCATCATTTGGCCAAGTTATCGGGGTTTTCCAGGCTATTTCAATGAACGGGATGCTCAGTGTAGACTATCCTGCCGTTTACCGAAGTTTTACCAAGAATTTTGGCTTCAGCATGGGCCTTATTCCTTGGACTCAGATGCAGATATCCATCGATAACTTTCGAAACTCCACGGGCGGAAACCTCACTGAAAACAGCGTTTCGTTTCTTCGGAATTCCACCCAAATGCTTGAAGGTGGCAATGCTACTACGGGGAAACGCTCACTTGATCTGATGATCCGCGAAATTCAGCCACTCGGTCAAGATATACAACAGGCCGCCAACAACACAGTCAGTGGGATGAAGAAGGCCATCGAACAGCTCTCCATTCCAGCAGCCAACACGTTTATGACGGTTCTTCTGGTTTTCGCTATTGTTATTGCCGCCATTGCTGCTGGAATATTACTAGGAAAGGTAATCCTAGAAGTCTGGGCACTTTACGGCACCTTTCCAAACCGCCTGTCTAACTTCCGAGAACACTACTGGGGTTTCCTTGCCCGGACTATCACCAATTTGATCCTTGTCCTTTATGGAATCTGGACGCTGTACTGCATCTTCCAATTCACACGCGGAGACTCATGGGCAGCAAAAACACTTGCAGCAGTGACCCTCGCTATCTTCACTGGTGTTCTAGGATACTTTACTTTCCGCATTTGGTCCCTTGCCCGACGCCTCAAGAAGACTGAAGGGACCGCATCAGCTCTATATGAAGACAAGGAGGCATGGCGCAAGTACAGTCTCTTCTATGACCATTATAAGAAGGATTACTGGTGGCTCTTCGTGCCAGTTATTGTCTACCTCTTTGCGCGTGGTTGTATAATTGCTGGCGGAGATGGCCATGGTCTCGTACAATCTGCTGGACAGTTCATCGTGGAAGCGCTTATGCTCATTCTTTTGCTATGGACCAGGCCATTTGAAACCAAATCTGGTCAATGGATCAACATATCCATCCAGGTTGTCAGAGTGCTGTCTATCGGATGCATCATCGTCTTTGTTGATGAGTTTGGCATCTCGAAGACAACCAAGACTGTGACCGGTGTTGCCCTCGTCGCAGTTCAAACAACATTGGCGGTGGTCCTAGGCATTCTTATACTTATCAATGGTATAATGACTCTCTTCGGCAAAAATCCACATGAGCAGCGCCATAAAGAAAAGGGTAAGCATATCTCAGCTCTCCAACTCATCAACATCCCTCACTACCTCAAATTCCACAACTAACGTATATTTCTATAGGAAATCTTGACCGAGACCTAGATGCTCTTACCCCACTAGACCCTCGTGATTCAATTCTGCTCAAGTCCAAGTCTCCGGCATATGGACATGACGAAGAAGCTGGCAAGCTAAACCTTGTCTCCCGCTATGAGCCTTATCAAGATGCACCACAGACCAAATACAAGCATGCCCACAGCGAAAGCGTGACCCCATTAGTTCACCAGCGTGGTGTTAGCCCTGAAAGGCCTCGAAGCGCCGGGAGCGATATATCCTTTAACGACCACCCGCACCAACAGAATCGGTCCCTGTTACGCTAAAGCGTCTGTCTTGATACATCTCGAAATTTTTTGCCTACTTTCTATCACACACATACACGCTCCCTCAAAGATTTCTTGTTTTTATTTTGCATTACCTAGCCATCTACTCGCGTTTCTCCTGGACTTCTGCATACATACACTCCTTTGATTAGCAAGAAGTCCATCCCGCCATCCTGAATTTTACATACATTTTCCATGCTGCATAGCCTTCTCCTTTGTCTAGCCTGCATCTGCGAATCGTCCACTTTTCACTAAACGCTCACCTCCTACACTCATTAGCTTTCAAGTCGTTTTTCGTTTCCTCGCATTTTTTATTGCTGCGTTGTGTCGTGCGTAGAGGCCACTAAGATTTCACATATTGAATAAAATTATATTCGTTGCTTTAACCTAGTGTATATTTCGCAATGTGGTGCCATTGAATAAGTTGAAGGGCTGATAATGGAAATAATGTTCATTATTGGTAGACGGAATATACGGTCATAGATGTCCAATTCCTTCCGCCCCTAACCTACATATGAAGTTATGACCTCAATTCTAGCTCCAAGTAAATCAAGTAAAGATGTCCGTGTGCACAGCAAGAGCTTTGGGAATTTCGTTCATGCATTCAGGAAACAATTTCCCTCTTTCAAGTGTATACTCCTTACATAGACTTCTCGGATTTGTTGTCTGAGTTTATTAGTCATTTACTATTCCACCACATTTTACAAGCTCCATAGCCAAACCAAACAGCAGAACACACCAATGACCAGTACAATCATGGCACATCCTGCATAAACTGATTCTGATACCTTCTGCGGCCATGGACCAACCCGAGGGGGCTGTTGCGGCCCAGGACAACGAAGATTCAGAGTATGAATATGAATATGACCCGTTTGAGGCCGAGGTAAGAGCGCGCGCACCGTCGACTATCTTCAACGTCATACTCAAATGGGTTCTTAAATGCAGACATTCTACATCAACCTCGAGCTATCATCGGCTAACGGGCTGATACGGCCGCCGAGAAAGCGATCCTCTACAATGCCAACCGACTCACCAATCGACCCCGCCCTAAACGCGTCCCTCGACGGCGATGGACAGCACTACAATACCGACCAAGAGCTAGAGTCGCAAAGCAGGGTGCAAATCATGGACCTCCACACGTCCAACCCCATTGTCTCCTACGGCAACCAGATATTCAGCTGTTCTTGGGCAGACATGATTGGGACGGAGCTGATGTTTTCTCGTGCGCCTGAGAGATTACCCAATTCTCTCCCCCCGCTATGGCGGCATGAGGATGACTGCGAACTCCTATGCGCCAACAGGGTTAGGGTCGTGGGCCAAAAGGCGAATCTCATCTCTAGCTCTGGCGGCGGCCAGAACGTGCTAGGAAACGACCCGGCAGAGGCCTCTAGGGTGGCGGCGAGTAACCAGGCACGATTCCTGGCGCGGCTGGCGAAGGCGAAACACGCAAAGGGTGAAACCGACATGATCAGGACGGTTTTCCCGCTGAGGAAGAATCAGAATCTCGAGGGGAAGATTGAAGGGTGGAATAGGACAGAAGCAGCTGTTGCGGAGGTTGAGAGGCTGAATAAGTTGGCGTTGGAAGGGGATGCCGATGCGCTACATGCACTGGAGCGGATTTATTCTCAGAGAAGCGGACAGGGTTCCTACCAAGGCAGCCGTGGGTCTGGGGTGCAGACGGAATCGACGACTCCTACACCCAGCGAGCCACCGCCTGCAGGGTCTTGAGGGATATATCTCCGGTTTATCACTTACTTTCGATCATCGGCTACAAGGACTCGACAGTTTGATGAAACACGGTTAATTGAGGGTAATTGGAAAAAAAATTAATTATCTAATTATCAAAATGGCCCCGAACGCCGTATCCCGCTCAAAGGATATGGACGGAGGAGAAAGAAGAAACAAAGAAGCGACAGGCCGTGTGACATGGCTGAATGATAATCTGAAGGGTTTCAATAAAGAAAAAAAGCAGGGGGAAAAAAAGAACAAAACTCGCTGCTGAACGTCGAGGAAAAGGACCTTGAGAAGCCAGCTCGTCGGCAGGGATATCGATGAGTCAGATGAAGTAAAGAAGAAAGAAAATTGAGAAAGAAAGAAAAGTGAGACGAAGAAAAGTTGAAACCGTCTAAAACAACTCCGTTCTATCCTGCCGATGCGTATTAAGATTATTGTTCTGAGAAGGAAAAGGAAAAACGATCGATCGAGCGTGCCGGTTTTCGTGCCGGAGCGGTTATGGCGAATGAGGTGCGAATACACCGTCTACCTCCAGCTAGGCGAGGCGGTGGGAAAGCCGACTGGCGATGGAGGAGGTGGTGGAGGATGCTCAAAGTCGTTCCCTCCGGAGATGTATTTGGGCTGGGCGGAGGAAGACTGCATGGCACGCTGGATGTCGACGCTGAGCGTTGAGACGGAGAGCTGCTTTGTATTTGAGCTGCTGGAGCTGGAGCTGGTGCTGGAGAAGGAATGCATGGTGTGAGGATGCGAGGTATGGCAGGACTGTGTCATCGTGGAAGCCATTGGAGGTGATGGGATCCTGCCCGTTGTAATGGATGCTGATACGTGTCTTTTCTTTTAGAAGGGAGTGAGGATGTGGATGTGGATGATTGACAGCTGGATGATAGGTAGAGACAGGTATGTGTTTGTCTTGCCTCAATCTTCAAAATGCGGAGAAGTCTGGGGAAAAGAAGAAAGAAAAAAAAAAAAGATCCAGAAAGGCGGAAGGACAAAGCTTTAAGTATCCGAAATACAAAACGCGAAAAATTAAAAAAAAGGAGAGAACAAGTTACATCGCGATTCCCCCTTCAGCGCAACAAGGCATTACAAAAAAAAAAAAAAAAAAGGTGAAACACGGCAGAGTAGACGACCCTCACACCCTCAACACCCTCAACAGTCCGTACCCGACGTACCCACGATAAGCGAAGTCAGCAAATCACTCATACGAACGGAGTATATATATGTAAGGAGGCAGCAGCTCCGGCTCCGGTTACTCCGTCCAGCGCGCCTTTTGCTCGACAGACACATCTGCCGGCCATGCCTCGAATCCTCGACGTTTGATACGAGCGTTGTTTGGCCAACCTGGGCCGTTTTTGGTTGGATCCCACGTCAGATGTCGGCTCCAGCTTCAGCTTCAGCTTCGCCTGGCGGTCGACCCAACGACCGACCGGCCGACCGAACGTGGATGTCAGGGATGAAGCCATGGCAGGGAAGAGAAAGTCAGCCTAACGGGGGTCTAGAAGACGGCTCAGCCAACCGGTTGCTGGGGCTTCCCCGGCTTTACTTTTGTTTACGAGTGATGGTAACGGGCTGCCTTATTCGCCTTACGTACAAAGGCAAGGATTGACGACGCTGCCTGATCGACTGAGTTGACTGTGACTGAGGTTGACTGCAGGAGAGTGACTTGCCTGTTGATTAACTGCAGGAGAGCGACTGTAGGTAGAGGATAGCTGTGATTGCGTGATGCGTATGGGTGGGATGTGGATGCCACGCCCTATGCAATCATCGTGCATGGGAGGTAGTTTATATGCCATCCTGCATGCTTCCGACGTCTAGACTCGAGCCGGGCGATCAACGACGGACATCAGGGCGAGCTCCTTCAAAGACTCGTAAGTCCTTCAAGACTGCCGGACTATACCACTGTGAGACGACATGGCTACCCCGTACTATTAGGAGGCAACATCAAAGCCCGCATAGTCGATCAACCAATAGAACGTACTCCCTAGTAGCGTATGAATAGAGCAGGAGTAGGAGAGGGAAGAGTAAGAGGTGAAGCGGTGAGGCCCCTGAGCGTTGGGAGGCGTCTATTAATACCGACAAACGGTGAGCAACGGTGAGTAACGGTGTACGGTCTGGACGTCGGATCGGTAAGCGACGACTAAGTCTGGATCACAGCTAACAAAGACTCTGGTCACAGGCACAGGCACGATTACTGACTTGAAACGATCAGCAGTCAGCTGTTACTCCATACCTCTATCTATACACATACACACGCCTATACACACATACACATACATACATCTATACACATACACCTATCTACATACATCTATACATCTACCTCTACACACATATATAGATCTACATCTATATACATCTATATATATATACATCTATATAGACAAGCCGAGTTTGGGAGCAAAAGGCGGAAGGCGGCAGGTGGCAGAAAAAAAGAAAAAGGCGGGCCCAGGCACTTACATAAGCAAGGAAAAGTCACGGGGTCATGGTTTTTTCACTGCACATGACGGCTTAGTCATCATGGCTTAGGTCAGGTGTCTGAGTTCCCGATGCTTTCCGCCCTTCCGCTGCTGACTAAGTGCCTGTGGGCCGGCGCTTCCCTCCTCCGCTAGCCGCCCCACGCGACGCTTAATAAGAGCTCTTTGCCTTCTTCTGCCCCTCGTCCTCGACCTCATCTCCAAACTTCACCACCGTCTACATCCTGCGATCCATGGCTGCGTGCTCTTCACAGTCCCTCCTCCAGCTGCTCCTCTAGCTGCTCTCCCCAATTGACACTCCTGACCACTCCTGACGACTTCTGACGACTCTTGACGAGACGACGACTATGGCTGAACTCCCTTCCAACGGGGGGCTGCCCACCCGCCCCAAGGCCTCTGCGGACGTCTCTGGCACCGGCACCCCGACGGGCTTCCAGCGTCCCCTCAACAAGCAGCTCGAGAGCGTCGTCCGCACGCCCGGCCGCCAGCCATCGCCCCAACCTACCCACCTGGGCATCCCCGGAGGCACCCACCGCGTCCTCTCTGAGGAGGGGCCCGGCTATGTGGCCGCCAAGTTCGAGGGCAAGGAGGCCCAGATGCTTGCCGGTACGTACAGACTGATAGACTGATAATAAAGAGAGAGACTAACAGGACAGTGTCTGAGCAATTGGAGAACAACGGGTTCATCCCGTACGAGTTCGTGGCGTCCGAGACCAACTGGTTCTACAACCTGCTCGGTATCGACGACATGTACTTCCAGACCGAGACCGTCGAGGCCATCACCAGTCACATCCTCTCGCTGTACGCGGCCAAGGTCGCCGCCTACGCCCGTGACGACAAGCGCCTAGAGATCAGGCTCGACAAGGAGGCCGAGGACCACGCCGTCTACATCGACACCAGCAGGCCCGGTGTCACCACCACCGACGGCCCCCGCTACGAGCAGCGCATCGACGAAAAGTACATCAACGGCGCCACTCCCGCAGACAGCTTCCGCGTCGAGACCTTCCGCTCCTCCAGCCCCTTGCCAGACAACAGCGAGCAGCAGCTGCGTTGCTACTTCGTCTACAAGTGCCAGTTCGCCAACCCCAACCCGGACCCCGAGGAGACCAACATTGAGGTCGTCGGTGACAAGCTCTTCCTGCAGAAGGCTACCGCAAACACCAAGGCGATTTACCAGGAACTCCTCATCAATGCCGTTGCCCGCTCCGGCCCCGTCATCGAGATGTTCGAGATCGAGGGCAGCCGCGAGAAGAGACTCGTCATCGCCTACCGCCAGGGCTCTGCCATGGGCTTCTTCAGCGCCCTCTCCGACCTGTACCACTACTACCGCCTCACCAGCTCCCGCAAATACCTCGAGAACTTCTCCAACGGCATCACCATCGTCTCCCTCTACCTCCGCCCCATCCCAGGCTCGGAATCCTCCGCCAGACACCCGCCAATCGAGGCTGCTGTCCACCAGATCCTCAAGGAAATCTCCCTCCTCTACTGTATCCCCCAGAACAAGTTCCAGGGCCACTTCATCAGCGGACGCCTCAGCTTGCAGGAGACCATCTACGCTCACTGCGTCTGGGTCTTCGTTCAGCAGTTCCTCAACCGTCTCGGCTCAGAGTACACCTCGCTCGCTGCCATCCTCGACTCCAGCAACAGCTCCCACGCTGAGCTGCTCTCCAAGCTCAAGAAGCGTCTTCGTTCCGAGACCTTCACCTCCGACTACATCCTCGAGATCATCCAAAAGTACCCCGATCTCATCCACAGACTCTACCTCAACTTCGCCAACACCCATTACGTCCAGACCAGGGGCGAGGCCCAGGACGACTTCCTCCCAACCCTCAGTTACCTCCGTCTGCAGGTCGACGAGGTCCTCAACACCGACCAGCTCAAGGAGATGGTCTTCAAGACCGTCGTCAGCGAGAACGACAGAATGGTCATGCAGTCTTTCCTCACCTTCAACGCCGCCGTCCTCAAGACCAACTTCTACACCCCCACCAAGGTCGCCCTCAGCTTCAGACTCAGCGCCGACTTCCTTCCAAAACACGAATACCCAGACCCTCTGTATGGTATGTTCATCATCATCAGCTCGGAGTTCCGTGGCTTCCACCTCAGATTCCGCGATATCGCCCGTGGTGGTATCCGTATCGTCAAGTCCCGCGACAAGGAAGCGTATGCCATCAACGCCCGCTCGCTGTTTGACGAGAACTACAACCTCGCAAACACCCAGCAGCGCAAGAACAAGGATATCCCCGAGGGCGGTGCCAAGGGTGTCTTGCTTCTAGACGTCAACCACCAGGACAAGGTCGCCGTCGCTTTCCACAAATACATCGACAGTATCCTCGATCTTCTGCTCCCTCCAGCCAGCCCTGGAATCAAGGACCCCATCGTCGACCTCCACGGCCAAGATGAGATCATCTTCATGGGTCCAGATGAGAACTCGGCTCCTCTCGTCAACTGGGCCACCGAACACGCCCGCAAGCGCGGTGCTCCATGGTGGAAGTCCTTCTTCACCGGAAAGAGCCCCAAGCTCGGTGGTATTCCCCACGACCGCTTCGCCATGACTACCTTGTCCGTCCGCCAGAACGTCGAAGGTATCTACCGCAAGATGGGCATCGACGAGACCAAGGTCCGTCTATTCCAGACCGGTGGACCAGACGGAGATCTCGGTTCCAACGGAATCTTGCTCGGAAAGGAAACATACGTTGCCATCGTCGATGGATCTGGTGTCCTCGCTGACCCCAACGGCCTCGACCGCACCGAACTCACCCGTCTCGCCCATGAGAGAAAGATGATCTGTGAGTACGACGCCTCCAAGCTGTCCAAGGACGGTTACCGCGTCCTCTGCGACGATAACAACGTCACCCTCCCATCCGGCGAGGTCGTCAACAACGGAACCGCCTTCCGTAACACCTACCATCTCCGCCAGGAGAAATACGACATGTTCGTCCCCTGCGGTGGCCGTCCAGAGTCCATCAACCTCAACAACGTCTCCAGCCTCATTGTTGACGGTAAATCCATCATCCCATTCATCGTCGAAGGTGCCAACCTCTTCATCACACAAGACTCCAAGCTACGTCTCGAGAAGGCTGGCTGTGTCATTTACAAGGATGCCTCATCGAATAAGGGTGGTGTCACCTCCTCTTCCCTCGAGGTTCTAGCCTCTCTCTCCTTCGATGACGAAGGATTCTCAGAACACATGTGTGTCGCCAAGGATGGAACTCCACCACCATTCTACGACGCCTACGTTCGTGAGGTCCAGGAGACTATCAAGCGCAATGCCCGTTTGGAGTTCGAGGCTATCTGGAGAGAGAACGAGCGCACCGGTACCCCCCGCAGTGTGCTCAGTGACACTCTCAGTGTAGCCATCACTCAGCTCGACGAGGAATTGCAAAACTCCGAGCTGTGGGACAACATCCCACTCCGCAAGGCTACCTTGAAGGACGCTCTGCCTAAGCTTCTCATTGAGAAGATTGGCTTAGAGACTCTCTTGGAGCGTGTAAGTTGCTTACCCTTCTGCCCTCATCTTGTCTGTGCTTGCTCCTGATTGATGCTAATCTTCCTAATAGATCCCTGATAACTACCTCCGATCCATCTTCGGCAGTTATCTCGCAAGTCGCTTCGTGTACGAATACGGCGCCAACCCTAGCCAGTTTGCCTTCTTTGACTTGTAAGTTTTTACTCCCCTCCCTTCCATATCCATGTCACCATCCATTACAAGGCCATCGGCTAATTTTCTCCTTCAGCATGGGCAAGCGTATGCCAAAGGAAGAGAACTAAATAGACACTCTCCACACGGCAGCAGGGCACGGCACGACCCTTTCCCTTTTCTATCCCCATCCTTCCCCGCCCCTTTGGATAAATGTACACGACCCATAAAAAAATCCTCATGTTTCTTTCCCATTCCCTTTCCCCCTTAGCGTCCCGTCCTGTCCCATCACTCCTTACGAATCTAGAACAGAAAAACCCATTCAGTTCCAAAAGCAAACCAGAAAAGAAAAAGACAAAGACTTGATTTTTTTTATCCCTCAAATGCAAGAAAAGAAATGAATAGCACACGCTGTACATGTTAATGTTGATGTTGATGTTTCATTGTTTTTCCCCGTCGCTACCTACGTCCGTCCGCCTCTACGACACATACACAGGCCAGAACAAAGCAGAATATAGGTGATTAAACAAACGTATGAGATAGTTGAAAGTGAAATAGAGCTCGAAGAACGAGATTTATTTCCCCCTTCCTCTACTTGACCTGGGGAGAGAGAAGGGGGTGTTTTGGATTATTGTGTTTTTTCATCCCGTCCTAGAATTTTTTTTATTAGACTTGATACCTTCCCCCGCATAAATATTCTCATTCTAACTAACGTGGGCTTCTACTTTAGAACGTGATACCAGCATATCTGACCCAACGGCAGATGATTGAATTAGGGTTGTGTGCGAGTTGTCATCCCTTCATCCCACAACTTTTCCCTTACCTATAGCATATTTTCCATATGCATGCATCCTGCATTAATATTCCGTACATCCTCCAAGCTATCCCATAATCATCGAGTACTGCATAAGCACTTGGCCAACTTCTAGCGCTGATGTACGCCAGCCGTTGGGCGGGATCATTCCCTAGTTTCCGTTCTACCACCTACGCAATTGGGCAATCTATACGAGACGGCGATCGGTGAATGGATGTGAAACTACCCCTTTTTGTCTTGTGGATTTAATTCAAAGCAAACGCCTATAGCCAACCGGTAATTCTACACGGTAGATAGAGGGGAGGCGCAGTGAGTGACGGTCGGGGTTCATTCTCTTCTATGTCCTCACATACTCTTTTCAATTCACGACTATGCCGTGTGGAGATTTGCTATATTGCAAATCGTAGGAAGTTGCAAGAATAGGAACAGTAGAAAGCTAGAAACCTTCATTCGGTATGATTTATATGGCTATATTTAGTATATATACGGGACAATGTGGGTGAGACACAGCTGCTCAACTATACTCTGTACTTACTATCGTCTAATGAAAAAATATAATAATGTTTGGCATCGACTGAGGTCCACTTGGTATAATTCTCCGTAACGCCAGCTTGTATCAAACTTGGACATAAGGACGGGTCAGGTATATAAGGCCAAAATAAATCCTGGGGTCGTTCCGCGCTGAACTCGCCAACGCTGAGAGTTTGGACAGGGGTGGACATGAGCAGGATTTCCGAGTTAAGTATATGGAGACGCCAGCTATGGAATCCATGATGATAGCAGTGCTTATGGCTGCTGTGATATTGGACGGGGGGCTCGGAATCACAAATCACGACGTCTTGTTCAAATCGCGTGGGGGTGTTAAGTTTGTGATTCGCTTAGACGATCATCCAGTTACAACAACTTGATCTTATTCCCCTCCTGGTAGGTAGAAGCTATCGAGAGAGCAGAGATATCGACGGCCGATCACCGTACTCCGTAATCGTCGAGGGTTTCTTTGTGTCTAACGATAAGTGCCGAAAGTAGGAGATGCTGCGGTATGATATCCGACTTGGAGCCTGATCCAATTGTTCAGGAGAAAGTGGAAACTCATAAATTCTCTATCTCGGAAAAAAAAAAAACAAGCGCTTTCTTATGATACTCTGCGATCACTATTAATCGGTCCAGAGTATCGCTCTACAGGTTCTTATCAAGCTTATACCTGTTGCTACTATACATCTTCCAAGTTACCTAGTAGGGACCTTGAGAGAGAGAAAACCCCGCTCGAAGGGCGATTTATACAACAGCAATTCTACTGCCCTATCATGTAATCTCCATTACTATATACCCTAGGGGAAAACTGCGTTGTGATTCACTGATTGGGTGAAGAGGGGGCTCACTTCTCTTCCCTAGGGGTCGTTATGAGTACCTCGAGCGCGATATAAAAGATGAAGATGGAGTTGCCAGAGTGTCCTTCAAGAATGATTATTTCTTGTGACATTTCCTGCGCAGCGTTGGGCATTTTCCCTGCATTTTGCTAGGTGTTTATTGCAAGAGATCAAAATGGGCATCGATTCGGAGATGAACGGTTTTTCCTGTAGCTTACCTCCATTTAACGGGAAGCTTGAAGGGAATGGGAAGCAAACCACTCGACGCCTCCCAGTTACGCTGCTTTCTGGGTTCCTGGTGAGTGCTGAGCCTTTATGGGGGAAATTCGAGTATGGTCTAACTGCTGTGATATAGGGTAGTGGAAAGACTACTTTGCTCGAACATATTCTCAAGTCACCGGATCATGGCCTTAGGGTCGCAGTCATTGTCAATGACATGAGCAAGTAAGTTCTCCAAACATTATCTCGAAAGAAGATTGTTATGTTAATGGACCGATCCTTCCTAGACTCAATATAGATGCTGCTCTTATAACGCATCACAAAGTATCTCAGACGAAAGAGAAGCTCATCCAGCTCCAGAATGGATGTATCTGTTGCACTCTCCGTGGCGACTTGCTCTCGGAGCTTGCAAGCTTGACCAGGCAGAACGAGGTTGAATACGTCGTCATCGAGAGTACTGGAATTAGTGAACCGATGCAGGTCGCAGAGACTTTCACTGCAGAATTCAGCGCTGCAATGCTTGAAGCCGAGGATCAAATTATTGATACCGATGAAGATAGCAAGAAGATTCTGGCCGAGATGTATGTGCTTTACATCCCTCTTCCTTTTTCAATGACCGGACTGATAGTTAACGTATTTTATTCCATGAATGAAGCGTGGAGTTAGGAGGCCTTCACACTTTAGCAAGCCTTGATACTACCGTAACGGTTATTGATGCATTCAACCTGCTATCAAACTTCGACACGACCGAGTTTCTTTCTGATCGCTATGGTGCCAAGGAGATTGTGCCAGAAGATGAACGCACCATCTCTGACCTCATGGTGGATCAGATCGAGTTCGCTGACGTAGTGGTCATTAACAAGGTAGAGACTGTTAATCAAGATACCCGTTGTCGGATTAAACAACTTGTGAACTTGTTGAACCCCGAGGCAAAAGTCTTGGAAGCCAGCTACTCAAAAGTTGACGTACGAGAAATCATTGGCACTGGAAAGTTCAATTTCCTCAAGGCAGCCGCCGGGTCAGGGTGGCTACGAAGCCTCCATGAGATGACAGTTATGAATACTGCTAACGGGCAGAGAGTAGCCCCGAAACCTGAGTCCCTAGAGTACGTTTACCATCTTATATCCCCCCTCTTCCCCTTTACTGGTGTCTTTAATTAATCAAGGTATCATGTTATGGTGCTGACATACCAATCCATAGGTATGGGATCAACAATTTTGTGTATACTGCAAGGCGGCCCTTCCACCCTCGTCACCTCTTTGCTCTTCTTCATGATAAATTCATCCTTCTCCAACATAGCGAAGAAGGAGACGAAGAAGATGACGAGGCGGAAGATGAAGGCGAAGGTAAAGATGATGACAAAATGGAAGTGGATGATGGCGACGATGAAGATTGGGAGAAGCAGAGTGTGAGTGGTTTCGAACAGCCTGACCCCGCTGTTATACTTGCAAATAAGCGTGCACACGTCTTCGGGCCTGTGCTCCGTTCCAAGGGATTCTTTTGGCTCGCAACTCGACCACTTCAGTTCGGAGAATGGAGCCAAGCTGGAGGAATGTTAACGGTAAGCTGTGGTGGTCCTTGGTTTGCTGAAGTACCTGATGATGCCTGGCCAGAGGATAGAGAGGTCCGTCAATCTATTGAAAATGACTTTCAGGGCCTGTGGGGTGACAGACGACAGGAGCTGGTGTTCATCGGAGAAGGAATTGGCACAGAGAAGATTACTGCTCTCCTAGACGAATGTTTGCTAGATGACAAGGAGATGGCCAGGTGGGAGAAGGTAATGGGGAACAAAGGATTGTCGAGGGAAGAGAAAGCAGATTTATTAGCAGGGATGTGGGAAGATGGCTGGGAAGAGTGGCCTCCATTTGAAATTGAGGGTGAGGGGGAAGACGAGGACGTCGAAGAGAAGGGAAAAGAAGGGAAAGCGAAACGCTATGCAAGTGATTACTTGGGCCCTGCTAAGAATGATCATAGTGGACGTAAGCACCACCATCATCACCATAAAAGGGATGGTGGTGTGCTCAAAAAGAGTGCGATGGTCGCCTAAAACCTGCAAATCATTTGCACGAGACATGTTAGTAGGGTTGTATACGCATATGGATAATATAGAAGCATTGAAAAATTATTCTATAACTATTTATATTAGCTAATAAGTTTTTTATATTTGAATGGGTGGGTGGCCAGGAACCTAGCAAAGCATACTTTCTTCCGATGATAATCATCGATACAAGACAATAATTCGGGTATATCCATGCCCTAACCCTTGAAGCTATGCATTAGTAAGAAGAGTAGAGGATTCAAGGCTCTGACAGAGGATTGCCATGGTAGCTTATTAACAGGCCCTTCTTTACGTTAAGAATACCTGGACTTGTCCCTTTGATTCTTTGCGAGGACAGAAGGAATTCCTTACACAATCTGACTGCCGGGCCGACTGTCCGAATATCTCACTCTTTCGATATCAGGCTCGGGATATGAGATGATTGAGGGTTGCAATCGTTGTATGGAACCTCCTTTCTGTCGTTGCTACCTTGAGTATAAGTATCTAGCATATGGTATGGAGCCCCCCGTATTTCCGATCCGCAGGCCGAAAATAGGTTTGCCTGGGCAAAGCAACGTGGTCATAATAATAGCACCAGCCAGCCGTGTTTAGCTTGAATGCAATGGCTAGGCAGGGGTATATCAACTCCACCCCCACTGGCCTTTGTACGGAAGACAGAGAATGAAGAATATTTGGTTATATTCTGCCTCCGACACGCACCCGAGACAGGTATCATCCTCGCGGCTGCACCCCTGAGCCATATATCATCTGCCTGGCGACGATCTGGTTGGCGGTTCAGGAACGGCTTTGATATCACGGCTTCTCGAAGGCGCTGCTTAGCCTAAGGTTCGGGAGCGAGAGAGCCAGCGGGCCAGGGGAATTCTATCCGCTTCCTCGTGGCGGGCGCAGCCCTCCACATGCCATCGACGGGGGTGTCCGCTATTATTAATAGTAATGGTGACGAGGAGAAGGGAGCACAAGGGGGATGCCCAGGCTCTCCCTCTCCATCCAGCTATTTCTCGGCTTTCCAAAGTCAAACTCATGGTTTGGACAAATCGTAACCCATGTTGTTCGGTATTGGGCCGGCATGGATTCCTAATGGTGGAGCGCTAAGATACCTCTCACATTCATGCTTGTTGAGTTGTCCTGCATGATATCTCGTGGCAGCTCGTTAAGATGATACAAATCAAGCCATGACTCGAGCCAGCCAGCATCGGCAGTTATGCTTGACCGTTAGTTTAATATAAAGCCGGAGACAAATGAAACAACCACATGGCGGGAACGCTTCGATCCTGGGTTTTCTGCAATGTTGAGACTGGTTAGCACGATTAGGTACATACAACGCGAGCAATATTGCAACGGTAAGCCACTCAAAGCGTTCAATCCAACCTTATACTTTTGCCTGCCGGGTATTCTCCAGCCCCAACGCACGTAGACAAGGATTATACAAGCGAATCCAGCCAAATCGTGCGCGGGATCGGGATGATGACCCGTCCCCTTCTGGAGTTTGCTGCAACATGCTGCACTGCACGTACTGCGTGCATATATTCTCCACCGGACGTAGCGAGAAGCAAAGAACAGAAACCGTGGAATGGAGGGCTCCGTACGGAGCACTCTGAACAGATCTGTTGATGCCAAAATAATACGGGCACCACTTCGTAGAGGTGGCCCGTATACCACTGGTGCATTTAAGAACCCGCCGAATAAACCTTCGTATTAGGAGTGGTTTCGAGAAACAAAAATAGAAAGAAAAAAAAAAAAAATGGCCCTCCAACTATCCCGAAAGAGAAGCTTCTCGAGGAGAATTCCTGTTTTATGAGAAAGCTGCCAACTCTTCGTGATAAGCAAAAGACGCTTTTCTTAGGCTGCTGGAGATCATTTCTTGTGAGTTCTTCGGATGTTTCAGCCGCGCAAGGCTAACCTACGTGTGACATGCACAACGTTGAGCCATCCTCTTCTAGAGTAAAAACTAACGAGAGAGAAGAATCCTAAAATGTATTTGCAGAGTTCCGAGTGTGTGTTGACTAAGAGCAGTGACATATAGATATTTCGAATAAAGGTTGCCGGCATGTACTCCTGTGCATCACCCGTCAAAGTAAAGTGACGGGCATGGATGGCCATCTCAGTGAACGAGAGAGACCCCGAGCGTCATCTCCACCATGTCTTGTCCCTCATCCACTCCCCACACGGTGCAAGGAGTTATGCACGCGATAAGAGATCGTGGAATTTAGCCGTGTGATAAAAAAGGGCCGGTCAAATTATCTCTTCCGTACGCAATGTGGATAGGAAACGATATCGACATCGAAATCAGGGCTGACGCCAAAGGAGAAAGGGAAAAAAAAGAAAGAAAGAGGATTCGCTGCGGGAAACCCGGCAAGCAGAAAACACAGGGATTTATTTGCCGAAGCCAGAGTGTTGATTGATCAACCTTAACACTCGGTGTGCATGGCGAGGCGTTTTGGCGACTCTGCAAGACAAACGTCTTTCTAGCCCTTTGCGAGGCCCATGGGATCCAGGGCAGGGGTCGTTCTGGTGCGGAGGAAGTTGATGGACGATGTAAGGCAGAACTCGAAGTCAACATGGGTTGTCCCTTGGCTCGAGCGAGAAGGGAAATACGGAGAAGAAGGGAACCTAAAGCCGATTAGAGATGTGCTCTACAAGTATGCTACTTGTCTATGGCAAGCCAACCGAGGCCCCACGGGAATCAGCATATCGTTTGCTCTCGAATCAGGGTGGTCGATGTGCCTGGAGAGGATCGACTATTGGTAGACAGCGTTCCATCGTCCATCAATGCGCCAGGCCGGAACGAAATAAGATAGATTCGCCCTTCCGCCACTGTTCCTTTCCTTTCTTTTGAGGGGGGAACTGCTCCAAGGAGATCCTATCCCACGTGTCGACCTTGAATACGACCTTGTCGATATGTGTCCTGCAGTCCGCTGGCCAGGGTTGTTGTCGTATATATTTTATACTTACGTAGAATGCAACATGCTTCTGGTGTGTGCGAATCGCGCTAATCGGCCATGGATTCCCACTCTTCGAAACTGTATCGCCGTATATTTCCCCGTCCCGGCATGATCAAGCAGTATACGGAGTAGATGTATACCAGTTCGCCGTGAGTTTGCTGGGTTATAATGTCAATAACGTTTTAGCCAAAGCTTGTGGAAGGTTAGATACTCAGCGGAAGTTTCAGAGACCAGAACCGACATGTATTCCTCCTTTATTTCGTATGAGAGAATAGGCTCAATGCCTCCTGGAAACGGTGTTGGATGCCAACTGCGGACCTGGTCCACGGGCAGGAGATTGCAGCTTCGTATGATATCCCTTGAAACAAAGTGACAGGTAAGTAAAAACCATCGGGGCCTTTTGCTAGACCTGTTCCGGTATTTTCTCTCTGCTATATGCATGCTGGCGCCGACGTAGTATTTTCATTCAAGGCAAAGCTTATATGTATACGGCCCACTCCATGCATGATGAGCCTTGCAGATCAAAATTGCACTCCGCCATTGTACATGAGAATGTGGTGCCTGCTATACATGGGCGAGATATATGGCACCAGGCCGGGACGACATCAGGCTGGGGCCACGAACCTTGCTTGTTTATACTTATCCTTCTCTTGAACGCCCTTGGCGTCTGTCGTCTCGTATACTCGAAGCTCGTCGGATGCACTGGAAGATAGGATAAGAAGCCGATTGTCTCCCCGGATAAGATTTATACCCAGCAATTCCACGACAACCCAGGCCTGACCTCTGGATTTCCCATCACTCGCGGCATATCCTACCTTCTCCTCCTCCCTAGCTCAAGCAAATCTCAGCTTTCATAGTAGCCGCACCTAGAGTGTCCCTCCTCCCTTCACTAGCCGTGCACACAGTGCTTCGTTGATACCCCCCCCTTCCTCCCCCTCCAGGCCGACCAATTCTCATTTGGGTGTCAAGATGATGAAAGTAAGGGCACGAAGGCTTTGGACGAAAGAGGAGGATACCCTTCTCAGGAGAGCAGTCAATGAGAGCAGTAGGTCACGGTGATAATGACTAGCAGACGAGGCTGGAGCTGATCATATTTTCCCCAGTGGCGAGAGGCGGTGATATCAACTGGCATCGCATAGCCTCAAATATCCCAGATCGCAACAATAAGGATTGCAGAAAACGATGGGTATATATTCTAGCACCCTCGCTGAATAAGGGAGCCTGGAATAAAACAGAGGACGAGAAGTTGTTGCAAGGAATCCAAAAGCATGGTTTCCGGTAAGTGGCCTACAGCTCAGTTACCTGCCACCGATTTATGGTCTCTGCTGACACCGTGTTTCTCAGCTGGGCTCTTGTTTCACAAGTTGTCGGCTCTAGACAGCCAGATCGTATGTTGAACCTGCATGCACCGTCATGATCTGCCTTTGATGGTCGCTAACCATCTCTATTTCCACCCCGAGTAGAATGTTCGAGGCGTTGGCACGAATCGTTAAACCCAGAGATAAATAACGACAGATGGTCACTCCTAGAGGACGAGATCCTGAGAGAGGCTGTGGAAATATATGGTAGAAGATGGACCGAGATTGTGGACAGATATTTCCCTAACCGAACTCCCATTGCAGCGAAGAATAGGTACGTTCCATCTGATTGTCACGCTTTAAGCGTCCCCTCCTGAACCCATATCTCACGATCCCATCGCTGACCTGGGCGATATCGCTAGATATACGCAACGATTTGGCAGCAACAAAACCGAGGGAGCGGAGACCAAGTCTTCTGGGCGTGCGGTTAAAAGGAAGAGCCCGGTAGTGAAGCCCACAGTCAATCCGACAGAGCGTTTGGAAGAAAACCGAGCCAACTGCCAAACAATCATGCCCAAGCTGTTGTGGCATGTTCCGGATCACACTCAAAGCCAGCCAGCACGGCTCCCCGTCCCCCAGAAAACAACGGCGCCTGAACATTGGCCAACAAGTGATATCAACTCGCCGCTGGCCATTCCTTCATATCAACAAGTTCCAAGCCTCACAAGTTCACCCAGTCCTGCACCGATTCCACATACTCCTTTGACGGATTCAAGTCGAAATTGCGAGCCTCCCAGCATATCCCCATATTCCTATTACGCCGTCACATCGCCGCAGGCGGAGATGTGTGCACCTTCTTATGTAGATCCACCGCTCGATGGAACCTTTGGCTACGAGCCATGGACTTCCAACGACATGATATCTCTCCTCCACACCGGGGTAGTGGGATATCCAGATATGGGCCACAGCACCAGCGTTCCGGGAATGGAGCGACGATACGATTACATTAGATTCTCGGACCACACCACTTTATTGACATTGTAGACGTGGCTATACAAAGGTATATAGCAATGAAAAGCGCGGTTTCTTTTTCGGCGGAGCCAAGGAAATAAACGGTTCACTCACGGTTTTTGAAATGTCCCTTTTAATCAACGAAGTATGTATATAGTTAGACCAATGATCATGTAAATGTCAGATTCAGCTTTTCTGCATTGGCTCTCATTGCTCAAAAATATAGATTTTGCCCTTAGTTCTTGGCGTGGCTTTCTCGACTTGAAGCTATTGCGAAGATAGTTTATGATGAATGGGGGCTTCCCACTACCACATAATGGCTTATAAGATTGATAACCCTAAGATGGTCACGTATAGAGAGGGTATTAAAGCCGACATGTGAGGGTATCATGCAGCTAAGGACCTGGATTGATTAAATGGGGACTGAAGCAAAAGGATGCATCAGCACCAAATATTGTCACCAATAAGTTGGATTTTGCCGAGCACCCTTGGCTAGTATCACTCTTTCTGGTCGAGGAACTTGTATGGTGAATCCATAGGGGTAATATTCTTGGTGTAGAGGACTGTAGGTGAAATGAACAAATCGTTAGATTTAAATAATACATAGCTAAATTTGAATCGACCTATCTATGTTCAGATGTTGAAGGCCGTCCTCATCTTCCGTTCGCCCAGATTTCTCTAATTCCACCCATAATTCAGGGTAGGTGGCTTTAGCCCATTCTTCGGCCTGGTCTTTCCAAAATTGAGTGGGTAGAGCGTTGTAGAGGTTTCCAAGCCTATAATATACCACAAGTTAGTAGCCGTCTTATTTAGAAACTGTAAAGAAGAAACCAACTTACGTGAGGGTTGTTGGCGCTAAACCAATTTTCGATTCCATTGTTTTAATGGCCTCGGCTGCAAGCTCTAGCTCGCAATGTCCTCCCAAAGCGCCGACATAAGCATTATATACGCTCTCAGTGATTAGTATGTCCAGAGACCTCACCTTCTCCATCATTTTATTGGCCTCTACTATGCCACTGTGATATGATTCGCAGGCTCGAAAGAATACCACTAGTGTTTGCTCCGATGGGCCTTCTACAGAGTGAAGAATGTCTCTGAAAAATGCCATGGATTTGTCTGCCATCCCACATGAAGCGTAAGCAAGCATTAGACCATTGAGAACCTTTGTTTTAGGTGTGACCTCAAGATCAAGCTTTAGCATGTTGTGCACGAGATGTAGGCCGTCAGCATCAGCTGCTTCTGCAATCCCTTTGAAACATTGAGCATATGTGTGTGCCGACGGTCGGCTATCGACTTGCCCCTTTTGTCGCATATGACCAAATACAAGGCAGGCAAGGTCGGATCTCTGTCGTTTGAAGAAGGCGTTCATAATTCTCGTCCTAGCTGCAACAGATGTGGTCTGAAAAGCAAGATTCAAAAGTTCATATACTTCCCATGCGCTATCGGTTGGCTGGTCCATATCTCTGATATACTGAATAAAGCCCTTCCTGATTTTCGAAAGTTCTTCTGGGCCATATCTATCAATGATAGGTCGAAGTAAGGTAGATACTCCCTCTAAATCACCACAGTAAAGTAACGATTTGCAAAGAATGCCGAGGGTGTCAGGCTCGAAATGGCCATCCGCTTCTAGCAATCTGTCGACAAGAGAGTTCACCGTATCAAAATCAATTAATGAATATTCTGCAAGGCAGAGTTGCTTGATGAGTTTATTCAATATAAGGATATCCGATTTATCAATTTCGAGTTCTGTGTCAAGTTTTTGAAATAATGCAACGGCTTCGTTGATATCGCCAGACTCTATTTGTGAGCGCAAGGGCAATAAGTATGTTTGAGAATCAGGGGTTAGACCCCATGCTTGAGCTATTTGGGTGCCCTGTTCACCAAGGTCCGTTCTGTTGACCATGATTGCGTATTCGATGAGTGTGTTGAGGGTGTCAATAGTCATTGTTGATCGTATTTCCGGGTTTTTTGAAGCCATGTCATCCAATTGTTGGTGGATTGAATCGATAGAATCTCCTCGCGCAATGGACAAGAGGAGCAATGCATCTCTGGTCTCCGGGGTCGGGTATGCAGGGAGAGCGGTAGCGATTTGAGCAGCCCATTGCGGCTTAGAATTCCATAATGCAGCTTTGAGTACACATACGCTTGCGGTAGTTGTCGGTTGGATGGGAAGGCCATAAACAACTTCCAATGCACTAATGCAATTTTCTTCCGCCAGCAGTAAAAGTATCTCTTCCTGGCTACCCCTATCCAATGTGATGCCCCAGTTTTCCATCTGCTGGATTATCCCCGGAATCTTTGACTGCCTGCCTTCCCGGGCAAACCCTTTCATGATATTTACCCATGGTAATAGTGCGCCGCTTGAGGACACAATAGATCGCCAGCCAAGCATGAGTTGTAATGCTTCGGTGGCAGCGCCAGTGGAGGACAAAACAGCGACACAAGACTGGAGTGACTCTAAGACCCGTTGTTCGCCGAGCTCTGGAGCATTGTCAAGTCGTATACTGATCCTGTGAAAGATGCTTCTTGCGAGGTCCTGAACTAGCGGGATCGCATCTGGATAGAGCTTTGCCCTTGCGAGAGTACCTAACGTGAACTCAAAGTTTTCCAACTCCAGAAACGCACGTACGGTGCCCGTAGATTTCGGATAAGGGGTGAGCAGGAGGTGTTGGAAGGTGTGTAGAAGGAACTCGGCCTGACTCTTTGTCACCATCCCTTGGTCTAGCCGCTTGTCTATGAAGGTCATAAATCCTGACGCAAGAGCAAATTGGCTCGGAGGTCGCGACCGTTGGTGAAGGGCATGTACGAGCTCTATCATCGGCCTGGAGCCATCGTCCAAGTCCTGGCTGCGCTTCCCGCCGTCGGTTTCGGCCACCCGTCGAATGGTAGGGAAGCTAAATATATGTCTTGTCTGGATCGAGGGGATAGGACGAAAGAGATAACCACGAGTTCTCGCAGACGAGAAAGCTCGCTTGTAGCATCTCGAAGCTACCAATGGCCGACCCGCGAGAAAGCTGTTGAACATTCCGGCCATGTTACGATGCCGTGTTGATGCGAGTGTCGAGTTTCACAGCTACGACGAGTCAGAACTTCAATCAACAAGCTAGTCGCGCTGGATATACTCAACTGGATATGCATTCTACCGCCTAGAAACCATTATTCCTGTCTGGCTGTCTCAATTGAACCGCGGAAGCTCGAATTATCATGTTCATTCGTCAGAGGGTGGTGCTTTGGTGTCGGACGAAGCTTGAGAACGCGCTGATAGAAAAAAAGGGCTTGGCATCGCCGGCATGAAAACTCCAGCAACGAAAACCACGTCCAGCACAGGTTGACAACTCTCCTCCACGCCGAACACACCAGCCTTGCCATAACGCCCATCTGTACGCCTTGTTTCGCATCCTCGCTGGTGAGCTCACGATGGCCACCAAGCTGGGCTCTTGTCGCCCGTTTCTTTCGGCCCCGGCCACGCGGTTTGCTCCCTTAAATTCCTGTCGCTACAACTCGAACTTTGGAGGAACGACCTTGAACCCAGCTACAGGTATTCACACTCTCGCATACACATACATTGGAGTCGTTTCAGGTCCAATTGAATCTAACCGCATGCATTTTTAATAGACGCCAGACTTCGGGGCTTCCGCAGGAGACAGCTTCAGAGCGAGAGATTTGAGAAAGAGAGAATCCTGGACCAGAGGGCCTTCGACCTACAGAAACATCAGACCCGAGACTGGAAGGCTGGCGATGTGTACTCTCCGCGAGACCTAAGCCCAGTGGAAATGAAAAAATGGAAGAGAAGGCTACCTCCTCCAAGCGATATCTTTGACGCGCTATCACTGAACCCATTACACATGTACAAGGTATTTCTACCGCTTTCTTCTTCAATTGACTTGCTTTTTCATGTATCTCTTTTTTTACTTCTTAAACTGCTTGGACACTCCGATACTAATGTCGTCTCTAATAATAGAACTTCGCCGTGATGTCCGAATACGTGAGCGAGACGGGCCGAATCAAGCCAGCCACAGAAACCGGTCTACGACGAATTAACCAGAGGAAGCTTTCAAAGGCCATCAGGAGGGCAGTAAGATTGGGACTTATGCCGAGCGTTCACAGACACCCGGAGATTCTCATGTTGGAAAAGAAGCTCTAAGTCCTCCGGCCTCTATTCACACCCTCGGGGCGCTATTTTGGTGTTGAGACGATTACCACTGTATACTATGCGATAAACTACTTCTTACTTATCCGACTATATAAAGTTGATGATCTTACAAGTCTCGATTGCACAGTTGTCTTCAATAAGCGTGGCTGGCTGTCTTGCGCCCCTGGGCCTCATCTCATAAATGTGCTATATCTCTCTACTTAATCAGCATCAGGCCTCTATTTAGCTACCCCGCTCAAAGCCTGCCCGCCACGTCTTCAACTCCAACATTCAGCTTCATGGGATAAACACATATCTTGCGAAGGAAAGTAATATTGGTTCACCGCGATGCCCATCAAAATCGGTGCTGTGAAGCCTCCCTTGCCTTTGATCGCTATAGGAAACTAACTGGGAGGTTAGATTCCACCTGGGCGGCTTGCCCTTCTACGACCAGGGGACAACCAACTCAGCTGTCCTCCGATCCGAAAGGCGAGCGGCTAGCTTACGCGGTAAGGATGACCCTAAGCAATGAACCTCTAGGAGAGTGCAGAGATGTAGCAGTGGAATGGGAGACTGACGTTCGGTAAACATGGCAGTCCAACAAATCAATCTTTCTCCGCTCGATAGACAACCCAGCGATTTCAACGCAATATATAGACCACAAAGCCGAGACCACCGTTGCCAGGTTCTCACCTTCCGGCTACTACGTTGCTAGTGGAGACGCTGCCGGTAGCGTACGAGTATGGGACTGTGTCGGAGATGGCATAACGAAAGGAGAATACTTCATTGTGAGCGGGAGGATCAACGATCTGGCCTGGGACGGTGACTCCCAGCGGATAATCGCAGTCGGGGAGGGTAAACAAAGATTCGGGCACTGCATCACGGCGGATAGCGGTAACACCGTCGGCGAAATCACGGGCCATAGCCAGGTCATCAACTCAGTGTCAATCAGGCAGCAAAGGCCACTTCGCGCTGCAACGGCTGGAGATGATAGGACCATGGTGTTCTATCACGGTGCGCCGTTCAAATACAACACAGGAGTCCGAGACAAGCACAACAATTACATATACGGCGTTGCGTTTAGCCCGAACGGTGAGAATCTCGTTAGTGTTGGTGGTGACAGAAGGATTTGGATATACGATGGGAAAACTGGAGAAGTCAAAGGCCAGATCGGGGAAGGCGAACACAAAGGCAGCATCTTTGGGGTTTCCTGGGCTAGTGATTCTCAAAGATTTGTCACAGCCAGTGCCGATCGTACCGTTAAACTCTGGGATGCTGAGCATGGCAAAGTAGTCCAGAATTGGACTCTTGGGGAGGATGGTGCTGCTGGAGTAGCAGACCAACAAGTCGGGGTGGTATGGCCAAGTGGAAGAAGTGATGGTTTGGCCATAAGCTTGTCCCTCTCAGGGACTCTTAATTATTTGGTCGAGGGGACCGAGAAGCCAACCAAAAGGGTCGAGGGCCACCAAAAGAACATCATGACTTTATCTTCTCGTCAATCGTGCCCGAGTGAGACCTTTTGGACGGGTAGCTACGACGGCAGGGTGTGCCAGTGGGACCTATCCGAAGGAGCAGCACATACAACAAAGGGGTCTGGCCACAAGAGCTACATTGCAGGCCTAGCAGCCACAGATGAGGGAAACTCCGGACATATCTATACCGTTGGATGGGATGATACACTTAGGTCTGTTGCTTTAGGGTCTAACAGTTACACCGAACTGGAGAGAAAACTGGCCGCACAACCAAAGGGCATCGCAACAGCAGGAGATTTTATTCTGGCTGCTAACACTGATATGATAGAGATATTTCTTAAAGGGCAAATCACGGGGGAATTTAAGTCGAAACTACCGATCACTGCTGTTGCCGCTGTCGGATCAACGGTAGCTATCGGAGGCGAGGACGCCTCTATTCGAATTGGCAAAATCGATAAAAATGGCACGGGCATTGACGTTAGCATCGAAGCTAACCTGTCAAGGAACCCCATCACGGCGCTGACATTCTCATCTGATGCATCGATTTTGGCTGCTGGCGACTCAAGAGGCCGAATCATGGTCTATAAGGTCTCCGATGGCAGCATAATCACAGACCGCTGGACCGCACACACTAGCCGCGTGACATCACTCGCTTGGAACATGGAAGCCACGCATTTGGTAAGCGGATCTCTCGACACAAATATCTTCGTATGGAACCTCGCCCGCCCTGGAGATTGGCTGCAGATGAAAAATGCCCACCAGGAAGGTGTCAATGTCGTGACGTGGATAGATGATGGCTCCAGAATTGCATCCGGAGGTGCTGATGGTGCTGTGAAAACCTGGATCGTCGAGCTTGCGAAGTAAATAGATATTTAAAACACGTTTAACGAAATATACATAGCTTCTAGATATGGGACCTCCTCCGTCAACTCTAGCTCGGAACACAATAACTGCAGTCTAAAATGTGTCCGGATGCAACCAACCGTTACATTATCATCGGTTGCAAGGCTGTGAGAAGACCCTTGGGATACCACTTTGAAATGGCCGTTTGAGACAATATTTCCTTCACACCCTCCTTGATGTTCTCCCACTGGCTAGCTTAGTTAACTGCCTCCATCGGTCAGCTTGCCGTCAATCCTGCCGCTTGATTCCAGCTTGAACACATCCACGCTCGCCTTCCCCGTAAAGAAGTTTGCAGTGAATTCGCCAACATAGTTATCAAAGTTGACGTGGGCGAGCGTGTTCTTTTTACTGCCATCGGTCGAAAATTTGACACTGCTAAGGCCATGGAGAGCGTTATTGGCGTAGCGGACAGTCGCCTGAACATCCATGAGCAATAAAATTTGGTCTGTCGTGTTGAGCGTGAATGTATTTGTGTAATACTGGATAGCGGATTAGCGTCCTATAGTTAACAGGTAGTTTGATGTGAACTTTGCTTCTACTTACACTAATAGAGCCGTCGGGGGTAACAAGTTGTTCCAATGATGCACCCACTGGCTCGATGGTTCCCTTGATGCTGCCTGTGAAATTGCCTACACATTTATTTAGCATCAAATTCCATCTGCCCATGCTTGTACCTACAATAGAGATTTGGATCTCACTTACCACGGAGATTGGGAGATCGCGATGCGCCGCCCCAGATAGTCGTGGTATTGACCGGATAGCCTACGGATAGGTCTAGATGGATGAAATGTTCTATCTTTGGATTCTTGAAGACGGCGCCGGTTTTGGGCGTTTGGGGACGGGCCTCGGTGAGCGGCGTAAAAATAGCTGCATAGCTAAGAAGGGTGCATGCAAGTGAGGATAGCCTAACCATGATGGCTATATCGCGCCTGGATATGCGTTTCTATAGCGAAAGGGTATAGAGAATTTGGGAGAAATAAGAGTAAGGAAGAGAAACAAACCTATTATACTTAGGACAGGCAAGGTTATATCTGGTGAGATTCCTCATCTTTATACCCAGCCTTTCAGTATATCAATTTAGGATGGCTAGCGAACATTCAACTGTGAAAAGTGGATTTGAACCAGAATCCTACAAAGATCCTGCGACTCGTAGGGCCTGGTTAAAGAACTCTGCGGTTCGAGACCGACAGAGATCCAGCCAAAATAGGTAAAGTCATAGCTGATGCTGGTTAATTCTTCGGTATTATACGGAGGATAACTGTCAGTACATAGTTGAAAACTTTCAGCTTTAAGTGTAAACAGGGCTCAATACTTGGTTAGATGATAAATGGCTCGAAGACAATTTGATAAAGTTCAGCCTGCATAACTAAGTGAGCCGTGGAAGAGATCTTGGGATATTTTCGGGTGAGTCGGATAAGGCCATAGAGCAGAAGCTATAAAGACCAGCTCACAACAAGGCTGTGATGGAAGGGAATGCTGGGGGTATTTATAGCATAGCAGCCTTGCAGTAGTTTCATACAGCCAGCTTTATTCATTAGCATTTCAAGCAGTGAGGGAGGCTAGCGGATATATACACACGGGGGTACTCCGTACAGCCCAAATTACGATCACTTACTGAGAAAGTAAGATGACACCTGTAAAATTATGGATGGTTGATGGCTTTTTTACTGCAGGTTGGAGGACTCGCCATTCCATGGTGCACTTTTTTCATCCGCCTCATCTGCTCTACTTAACTAGCTAAAGCCTGGATATCTGGAGTCATTGACTCGACATAACTACCCGTTGCAGTGTTGGAACTAATTATCGCCTTGTGCGTATAAAATTTCTTGTCGTCTTGAAACCTTCCATCTAGTTACTGCTCGTGATATCAAGTTTTTCCGCTCCGTTGAATCTTATCTCAACAGTGAGCCCAAGGCTACTATAAGGTATATCCGCAGCCTACCAGGCGCTTACTCAATTAAATTCTCTAATTTGATAGAATCTGGCAGGAAGAGCTGCCCCTCAAAGTCCTCATATTACTAGGGGGCATTGATAAATGCAGCGAGAGTGAGGCCGGAGTATCTGCCACTCCGTTGGGCCGTAACAGACCAGGCAGACTCCGGTCAGCCGGTGTGAGTAATGTCAGTACTGTAGGGATTACCTCTAATGGCATCGATTTTGATTTTGATTCACACTCTATCGCAGTGCTAGATAAAGTGGTTGCTTATAGCTAAACTATTTGACGCTTTGTCTGTCTTAGTTTATGAGTGAAGATTCGAGCACGGAAATCAATTTGAAATGATATATCTAGCGCCTCTACAGCTATACTCTCGAGTCTCACAATTTCAGAACCACTCGCCTTGGTAGAATATCATACAATAAAAGTCGTAAATATCTGCAGGCTAAAGATTATTCCTTCCACAGGGGAAAATAAGCTTGCAGTTGATGTTATGTTAATTTAAGCTTAGTAGTTCGTTAGTTATACAGAGTATAACTCAACTAGTTAAGCTTAACTCTCAGTTAACTTGGCGGATTTCGGCAGGAATGCAGCCAAGTCTTTATGACGATGCAGGATATGGAAGACAAAAGCAAATATTAACGGCTCGACTAACTAGTTATCTGAGGTTCAGCTTTACAGAGTAGCTTTATCTCAACAGTCATACGGCACCAACACAACGGCCGTGGCCCTTTGTATCCATAACCAAATTATTAACACTAGAACCAGAATACTTGCAAATAATTCTTCCTCCATTATCGCCATCTTCTGGGTCGAGTTTCCTAGAGCTTGACCTCATGGCAACAATATCAAGAACGAGTTTACCTATAACGATGTGTAACTCATAATATATAACGTAATGGCAAAAAACATTGAGTGTTGAAGCACCTTAGGAAATTCAAGGAGGCTATAACTAATGATTAAGTAGCTACGAAGAATTCATTAATTTGAGAAAATATAATAAAAGCTGTATAGGAAGCATTATCAATTAGGGTAGGATCTTTTGTTTATCAACGTGCAAATTGCTTCATTGCTTCATTATTTCTACATTTGTCTCCGAATCCATCAAAGCGATGGCCTAGTACCCCCTTAGATCAGTGCCTGAATGATACCCAATGGTCATTTACAAGTATGTAGTCCAGCTCACATATCCCATTCTATAATCAAGCCAGCCAGACGTTATCACCCACTACAAAACCCTACTCCTCTTCTAAACAAGCACATACGACCACAGGAAGTGGAAAACAGAGCTTCCCGTCCGCTCAGCTGTGCTTAAGCCACTTGCCGGTCGGTTAGTAGTTGGGTGGGTGACCACCAGCGAATCCCGACTGTCGTATGTTTTTTTTTGTCTTCCTTTGTCTATCTCTCGATAGACAGAAATGCGCCAGGCAGATATATTTTTGCAGCAACTAATATGCATGTGTGGATTGCTAGATGTTATCCGATAGTTGTCCAGTGCCAAGCCGGGGGTACGCTCTTCCATACACATCTGTCGAGGGCCCTTGTCTAGTTCGGATGCTGAAACAGGGGCTGAAGGGCCAAAAGCAAAGCATCCTGGAGCAACATAGATGAAATTATTCTACAGGCTACTCCGTACTCTCTCGTGCCAATGCTCAAAGTCTTCGAGTACTGAATAATATCATACGGAGTACATCGTCTTGATTAGTAAATGAAAACATGAGAGCAACTTGCGCCCTCACATTCCCGCAGCGGCCTCCAAGCATAATCACGACACATATACAGGCGACAATATATATCCACTATCATCAAGCGTTTATGCAAAAGGGCCTGTCCAAAGTATACTAAACATATCGGTGGCGTCCTTGCAGATTGTCAGCGGCAAGATATAGTTAACTAGTTAACTAGTCAATGGATATAAAAAGCTTGGTTACTTTCTTATCTAGAGGAGACAATGCTCACGGGCGTAAAGAGCCGTACTCGTATGACTGTCTAGCACACATAGATATTGTTGAACTGCTCCTCAAGAGCCTATATGAATCAATTGTTTCCTGATATTACAACCATAATATCATGGATCATCTAGCCTAACATATGAGTTATAATTTACCTTTTACTTGAAATTTCAGCGTTTGTTTCAAGGACCTGATAAATATAAGCCGAAGGTTAGAACTACGACTAGTTCTATGTTCTTGCTACAACTTGGCCCTTGGGATTGATTGCTCACTTAGCTCTATAGTTAAGGAAGGTAAGTCAGTGGTTATGTATGACATATTCTTGCAAATTGAAGGAATCTCCATTGGTCCGGGATATAATGGATCTAGGGCAGAGAATGGTTGCTGGAATATAGCCTAGGGAAGGGCCGAATACGGATACTGTGGATATAAGGCTAGGATCACTGACAGCTAAGCAAATGCTAGTTGTTCCCATGGGCCAAGCGACCTGGATTTTGATGCTTGATCAACGTGGCAAGGGCAGAATGTTGTTGCCTGGATATAATAGAGAGTGCTGGGTGATGTTTAAGTCCGGGAAGACTGATATCTTAAAGTCCGACTGCCAGATCTCGATAGAGTTGTGAATGGGATAGGTATAAAATTCACCTATTAGGTCCGTCGATGGGAGAAGGCTTTTGCAGTTACTAGGATGTCAACGCCCAGCTCCCAGGTTAATGGGAAGCGGGCTGTCCCTCATAAAATATTAAGGAAAGCAAATAATTCTCAGGTGACCAGAGCCTAGAAGAAGTCTGGCAAGGCCAGGTCCATTCCAAACAGTGGCTATAGCAGCCTCGATATTTATAGGAGGGCTGGGAGGATTCGTGGAATGGGACGCCCTCCACGACATACGTGTTGACAAGCTTCTGAGCGCCGTGGGGCCATTCCTGTGAACCGTCGTAACGGGTTCGCGGGAGATAAACCGATCGATCATCATCGATCATCATCGATCATCATCGCGTGCAAGAACCCTGACTGAGTTCATGTTGATCTTGCTGATCAGGTTGATCAGGTTGATCAACGTCCGTGATCTCCAGGGTATACAACGTCCCTCCAGATATAAATGAGGATGGGAAAGCTCGCTGCTAGTAGCGTTTTATTAGCGCTGGTCTGAGACGTAGGCGACTCTGTGGGTGGGTGACCTGGGTTCCGGGTCGCGTAAGGTGGGAGGAGGAGAGTGTTTTGGCCACTGGTTTTTGCGATCGGATGAGTTTAGGGACATATTTGATACTGGTGGCTTGGAGGTCAGCTTGCGTTTTGAAAGGAGTAAATAGAAGCTGAATATGTAGAAAGTGTTGTTGGTGAGTGCAATTCCTGTAATGCCATAAGCCAAGTAAATGCCCGGGGCAATCTAATCCAGTGGCATAATATAATTTATAGTTTCGCTTTATTGCAGGACCGAGGGCTGTAAGTTAGTGTATCATTCTTCAGCTTGCTCATAATTTCCTCATAAAGGGTTTCTCGACAGATTTCTCCGGTTACGGCGGTGCTCATATTAACATCTCTAGATATCAACTACGTTTATTGCAGATAAGAATGCGGGGAAGTTATACATCCTGTAGTTATCAATAATAAATTGCAGAGTTACTTGCCAAGTTCGCCACCGCTTTGTTTACCGATAATGTAACTATTCATAAAAAGTACTGTGGCTGGCGACGGGAAACAAGGGGGGGTGTCCGGTGAGCATGGCGGCTTTGGGCCGTTTTTTTTTTCTTTTTTTTTGTATACGAGAATCGAGGGAGCGATGCGGAGGATATCCGAGTTTGTGCCTGCCCAGAGGCTCCTTGGAACGGCGGTCGAATTCTGGAAGGAAGCCATGGCCTTCTTTCGTTCATGAGGGAAGCTTAGCGTGCCTGGTAGGCATGCTTATCGGTGTTCTATCACCCACACTAAATTCTTATATCTCCCGCCGTTGAAATGTTCAGCATTTTTGCTGAATGCAGAAGATGCATTCTGTAGTCGGTAGTGGTTCCAAGATGGGGCGAAGGTAGCAAATGCCAGAAACTCCTCAGGCAACCCGGGATAGCATTTCAAAGAAGCTGGCGTACGGAGTATTGACAGTTGGCAGAAACTAGTTGTGTTTGGGAAATGCGGAGCACTAGGGAATGAGCTGAGAAACAATATCCGGGTGGTGCTATCATATTCCTGCCGCCAATATGTCCCGTCTCCGTATCTGCCTGAAATGATCGTCATGTCAGGGCTATCGTCGCCCGGGGTTTGAAAATCAGCTTTTTATATTTACCGACCAGTCATCCAGGGGTAGAGTGGCGTCATGTTGATTAACAGCGCTCTAGCTTTCTGCACGTTCACACGTTCACACGTTCACACGGCGCCAAACCCGGTAGCTTGATGGAGGATATTCTATTTCGGGACTTCCACGGGTAAGTAAAGGAGTGCTGCGAGGCGTGAAGCATGAACGAAAGATTAAGGGTAAACAGGCTGCATGGTAACGCATCCCCCGGATTCCAAGAATAAGTCGGGTGTTTCCGAATGCTTAGCCCGGATAATGTTTGTCACTACCTTCCGTTTTGGTCGACAGTGATGCTTAACAGCCCTCCTCTCGAAGAATGTAGCCACTGAGAGAGGGATAGGGGGGGATATATTTCATGCAGTGTGCGGAAAACACCCCAACTTCCCGCGGCAGGCATAGCATGAGGCCAAGGGTTCGGAAATTGATATAAACCCGAGAGAAAGCGGAGTGTGATTAAATTAAGCAACATGCAATATAAGATAAACTGCGTCGACCCCCCTTCCAGGCCTATAATAGTTCACCGGCCCTGCCGTCTGAGAGCCCCAAAATAAATAGATGAAGTAGATGAAGTATAGTTGATAGGGTTGCAACCGGAATAGGATGGGCCGTTCCCCCTCGAAGCATCATATCTTCCACCATCCGTCATAGTTTCTAGACGCGGTCTAGAAGATTTAGAGTCTCGTATCAGCTAGCCCTGACACCTCTGTGGGGTGAAGACCGAGCAGGGATAACTGCGATGACAGGCCGATGGCTGCATGTCTGCATGTTTGACAAGCCGGGCTGACCTGAACTCCGCGATATCCCCAGAGTGTTCGCCACGAACTGCTGCTGAGATATCTGGATATGCATGTCACCCCGCATCACCCCGCAGAATACTTAACTTTGCCCTGACGCTATCCTGCGATGCGATGGCAATATAAGACTTTTTTTCGCTCGTGAACTGTATATATGGCCGAGGTAGAGAGTAGCCCTGCCGCGGCCGTGGGTCGATCCCCGGACATGGGGGTCGGTAACCCCCAGTCGGCCTTCCCGGCCATACAGAGGACTCCGTAATCTGTAGTTATGCATCGTTAATCATATCAAAAGCTGGAGGATGTCTATCCGCTGGTGGACGTTGTGGATGTTGTGGGTGGTTGGCGGGCGTTGGTGAGACGCTGGTGGGATTTATAATAGCCTTCTCACCTCGGCGGCGCTAAAGCCAGCAAAAACGCACTTTCAGGACCCTGTCCTCCGCCTGGCGTGTGATCATCCCGTCACTGGGGATGGCCCTTTTTCCTCTGGCAAACTGAAGATGGCGATGAACCTCATGCTTGCCCGAGTCCAGCCGTGGTAGGATCACGATCGATGTAAGGGACACCCTGTCCGAGGTCTCATCCATCCAACGCTTATTTCTCAACCTTCCCTGGATGCTACTCAGGAAAACTGGCACCGGTCACGGCAATTGAGTACAGTATCGGACAGGCCACCTGATCGGTTTTGCTGCTTTTTTTTTTTTCACAGCTCGCGGAGATGGACTGGCGAGACCGCTTTGAAGCTACACCAGCTGGATTGTGATCGAGTCCCGGGCTCAGAGAACCACGGCTGAGAGACGCGCCCGTCGAGCTCGCGGTGTGGGAGTACGGAGAATGCACATCACGGCATGACCCGGATCTGCTGAAAGCTCTAGCGCAGGAATATCCCGTATAAGATGTTTCTGCTTGGCAGACAGAATAGTTTAATGAGGTTTGACACGGGCCGAGATGACTAGGGGACGTGTTCAGCAGCCGCCCAGCGAGCCAGCAGCCAGACGGCCAGACAGTCGGACAGCACATTCAAGCAGCCTGAGAAATGCTTGCATGCCTCACGAGACTCCAAGAGAGCAAGGGAGGGGATGGGGAAACTCATCCAAGGGTCCGAATGATAAGACTTTTGGGATTGGCATTGACATGGGGGGATGATTCTTCTATATAAACCGTGAAGAATGTCCAGAAAGATGTCCCAGAAAGAGTCAAGCAGAGCTCCTCAGACGAACAGTGTTCTCTGATCCATCCACCCTTCCATCTTTTTTCTTCTTGTCTGTGAATCGGGTATTCCCCAAAGACATACCATGCACGGACTTTTGCTTGCCGGGCTTCTGGCCCTGCCCGTCAATGTTCTCGCACACCCTGCTGAGCAGCAAACCAGCTCTGTGCTGAGCCGCCGTGGCGTCGACATCGACTCCTTCCGTCTCCCATTGAAGGCCAAGTACATGGACAGTGAGGCCACCGCCGAGAAGATTCAAGCTCTCTCCTTCTCCAAGGACGACGACTACGTCTCGACCGCTACCAAGCTTGTGAAGAGCACTCTTCCAAAGTCCACCTTCCGCGTGGTTGATGACCATTATATTGGTACCAACGGAATTGGCCACGTTCACTTCCGCCAGACTGCTCACGGTCTTGATATTGACAACGCTGATTTCAATGTCAACGTAAGTTATTATATTACCATTATTATTATTATTATTATTATTATTTTTATTTTGCCTGCTTCGAACCAGTTTGACTGATATCCTTTCTTAGATTGACCGCGATGGCAAAGTCTTCTCCTTCGGAAACTCCTTCTTTACTGGAGAGATCCCCAAGGAGAACCCCATGGTCAAGCGTGCCTTCTCTGACCCTGTTAAGGCTTTGAAGGGTGCCGTCAAGGCTCTTAGCCTTCCAGTTAAGTCTGAGAATGCTAAGGCTAAGGCTGCCCAGGGCAAGGAGTCCTTTGAGTTCCAAGGAACTTCCGGAGCTCTCTCTACCCCCAAGGCTAAGCTCGTCTATCTTCAGAAGGAAGATGGAAGCCTAGCTCTTACCTGGAGAGTTGAGACTGATGTTGGTGACAACTGGCTTTTGTCCTATGTTGATGCCAATGATAGCGAGAAGGTCCACAACGTTGTCGACTACGTTGCCTCCGCTGAGTTCTCGGTCTTGTACGTATCTAATAACCGTTTGTCTCTAACTGAGGCTATGCTGACATGGACTACAGTGCCTGGGGTCTCAACGATCCTACCGAGGGTGCCCCCACCACCATCCGTGACCCATGGGACACCGCTTCCTCTCCATTCACCTGGCACTCTGATGGTACCAACAAGTACCCAACCACCCGTGGTAACAACGCCATTGCCCAGGACAACCCAACCGGTGGCAGCGGATACCTCAACAACTACCGCCCACAGAGCGCAAACCTCATCTTCAAGTACCCCTACAGCAGCACTATGACCCCCCCATCTTCATACAAGGACTTCTCCATCACCCAGCTCTTCTACACCACCAACAAGTTCCACGACCTTCTCTACTCTTTCGGCTTTAACGAGGCCGCTGGAAATTTCCAGGTTAACAACGGCAACAAGGGCGGTAGGGGTAACGATTTCGCCATCGTCAATGCTCAGGACGGCTCTGGCACCAACAATGCCAACTTTGCTACTCCTCCAGACGGCTCCCCCGGCCGTATGAGAATGTACAACTGGACTACTGCCCGCCCCAACCGTGACGGTTGCCTCGAAGCCGGCATCGTCATCCACGAATACGCCCACGGTCGTAAGTATCCCGAAACCCCAACATCTTATCCCCAAAATAGCTTCCTCCCCCTAGCCTTTTACAAAGTTAACATCGCTGTCTTATAGTTTCCAACCGTCTCTGTGGTGGTCCCGCCAACAGTTCTTGCTTGAACGCTCTCGAGTCCGGTGGTATGGGTGAGGGCTGGGGTGATTTCTACGCCACCGCCATCCGTCTAAAGTCCAGGGATACCCACAGCACCAACTACTCTATGGGTGCTTGGGCTGCTAACACCCCCAATGGTATCCGTCGATACCTATACTCCACCAGCTTGCAAACTAACCCCTACACGTACACCTCTGTCAACGGCATGAGGGAGGTTCACGGCATTGGTACCGTTTGGGCCACCATGCTCTATGAAGTTATGTGGGCTCTGATTGATGCCCATGGTGGCACCTGGAGCGCCACCCCAGTCTTCCAAAATGGCGTCCCAACTGACGGCCGTCATCTTGCTATGAAGCTCGTCATGGATGGAATGGCCATGTAAGTTTATTCCCTATCCACAATTCCAAAGCAACGAACTAATATGTCTATTTATAGCATGCCATGCAACCCCAACTTCGTCCAGGCTCGTGACGCCATCATCGATGCTGACCGTGCCGCCACGAACGGTGCCAACAAGTGTACCATCTGGAAGGCCTTCGCCAAGCGTGGCCTCGGCACCGGCGCCAAATACGGCACCACCCGTACTGGCAGCAACCAAATTCCTTCTGGTTGTTAAGCGCATTGTTTCTTCCATGTATATAGTTAGTAGGAAGGAGACTGTACATAGCTCTCAATTCAAATTTCCATTGAATTTCCAATATTATCTCTGTGATTTACGAGAAAGTGACGTGAGTCGTGGGCCCATTCCTCTTTAATTAAAGCAAGTACAGTCGAGTGCCATCAAATCGAGTTATTGAGAGGAATTAGATTGCGGTAATACCAAAAGCCTAGTCCAACTCGGCTAGGTGCAATGCATGTGGGCTATCACAGGGTATTAAGAGTTAGCTGCTTAACCCAAGTTGTTGACCAGCCTGGTGGCCGGTGGATGTTATCTTGCTCTCCCTCTTATGACAATCTACGAAATTTATACCAAGGCGATACGAACAAGTAGAAAGAGTAGAGGGGCCTTATCAAATGAGAAGCTTCACATCTCATTACTCCGAATTGTCATTGATGAGTTCCCGCTTAGTCTATCGCTCCATTCCTCCATTCAGTTCTTCCTAGAATCCAACTCTCCACTACCTCTAAATCATGGGGCACATCTTCGATCATATAGCATGACTTTATGATAGGTTTATAGTAGACGGTGGTCTGTAAGCGCCTGTACTCCCCGCCTGAGAATCTCTGTCTTCGAAAAATCGAATATCACGGTTTTTGCTCTTGTTGACGTGGTCTGGATCAGAGATTTTGACCCCGGCGATATGTCCCGCAGCAGCGCAAGCCTGGCTAAGCCCTAGGGTCTTCTAGCCCGCCAGGGATGATGTTGCTCGTAATCAAACGAGCATTGCATGCGCGAGGGAAGTCCAACGTGCTGTGTTGGAGGTGAGGCCATCTGGAATAGGTTCATCATGTAGTAGTAGCCATGCGCTGGCCAAAGGGAATTAAATGGTGGTCCATTTTCGTCATTTGGCCTCATGCTCCTCTAGCTTGGGATGCCGTTTGAGATATCACTTGGTTTATTGTCCGATGAGACGCCGTTGTAATCGAATTTTGCCCTTCCGTATGCTAGATTTGAGAACGAGCACCTGCCGAAGAGTATTCTCTCACGAGGTCTTCCAGGAAGATACCTGGTTATATATTATAACTTGGATAAGCTTAGCCCTTAACAGTCCTCATTTGTTTGTGCAGTACATGGCTCAGAGCTGCTAAGACATCAAAAATCAGCGCCTAAGCACAGCCGTGGGTCTGCCTCGGTGCGATTTCCATATGTGATCCCTATTGTCGTTGTCTTCTCTATTCCTTCTCCTCTATCCATCCTATGGTCATGCTGGTGGGTTCCCTCCTGCAGGGTATAGGCTTCGCCAACGTGGCGGGTGCTGTCGCCAGAGCCGTTACTCTCCAGAAGCTGGGAATCGCCTATCCTTTCAAACTGTCTACTGTGGCCATAGCTAGACTGGTGAGAGTGGATAATATTTGATCTCTTTATCGAGCTTCCCTTTTGCCTATTGCCAGATGCTCTGTTCGGTGTTATGATCGGCCTCAACGTCGGGATGGAGGTCGCGATGATGACAAGATATGCCTCCAATGTCCACCAGATCGCAAGCTGCGCCATGGCGTACGTAATATCTGCTTTCGCCGTGATCGCTCTTAATTGGACTGTTTTGACAATTGACGCTATCATCGCACTGGAGTTTCATTCGCCGATTAGTTAACTGGTTAGCGCCGAGCAAGCCTTTCTTCGTCAAAATGAAACAATGATACCTACAAGATACCTAGGCCCATCAAGCATGACAGCGATACTTTCTTCTTCCACTCCATGTTCAGATTCCAGAACATGCTAGCCGGGAAGGCAGCAAGGGCAAGGTCAACGACGGAACACACAGCTTCGATTTGGGGTCAGTCAGCATCCAGCGAATGAAATAAAGGGGCACGAAAAACCCTACCACCCTGGAAGTAGCCAGTGTTTTGCTGCACAGTAGGTGGCCAACAGCTGCCTGGAACACTGTTATTCCAGAACTTGCTTATCGGCCTACATTGGGAGAAGCTGACAATCACGGTCGCGACGTCCACCACAAATTGAATCCATATGAGGCTCCACAGCACGCGACTTCGCCATCGAATAGGGGGGAGAAGGCTCAGCAGTAAGGATGCATAAGCTATCCGGCCGATGCAGGGCGACATAATGGAAAAGAACTCGCAGAGATATACCCATTTAACCGAGTGCATGACCTCTTCCCCGGACAATGCTGCCATATGGGTTCCCAGCCCCCAGTGCGTAGATATCGTCAGGAAGATGGAATTCCCTATTCCGAGAGCCTTGTTCGGTCAGCCATAAACTTGATCTTCCCAAAGGCCATGGCGTATCTGGACTCACGAGTGCAACGAAAATGAGAGCATCGTCAATTGTGAATCTCCCTATGATTTTCCACCGGACATAATACCTAGTAGCAACAATGAGAGTAGCGAGGCCAGCGAATACCCAAGCAACTACTAAGACGGTCATCCCTAGGGATTCTAACCCAGACATGGCCATCGTGGATGGTTAGCTGACTTATCGAAAAGGCGAAAGTGACTTCTCGAACGAATTCAGTGGTTCCGGGGTAGGATGGTAAAATGGCCTGGCTGGCTGGCTCTGTCCTGGTGATTTTTATGAAGGAAGAGGGCCCCATATAACTATTATAGTCTTCACATGGCTGCATTTCAGATGAGGCTGGTGCACCTGCAAAGCGGGCATCATATGCTTCCGCTCCCGAAAGGCACCATATGCAAAGAGACAGTGTCGGTCGGATGGAGTAAGCTTACATCCTCAAATAGCTATCCATGTCGATGCTCGGATTCCACCGCTCAGTGGCCTGACGATCCAGCCAGGGTAGGCAGTACGTGCCCGTATATGCTTTTTTTTAGGTCATGTAAGATATTGTAGCATCGCTCCCTTTGATAAAGCTAGGGAGTGATAGCCCTTTGAAAGGTTAAGTCAAGCTAGACACTGATATAGATGTACAGCTCTAATTATAACTGTGAAAAATGGTGTTAGTCCGTTTAATTGTACGAGAAGTTGCTTTCCAGATTAGGAGAAAGAAGATTTCGCGACAGTAAGATACACCGTAGTTATATATTTCAGCAGGATTTGGCCAAGGAATAGACAATCAGATCCTTGCATAAGCTGCATGCATGGAGTGCATGATCGCTGGCTGGACAACGCTGGTCCTCGACTCTCTAACTGGTCTACGGCAATGGATTCCCACAATGGTGGCGGCATGAGCCAGATCTGCCGTAAAAAGAAACGCGAAATTTACGGAGCCTTCCGGGGTGTCTATTACCAGTACGTAAAATAGAACTGTTGGACAATGACCTCCATGTGCATAATGTTATGCTAGGGTTGCGGGCAAACACCCCCTCAAATCAAAGCTATCAGCGACCCCTACTCCATCACCATCACGGGAAATCAATTTCTCTGAGGAGGATTCTTGCTTAAACACCGACGGTTGTAACGTTTATTCCGAGCCTTGATATTCCTACATATTTCGGCCGTCGTTGTATTCATGAAGCAAGAAATCATGGGCGAAAAGCCACGATCTGCGTCTGTAGAAGCAGACCGCAGTGGAGGGGAGGAGGGCCCCCGACAAGACATTATCGGCCGCCCATCTTCGTCTGCACCAGATGAGGACTGGTTTGCATGGTTGCAAGTTCTCGGGGCCTTCTGTTTAAATCTGAATACATGGTAAACTTGCTCCCAACCCGGAAAGCGGCCGGACTTCGTCATCAGTGGCTTACCATCAATTGTGATCTCCCAGGGGACTTATGAATGCCTTTGGAGTTTACCAAACGTTCTATGAACTTGAATTGCTCTCTTCAAAATCTCCTTCGGATATATCCTGGATTGGATCGACGCAGGCGTTTCTCATGTTCATCATCTCGATGGCCGTGGGACCGATTGTTGACGCAGGCTATTTAAAGTCGCTGCTTGGACTGGGGTCGCTGCTCACTGTTCTCGGAATGTTTATGACGAGCCTCTGTAGCGAGTACTGGCAGGTCTTCCTCGCTCAAGCGATTACCATGGGCCTAGGTTTTGGTTGCCTCTACGTGCCCGCCCCGGCGATTGTCTCGCAATATTTTCACAAGAGTACTGCGCTAGCGATGGGCGCGTCTTCGGCTGGCAGTGCTGTCGGTATGTAGCAAGGAACCCAGAGGAGTGAGAATAACCGTCAATTTCTAAGCTGAGGATTTAGGTGGAATCATATACCCGATCATTTTCACGCGCCTCCAACCCCAGATAGGTTTCCGTTGGGCTACTCGGGTGATCGGGTTTATCATATTGGCAACCCAACTCCTCCCCTTTTTTCTGATGAGATCCAGAGTCATCCCGATGACAAAAACAAAGTACAGCCTGGTAGATAGGACAGCATTTAAAGACACACCATTCATTCTACTCAATATCGGTCTCATTTTCGGGTTTACGGGTTTGTATATCATCTTTTACTATATCCAACTATATGCACTCGAAGAAAGCAGCATCTCGACGGTCCTTGAATCTTATCTGCTTGTGATTATTAATGCGAGCTCATTACCTGGTCGTTTGATCCCTGGTTTCTATGCTGACAGGATTGGATCTATTAATGTACAAACAATGGTTGCGTTTATTAGCGCGGTATTGACATTTTGCCTTATTGCGATAAAGAGCTCGGCCGGGTTGGTGGTCTTTTGCATCATCTGTGGGTTTTCGGCTGGCGCCTTTATGGGACTACCAGCTGCAGGGGTGGTGAATCTCTCTTCTGACAAGAGTAAGATTGGTACCCGTTTAGGGATGACGTTGTCCGTTGTAGGATGTGGTGTCCTCGTGGGCAACCCTATTGCGGGTGCAATTTTGAAGGGGACAGGCGGCTGGGTTGGACTCATTGGATGGTGTGGTGCTTTGCTAACAGCTTCCGTCCTTAGTATGGCCGCCTGTAGGATATCCAAGGTTGGTTTGGGGTTTAAAATGGTGATATAATATACTTAGATAGTTATATAACTGTCGAGATATAATCTTCCCCAGAAACTGATCATACTGTCAACTATATAAATCAAGATTCTTCATGAAGAAACAGCCTCCACTTTGAATTTCTATTTTCTTTTTCACCTCGTGATTCTTGAAACCATCTATTGTAGCTCTCTTGTTATCAGTTGGAGTTATTTGTTGGCCACAGCACCTTTCCATCCGGACAGAACTTGAAGCGATCTACCATTCTCCCTGGGACCTCATCTTCGTGCTTGAAGCAGGCGGTTCTCTCACGGGCCCATTTCTCCAGCTTTCCCCAGTCCTTACACATTCGGACCTGGCCCGCCCCAGTCCCAGGTGGACTTTGGAAACCAGCATACCGCGGCGTGTCGTCTGCGTTACAAATAACATCCTGGCGCAACTGGTCAAGGCAGTGCTGAATATGAGTAAAAGCAATTTGTTGTGGTAGTCCACGATCAGCGTTCCAGACATATCGAAAGAGGGTTCGCTAGTTATGCAACTCAGGTCAGTTTATATGTGCTTCAGAGAGGCAAAGGGGAGGAGCCGGGTGGAGGAGCCATTAACCAAGCAATGAAGATTGTGGAATCCTTGTAGTAGATATACTCCTTTATTAGTATCCCACGGAAAGCGCATAGCATGTGGAAGGCGTTTTTTGGATACGAATTCCTGTGGAAGAGCAACAACTCCTGGATCGCCGCTGAGTTCTTCCCATAAGCGGGCAACCTCGCTCGCGTTTTCAGAAACAAACTTGGTAGACTGGTATATTTGTATGGGGACAGTCCTTTCTAAGCCAGCTGCAAAGAGTTAGTGAAGTGGCCATATTCTAAGGGGTGTTGTCACGACGCCGCACCGAAATATGATCCGCAATCGCAATTTGGTGATGTGGTCTCCTTGAACTGATAAATGATGAGGAATCCATTCAGACAGAACAACACGGCTATTATGGCTGACAGTATAGTTACTACGGTTCTCTGACTGGTTGGATTTTTGAATTCTCTTGCCAGGTCATCGCTCTCGTTCTCGATCGAGCTTCGCTTAATGGGGTGGTAGACTTGGTGGTCGCCTGACATCATGAAGTGGTTGAGTATAGCCTATCTAGTGAGATTTGTATTTGAGGAGAGGCAATGGTGCTACTATGAGGTATCGGGGAACAGGGAGGGTGCAAAGGATCTACTTTAAATGCAATAACAGCAAGAGAACGGCTCGTTAGCATCCATGCAATGCCGAGAACTGCAACCTCATGTTACTTGTATAGTCAGTTGAGTCGTAAATTTAAAACGTTAATTGAAGATTTCTGTTCTGTGTATCTACGCTTGGATGTCTCAATCAATATTATAACTCTCTATAAAGTCACCCTACACAACTAAAAGGGAGTAGCTAAAGCCTGCAACATCTGGCTACAATTTCAGTATATTATTCGTGGTCACTCAATACAGAGCCGAATATGTAAGCCATATATGCTCGCCTTATGCCTCTGCATCCACCCAGGACTGATCGACTTTAGCAGGGTAAACGACGGCTTCATCAGCGTCCTCTATAGACCCTACTGCGGCATCAGAATAATGACCACAATGTAGATGGGCCATGAAAAATGCGACTCTCTTCTCAGCAGTATAGATCATTATAACTTACGTGCTTTAACCTCGGCATCAACCCATGATTGATCGACCTTTGCTGGATAGACCACGGCCTCATCAGCGTCGGCAGAGCTACCTGTTACAAGAGTCAGTCCTAGGTCGAGACAGCTGCAAGAAAATGGCCATACCGGTAGCTAAAGGAGCAGCGCTAACAGCAGCTACCAGAAGCAAGATGATTGAGATTTTCATCCTTGGTTTCGTTCGTTGAGTGTGACTTAGTTTGATATTGTGAATACCAAATAGATTTTCTGAACGGGAATATAACTACCACAGTAGCTGGAGTCGCACAACTTTCAAATATGTGTGGTGATGACAGTGTGAGATGCTCATCCACCTAGTCGACCCAAACTCCAGCTTAAATACCCTGCGGAATTTGTTCCAATCATGCATCGGCCCCCTACCTTTCAGCCTTGATCCAAAGTGCCACTATATTTGGCTGTCGAATCGTCCCCCTAGACATTCATCCACTTTAATATACGAGCTGCCTGCATATCATCCATCACTTTGCATACATTTAGCCCTTCACGGCGACATAAGATGCCCGGGTATGCCGATGATACGAGAAAACCACCGTACAACCAAAGAGCATACACACCGACGTAGGAGGATTATATTGTACCGACGGTAGTAAGAAAACCAACGCCCCTGAAGCTTATCGGCTAAATACGCCTAATTTCACCCACGCTGATATACCCAGTCGGTATACTAAGCAGGTATGCTCCAAGCTATTACCCAGTAGTACCCTTCCATGTACTAGAAGTACGGAGTATGCTCGGTGACTTCTCGATCAAGGGTAACGTACTTAGCTCTTGGCTAGTGGAACAGCCATAGAGTTCTCGCCCGTCGCGGGCCGAAAAGTGGGGACCAGATAAAAGGTTCATGTACTTGGAACCAATGAGAACTAGAGTTGGCTGTCATTATGTCGTTACTAAACCGTTATACCATACTCTTATTGGATAATACAATACGTACTAAGTATTACAGGATTGGCAGAGGAGCGGGGGGCGTTCCTTCTTTTTAAGCTTAACGGGCTAGAGTGGGTCACGCAAATGAGAGTGAGGTAGGAACGTCACTTGTGCTACGGACGGTGATCATTGATTAGCCGGAACTAGGGAAGAGCACGACAAGCCCCGTCGGGCGAAAGGATTGACCATCCCTCGGATAGGTACCCCGCCGGCCAACCTTCCTTATTAGGCATACGGAGTATACAAACAGTGTTAACAATGCTTACAACGTACTTACAATGCATATACTCTTTTTCGTACGTACTCCGTAGTCCTCTGACCTCTTCTGCTTATTTCATCCCTATTCAATATAACTTGATTCACTCTATATAATGCCTAGATAAATGTCTTAAAAAGGGTGTTAAGGCCAAATCTACATCGACGAATCATGCTCAGAGAAGCCTCTCCTATTGCTCACTCGCCGTTTTTCAGCCCACTCTGTCAAGGCGACATAGTCACGACAAATCCGTTCATTGCCCCATCCGGTAACTCCACCTAATCTAGCATCAACGGGCTCCAGTGTGGAATCGGCTGCACATGTAAGGCTCTGGCGCAGATAGTCGAAACAGTGCCTCATATGTGAGCTGATATGGTCATCTTGGCTGCTGCGGCCCCCGTGTACAGCCCCGTAGTAGTTCTGGTGGATGGACCACTTGGCCCTTGTTAGTCTCCCTTCATAGACGCCGAAAATGGAGCAGACGTACCAGGCAGTGAAGCTGGTGGACCACTGACAAGGTATAAACCTTCTTACTACCAGCGGGATAACCTACAGAACCTTGACCGACTGTTCAGATGCATGGGCTGCCAGTTAGTACGGCCACAGAACTAACGAATGCTTGGATATTGCTCACGGGGAACGATTGAGTCCCAAGCTGCCTCTGTATTGGTGTCGGTCTGAGGGTCTGCACCAAATGTTCGATTGTAGACAAAGACCTCCTTATAAGTCTCAAGTGGGATCGCGGCTGCGAGAGAGCGGTTTAGTGTAACGATGTCAGGATAAGTATTATTGTCACTTACGGTTAGAATATAACGCATTGCCAAGTGATCTCCTTCCAACAAGTCCCCCTATACCAGCGGAAACGGCAATTACCGTCAGCAAGAATAGATAATGACTCAATGAGTACTGCATCAGGCGAGACAAAATCCAAGGACAACGGTGATCGTTATTGCCAGCCAATAGCTGATACCGAGCGTTGAAGTTGAATAACCCCATTGCTTGAGGCTGCGATTGGAAATAGGAGAAATTCCACGTAGGCTGTATGAAGAGTTCAGATAAGCAACATAACAATTTTGGCAAAGCCAGGTAATGTCTAGCCATGAAGGCTTCTTGTCAAAGCGAACCTGCCATTCACCTCCTTTGCAGAGAGGCTTTGCGCCCTAAGCTCTGTGGAGCTAGGAAGAATGCTTGAGCTCATATCAAGAGCGAGGGGATCCTAAGAATATTTATTGGATGATTCCGTAATTCTTGTATCCTCGCTGTAACGCAAGGATCTGGGTTTAGAGCTGGCATTTCCTAGTCTTCGGTAGAAGGGGCTGGTTAGAAGTATGCGCATCGACAAGCCCCTCGGACCGAGCAACCGAATGGCACAGTCGTTGTCTTCATGAACCTGGACAGGAGAACCCCTTATTCTGCATTGAAGTTGAACATCTCCAACTATACTTCAAAACAAAATATTTCTACTGGGGTTGTTCAACCATCATTGATATTTATGTTTTGGTATGAACGATATGGAGCAAAAAGATAGCAGGAACCATGTTGCCGAGCCATTGCTGGGGGATGAAGAAGCCCTGAGAATATCTGCGGAAGAATTCAAAGATACCTTTTCAAAATTCGATAAAAAGCCGAACAATCGGTCTTGGAAGAAGCTCTCACCATGGCTAATTCATAGTTCCATAATAGTCACGTATTCACTCATTTTCTTCGCAATTATCCTCCGTTTCAGTTATAGCAGGTTTTCAAACGATGATAGGTGCAAAGAGAGTCATTCAAGTCTTCCATGTCTGTTTCTTCTTCGTCCTTTTCCCTAAGAACTCATTCTGACTTTGTCAATAGTGCCAGCCAGAGAGGGGCTGCAATGGGAGTACCGACAATTCCCAACGAAGATAGTGGACAACCCTCTAGCAGGGCCGCCACGGCAAGAGTTGGAGAATGCATGGCATAAATTTCTAAAAAGTAACTTAAGTATATCAAGAAACATTTGTAGACTTCAGCTAACACTCCATTTGACTCAAGATGACAATATACGAGTGCCTATCGAGTATCTAAAGGAGAAAAATCTGACCTCAGTGTATACCAAAGATCACTCTGAAGGTATCGCATCACTAAGTGTATATCACTCACTACACTGTCTAGTATGTTCATTCTTAATTGGTTTCCCTTTTCAATTGCTTCGAAGATTAACCCAATCTTCATTCTTTAGAAGAAAGTTAAGCGCATGATGTTTAAGGAGCATTACTATGCGAACCGCGATGGAACCGCAATGGCACGAGAGATTAAACACGCCGACCACTGTATAGAGTACATTCGCGAGTCCCTCATGTGCCAGCCAGACCTGTCCCTAGTCACCTTCCGTTGGATCAACAACACAGCCCAACATAAGGACCCGACAGAGTTCTATCCGACAAATTTTGATAAGGATATGCATCGTTGTGCGAACTGGGAACATCTCGATCGCTGGGCGGGAGAGCGTGTGTTTGATCTCTTCAAGGTGGATTTATTAGATAGACCAAAGAAGAGTACAGGATGAAAAATAAGTTTCCTAAGATCCACGACATTTTGACATATACTAGGAATCAACTAGGTCTGGCTTTAACAGTCAGATATTATCAGTGGGGCAAATGCAATCTAGGTATGTTGAGAGATAGCCGTGCCTAGATATATAGTTTGCTCTGATCGCCCTGATATATATGATAATGGATTGGTTTGTTACAACATTGTCTTTAATAATTTTGCCAGCTCACTTATTCCATAAACTCACTGGGGCGTCAGGAGTACAATAATACTTTATTCTTTATCTGGTTGAGTGAGTCTGATTTTAGAAACAAACAGGTTCAAGGAGTGCGCTGCCCTGTAAGACCTATACCCTCATCGCCTCAACGATTCCATCACCACCCTCATCCACTGGGTCCCAGAACTCAACCACCTTAAGACCTGCCTTCTCCAACAGTGTACTCCACTGTTGCCTTGTACGTTCCATCCCTCCATTGAAAGCCATCATTGTCATGTCCAATTGTGCTTGGAACTGCGATGCTCCTCGTTCCAAAACGATAATTTCGTGCAGAAGAAGCTTCGAGTATCCTGGCGTCATTGCCGATGCTACCTTTTCAAGAATTCTAAGGCAATAGGAATCCGACCAGTCATGTAGGATATGATGGTAAAAATAAACTCTTGCACCTATAGAGTCGTTAGTTATTATATAGTGGTTACCCTTCTTATTGTATCCCGCCATTGGTTTTTTGAGAGCGAAAGTTTTTGGGAAGGTATATTCAACATACCTGTTACGGGCTGCTCAGTGAAAAAGTCATATGCGACTTTATCGATTGCAGAGTCCAAGTCTCCAAGTGCCTCTACGACCGCTGGCAAATCTTCCAACACCAGTCTGCCTGTGTTAGGAAATTTATTCTTATATGCCAACAAGTCGTGACCCTTTCCTGCGCCTACATCCACTATCAAAGCCTTGTCTAGAGTCACCCCGTCTAGAATTTGGCTCTGCACTGGGTACCAGTCAACCCAATATTTTCGCGCGCCCATCGTGTTGCCCATAAACATGTTGAAATCTTTGAGCAAGGATGGTGTCGATGTAATACGTTCGAAAGTGGTTTGTTTTGTGTCAAAGGCAAATTGCATGAGTCCGTCCTTGGGGTCAACGGGGCAGGAATGGCCTCTCTGAAGCAAGAATTCAGGGGCGCTTTGCATAGCGGGAACAATCAAGCGGGAACTACCCAAGGCCAAAAGAAGGCATTGTAAGTCAGCTAGTGAAATAGAGATCAGAGATATTCCTAGCATATAATAATAACTCACATCATCCGATGGCCAGCCGCAATTTCTTCGGTGGCCATGGCCTTTGAGACACGCGTCGCTTTCCACGTTTTTGATGCGACTTCCTCGACAAAGTGGGATGTTGACAAAGGCCGCAAAACACGTACTATAGATAATTCAATATCAGGTAGGCAAGATTTAGTGGAATTTTTTGGTGGAGTGTATACTTATCAACAGTTCCTCGGCACCGGACAGCTCGGCCAACCTCGCAGATGTAACAGGCCCTTCCTTGACAATGTGCTCAAACAAATTCAAATCGACAGCAATCCGTGCACTAACAGCGATCATAGGCTGTAGAAGAGTGAGAAAAACAAGTATACCCAAGCTTGCAAGGGAGCAAAACGTAAGAAACATGTACCGAAAAGGCCATATCCACTGCAACATTTTCTGGCTGTTCCAGCTGGGCTGTGAGTTTCTTGCTTAGCTGCAAGCATTCCGTCTTTGCTTCATGGTCCTTTTCGTTATTGAGCCTCGAAGCAAGGTGGTATAACTTCGCAATGAGAGCGGATGGGTCCTCATTGATGGTTCCTTCAACTGAACCCATGGTAGGATTATGATATAGTTTAACGAAATAGCTCGACGTTGTGTAGAAACACTCAGTGTTGTATCAAGCAGAAGAATGAATTAGAGGCCCCCGGAAAGTTCCGTGTATGTTGCCGATGTATATAGCCTCCTATCCTGCAGACCGGGTACCCAGGTATGCACGAGCTTGCCACCAGCTTTATCAAGTGAATCGGAGGAATAACTGAACGAACAGCGAAGCAACGCCGGTCCTCCGTCCGCTCCCCGCCCGAATACCAACAAATACCAACAGCCCCGTCGACTTTCATGTTTGCTTGACGTTTACAAGCATCCTGGCGGAGCTAAAGCTGTAATGGGTATAAGGATTCTTTGTTCCCCCACGTCAGACTAAGTCGGCTGTGCCGCGTTCGCGGCATCGATGACAGCAAGGGACAGGGACAAGGGCCCCATGGCATCCTCCAGCTTTCTCCCTCGATCTGCCTCCTTGCAAACCGTAGGATTCATGTGTGTCAACCAGCCCTTGGCACGTTCGTGCCAAGTTGATTATCATGATGGGCGTTTGTTCGGATAAATATACGGGACAAAGCGTCGGTCTTTTACAGACCCCCGACAACTGAGGGGCGCTGTTGGAAGAGCTGAGGGTAAATCCCGTACAGAATCGACCAATTACTCCCCGTACGGAGTACCTTTATCCATAGGGGTATGGGATCAGATTGTCGTTCTTCCGCGTTTTGTCATCAAGCGTCTGACGGACGACGACTCGCTCTTCAATCTGAGCCCGAAACAAAATGTTAGCATAACTAGTTAGTTAACTACCTCGTCACGCATTATATAGGCGAGAAGCGAGTTCGGATGGATATCAGTGTTCCTGATGATGATGAATGCCCTGCAGGATATACTGCAAACTTCTCGCCTGTAGAGGTGCAGTCGGGAGGGGCCCGCAATCCTTGCGACCAGAGGAGGTAGTATATTCCCAGAAGCGCTAATCACTAGCAGCTAAACACAATGCGAAAGATAGGTTCGGTACGGAAGGCTTGAGCTTCATTGCTAGCAACGTCGCCATTGTGTTTAGAATATCGTCGAACTTGCTGGCCAGAGCCCCAACTACCATCGGGTAACTGCATCTCTAAGAGGTCCGGATATTAAAAACTCTCAAGAAAATATAGGGGCGAGCGTCGTTACGCTTGTCCGCCATTGGCCCCAAGGCAGGCAGTGTCACATACGGAAGACGACGGACTGCAGTTATACCCATTGCCATGTTAAATGAATCATTGAGTGTGTGGCGAATAGAAATTCTGCGGTCCTGATTACGCACATCTATCCTTCATACATTCACCTCCCTTTCACAATATTCCTAATGATTCCTTGTGCCTATCAGCCCTGAATTACCCACTGAATGTTTTAGATCTAGTCGAAGCCCAAACTATTGGATATCTCAACGCACGAACCCCACCAGGTCGGCGGGGTTCGTGCTTGATCTCCGATTGATATTGCATAGTGTGTTGGCACCACCTATCTACACAACGAACTATCAGAAAACAAAATCCACGTAGGTTGTTGAGAGGGAGAAGGGTTCCAGATAGAGACGGGCGCTCATGCGCTAATACCTTGTCTGCCTCTTATCGAGATGTCTTGATGTAAGTGTACGACAATGTTAACTGGGTAAGTTGCTCAATATCCTGGACCTGGAAGCTTGCTAAATATCGCTCATCCCTAGGCAGGAAGGGTATGTTGGCATCAAGTTTATGATACATCTTGCTTTTCCCTCCATTAAATCGTAACTATCTTCCAGCACCTAGATGCATGCGGCCCTTCGCTGTTGCTGCTACCAAATGGGGATGGTATTTACGAGCATTCCGTTTAAACTTCATTAGAGATAGCCACTAGATATATGTACGCGACATCTTGCATAACAGCACACAGCTCTAGGGTATCAGAGAAAACATGTACTTAGGGGCGAGAGTCAGCAGTCTCTACGCGGCCAAATCACCAACTATATCGAACGCATAGGACATGTTTTATTGCGCCTCTTCGCCAGTGGATATAATTTCAGTACAATGCCCCCACCCGCGCTGAATCAAAAGATCCACGCATACTCCGAGCTCTTGTCAGGAGAGCATCAGAGAGAAGCTTCTATCAGAATAAAACGGCGCTGTCATGTATATAATCAGTGCGCTGAGGTGGTGTGCGATTGACCTGATTGCATACTTTGTTGGAGAAGCTGCAAGAATCTGTGTGCCGCTATGCCTAGCTAACTAAAGACGAGCCACCAGTTGCCGGTTTGGTTTCCCAACTAGCCATTGGTAACTAGTTAGCGATGTGGCCGGATGATTGTTCGGTCGTGAAAGAGGGAGAGCAGATTGAGGGACCGCTGTTCCAGCTTACAGTGTACATGGACACAACAGCGTATCACGCCACATATGCGGAGTAATACTAGCAGCAATTTGCGGCGGTTGAAAGGAGATAATAACTCCCCGTCGCGTATCTCTAACGTGTGAGTGGTTGGAGTATAGTGACCTGCTCGAGGTTGTTGGTTTTGCGGCTCGGTTAGTCATGTTCGTCCAGTTGTCAGTCCGATCACCTTCGCGTAGCTCTCAATGGGAGAGCAGTTTGCCAAAGCCGATTAAGCATGCAGCTGGTAGGTATCAAAATCCGCCTTATCCATGGACGGTAGAGTCAATTGAGCTTCAATATCGCCACTCTTCCAGCACAATCAACATTCGTCATCGCTACGTTCGCTTGTATCGCCCAATAACCAGTCGGCGGACAACGATCACGCGTTATCTCTGGACAGACGTCGCCTCTTCAGCCTTGCAGTAGGTTAGTCAACGCTCATCGACATTCATGGGCCTCCATGGATCACTTAAGGCTAGAATGTGGATTGAAAACCGCCGCAAGCGATTCGGTCGTCAGGTTTAGCTTGCACGTTGGGCTCTAAGGCCTTCCTGGGACCTTTACCCGAAGACAGTTAAACTAGCTATGTGGGATTTCTCGTCAAGGACGGGCAAATTACCTTGCCATGTCCGTCGCGACCCTGCATCGCTAACCAGCCAACCGCGAGGTCGCCCTGCCATATGCGAGACGAAATATGGACATTCATCCGTTGTCTCCATTGCAAGCTTTTTCTGATATCCAGCCCGATGGCATAGACCCGCCTCGGGGGCGTCGCCTTACCGTCGACTCCGAGCGAAGACGCCCGTGCAATGACAGCTACACTGCAGACTAGCTACTCTTTTGCAGGGAGACAAGCGACATGGAAAGTAAGGAAAGGATAATACCCAATCGCAACTATCTGTTGAGATATCCAGTGTGATCTGGCCATGGCCAACTCGGCCTCAGAGAGTGCTGTGACCGCCATTGATGGCGAGGGAGGAGAGTCTCTCTCTCTCTCCAGCTTTCATCCCGTCTCTAGTATTTATACCCCCCTTCTTCCCTTCTCACAAGGAATTCAGAAAGGATTATCACAAGCAGAAGTCCTCCAAAACCCCATTCCTCTCCATTATTCACACACACACACACACACACACACACACACACAAGACGCCGATTTCCCTTGGAACAAGTTACATTACCGCCAAAATGAACCTCCAGGCATTTTTCAAATTTGCTGCTGTTGCTATGCTCGGCGTTACTTCTGTCCAGGCATCACCTTTCTCTCTCGACCGCCGCTTCGACCTCAAGCCGCGAGACACGGTTGTCTCCAACCAATGTTCTGATCTCGTTGTTGGTGCCACCAAGACACCCGACATTGGCTCCGTGTGTGTTGCTCTCACCAGTGGCCAGCTTAGCATCACCTACAAGATCGATGTCACTGGCTGGACGTTCAACGAAGTCCACGCCTGGGTCGGCACCTCTGCGCCTACAACAACTGTCCCCGGCGCTTCCCCTGGTCAATTACCTTACACAGTTGCCAATGGCAAATGTATTATCAATTCTGATAAAACTCAAGTCGTGTGCACTGTCTCTCCTATCCCCAGCGCATGGAGAGGCTGTGACGGCCAACTCTACATCGTTGCTCATGCGGACGTAACTGGCCCAGGATCAACCACCTCGCAAACCGCATGGGACAACGGTCAATGCTTCGACTCCAAGGGCAACTGCGCGAAATACTTCAAGGTCAATAGAGAGTGCCAGTGCCCAGTGGAAATTGACTATTTCCCTGTCACCTCTACTGTATGTTGAACAATCCCCAATGAGATTCTCCATACTAATGACTGCCACAGTCACTCTCTACTAGCATCTACCCGTCTACGTCGACCACCACGTACACTACCTCTACCATAGTAAGTGATCTCAGTCTTTATACTATCAGGTGCAAGCTTAGCTAACATGCGCGCTACTAGTCTACGTATACCACCTCTACTACAGTTACCTTTGAGACTCAGGTATGTGTCTTACTCTCTGGGTTGTACATGCAGATCAACTAATATTGCTAAATAGTCCGAATCTACTACGACGATAACGTCCGTCACTTCAAGCGTGATCATCACAACCCCGCCTCCCACCACCACTACCTCGGCTTGTGCCGACCCAGCAGCCGGCACCCGCACGACTACTATCTCCAAGGAACTATAGTAGCGTGATGGTCGCGTGAAGGGGAACCTATCTCTACGAGTCGGTCATGATGAATGATGATGGCGATGCACTACTCTAAACAATGACGGTGTGAGAAGTAGTTGTCTAAAGTAATCCTATGTTATGTCTTTCAGTCATGTTTATTTCTTACCGTAATCCTGCTGTTGTTGCCTGGCAGCGTTAATTAATGATATTGGATTCGCTACCATTTCCGTTACTATTAAATTAATTCTTCCTTCTCTTCAAACGTGTATTCATAGTCTCCTCTCTAGGTTAGCCATTCATTCTTGAGAAGAGATTTGGAACAATCATGGCCAAAAACTTTACCATACAGGGCATCTATATCAAAGGAATGTTTATCACTGCTACAATATCCAGTGCTACCAATGTCAGATGCGCTTTGCCACGCTATCATATCTATGGTCTTGCTCATTTAATACGATAAGCTTGGAGTTACCAGCAGTCCCCTCCATGGTGCCAAAAAGGGCATTAATATGACACACGTAGTCAAGAATCAAGTCCAACATACTATTATACAACGTCGACACCGGCAAGCCGAACGGCGACCCGAGGAAGTTCTTCGCTTGTCTTCTGCGTTTTGCAGCCAATGGTGAGCTTAGCGAAGATGTATCCGCACCCAATCACCAGCTTAGAATGACATCTTTCCCTGCAACTTCCCGCGCGTCCGGAGGCATCGGCCATATCGTTGGGGTTGACCATTAATATTAACGCCTTCGGTGAGGTTGCAGTCAGGTCTAGAATATAAGCCAAAGAGGATGTGTTCCCCGACGAACCTTCGGGTAGATAAGTATCGTGGCGACCCTCGCATAGAAAAACAAGCAGCTAATGCATAATTCCAGGCTATCTACACTTAAGCCTCGCCACCGGCTCGGTTCGACGTGGCGTGTTCGCTTTCAGGTCATGGCGGCTGTTGCTGGTCATTCTCTTGCGCAGCTATGGCTGGGACGAAGCTAATTAACTACACATATGCGAGAGCTAATGTCGACCAGTCGCGGGCCTGCCGAGCTCACGGCCTAAGGGACGGGGTGAGAGGCATGCAAGCGAAGCCCTATAGACTAGGAGGCTTCGAGGAGAGCTTGTCACGCGCGTCGGAACCGAGACGATGGATGAGGCTCGCAGATCTACCATCCAGACGCTCTGTCTTAGCACCTTGAGGATGGTCTGGATTGAGGCAGACTCGTCCAGCATCTACGAGATCTGCTCCGCGCACGGCATGTCCACGTCGTCGAGGCGCATGACCAAAGGCATTGCCTACACTCGAATACTTGGTCCAGGCTGATCTCGCTAGATACCTCGCCTAGACAGCGCAAGTACAGCTAGGCTATGGGTTATGTCCTTTTCTTTTTTAAACCTAAGCGGGAACAAGTAGGACTTAAAGCACAGCGATAGCTCTACTCAAAAGCCCGACTCGGATTCTTCTTCCTGCTTTGATGCCACGACCAGCTTGCGTTGAGATAGGAGTCGACACAATATGACACGGCCATTAGTATCACGACGTGGTAGGCTCGCACTGCTGCTAGTCGCTTTTGTAAGTATACCAAGCTCCCAGTGGCATTTCTACAATTGACAGTAAGCCTACCAGTGGATAACGGTAGCCTTCCTGGCATCCCATGGAGACGTGCGGCAGATATTTTTACAGCGATGGCTGCGAGTACGGGCCCACGAACCCAAGGCAGGCGAATCCCAAGTCACTAACCCCGAGCCTGACATCCAACAAACCACCCTCACTGGGACGCTTACGCATAATATGACTCCCGCTGTCCTTCAGGCTACAGACCGAGTTAACGCAACGTTTGTCACTCTCGCTCGCAACCAAGACGTATGGGACCTTGCGCGGACGGTCAAACAGATTGAAGACCGTCTGAACTCCCGCATGCACTACGACTGGGTGTTCCTCAACGACAAACCCTTTGACAGCACCTTTAAGCGTGTCATGACCTCCCTCGTCTCAGGGGAAGCCAAGTTCGGCTCCATACCCAGCGAGGAGTGGTCGTTTCCGCCACATATCGACCTAGAGCGCGCCGCTCGTACCCGCCAGCGTATGAAGGACCAGGGAGTCATCTACGGCGATTCCGTGAGCTACCGACATATGTGTCGGTATCAGAGCGGATTCTTTTTCAGGCATCCTCTGATGATGCAGTATGAGTGGTATTGGCGTGTAGAGCCGGGGGTTGAGTTTATGTGTGATATACGCGAAGATCCATTTAGGGTGATGGCAGACAAAGGCAAGAAGTGTGGGTTTGTGATCAGCTTACGGGAATACCCTACCACTATCCCATCGCTGTGGGAGAAGACTAGGAAGTTTATCAAGGAGCATCCAGAGCACGTTGTCAAAGAAAACATGATAGATTTCATCAGTGATGATCACGGAGTCAGCTATAATAATTGCCATTTTGTGAGTCCCACCCCCCGGTCAGGAGATACTTGGATTAACTCTGGGATATATATTGACTTGGGGTTAGTAGTGGTCGAACTTTGAAATTGGTTCGCTCTCATTTTTCCGCTCGAAAGCGTACATCGATTACTTCAACCATCTTGATAACACAGGCGGCTTTTTCTATGAGCGTTGGGGGGACGCCCCCATCCACTCTATTGCAGCAGCCCTGATGCTTAAGAAGTCCGAAATCCACTTCTTTAACGATATCGGTTATTACCACGTTCCCTTCACACACTGTCCGACAGGCAATAAACTCAAGACAGATCTACGATGTTATTGTAGTGAAAAGAAGAATTTCGACTGGAAGGGGTATTCATGTACAGAGAAATTTTTTGATTTGACTGGGCTGGAGAAACCAGAGGGATATGAATTAGAGAGCAATTAATATTATAAATAATAATATATAAATATAGAGAGATTATTATTAAAAGCTATAATCTAGCTCATTTTTGGTCTTGTTTAATTAGAAATTCGCTATATACGCTTATTACAGCGAGCTTCCTAGTTTCTTTATTTTTTTCTATAGTCTTTTATAATATATCCTAACTTCTTATAGTAGAAATATAGTTTTTTATCCTTATATCTTTTACTTTTTTTAGTATTATAAAGTTATTTCTTAGTAGTATTTAACTTTATAGATATAGTACTATAATTATTATCTTTATTTAATCCTTTATATTAGTTTTACTTTTTAGAAAGTATTCTTCCTTTATTATATATTTTTTAGATTATAGAGTTAATTATTAATATATACTATTATTTTAACTATTTATTTAAAACTATTATATAATTCTACTTTAATAATTTTATATTAGGTTTCTAATTTAAGTCTTTATTTAAATATAGCTATTTTCTATTTATTATTATAGATTTTTAATTTTTAATAAATCTATTATAGTTACATTATATACTATACTATATCTCTAATTTATCTAAGTCTCTATAATCTATATTATAGGGTCCTTTTTTTATTAATATTTCTAAAAAACTATCTAAGTATTTATTTAAATTATATATAGTTATTAAGTATATTTATATATAGTATAAATTATTCTTTAGTATTAATCTAGTTTTTAAAATATAGTTTAAACTATATTACTACTATTTCTTTTATATAAGATTCTATAAAAATAACCTTTTTAATATTAGTAACTTCTAATTTAGTTACTAAATAGATATTATATTCTTTTAAAAAATATTCTAGCTTAATATAGTCTCCTTTATAAGTATTAAATTTATAGATTTTAATAGTAATCTTTTTATTTCTAGTTTTAACTCTAAGTATATTAATATTTTTTTTATATTCTTTAATTTATATTATAGTTTAATTAATAGTATCTCTATAATTCTTAAGTAGTTTCTATTATTTTTTTATTTATTTATTAGTTTTATTTAGTTATTTATTATTAGGTTACTCTTTAATTCTTTTTTTTAATTTAATATTTTTTATTATATTTATCTAAATAGGGTATTAATATTAATAGTTAGTCTACTTACTAATAATATATTAATTTATTCTATTTTAGCTTTAGATATACTTATATAGTTAGTATACTTTTAAAAATAAAGTAATATATACTTAGTTTTATTCTTTTTAATATATAATTATAAATTATTTAAATTAAAATATTTATAACTATAAAGTTAAAGTAATTAATATTATAAACTAATAGTACTTTTTAATTATTTAAAGATAATTAAAGGTTTATATTTACTATAAAATAGAAAATATAAAGATCTTAAGAAAAACTTAAATTAAAAATAAGTTATTATAGAAGATAGCTTAATACTAAAGTAAGATAGAATATTATAGTAAGGCTATTTCTTAGTTCTAAATATAGCTTTAGTTAATACTTTAATTAAATAAAGGTTAAAGGTCTTTATAAATAGTAAAAATAAAGTTAATCTATATTAATAAATAAAGGGGTATTTAGTAAATATAGTATAAGATAACTAGAATAGTACTTTATATTAAATAGTATAGTAAAACTATAGCTAGTTTAATTATAAGTATAAAATTCTTAATTCTAAAGTAATAAATATCTTTATATATATAGTATATATTTAGTAATAAGTATAATAGTTCTCTATTAAGGGGTTCCTATCACTCCTATTAGTTTCCTTAATAGTATTAATAGAAAGCTGCCAAGCCTGTCCTATCAATCCTATCGCTCTGGTCACGTGACTAGCACTCTCAAGGCTTTATTCGTGGTCTGTTCCTCCAATGAGTGTATAACCTGGGGCTGCGCCGCTGTAGATCTGTAACATATAGCCTATAGAAACGAGCTGGTGTTTATGGACCCGCATTCAAGATTCCCGTCGGCGAACTTTTCTGTCCAACTGATTAAGGACGTACACAAGCCTCCAGAAAATTCTACTGATTGTGCAAAAATTCAGCCAATCTGGGGTATCGGTGGCGGTAACGATTACGGCGAGAGCTTTACGGGTTTTGCACGGAGGCATCGAGAGCTGGAGAAACGAGGAAGCGTTAAAACGTCTAGCCTTTGTCATGATTATAATATCGCTGAATTGAAAATACCTCTTGAGGGGCTCGGTATACGCAGAACGTACCCCCCCGCAGGTAAACTAAAAGTAAGTCGACTTCGCTCAATTTCTTTCAGTGTTTCTAACTATCTAAGCAACGTTAAACTAATAAACTTCCTTCGCCTGGATAGAATGGTGCTGCTTACGGTTTCACAACTATAGACTGCAATGACTATACCTTCGGGTCTCCCCTACCTGGTCGTGTGAAGTTACCTGGTACTATAGACACTATTGCTTATGATACGGAGCATGTTCTTGAATTTCAGCTTCCAAACCTATTAATGGTTCACCTCCACGAAACGAAGGGGGAAATATACGAGCATCCCGACCCCAACATGAAGGACGCAATGGGCAATCGTAAAAAAATCAAGTTTTGCGAATACCTCAAGCTGTTATAGGTAATCGACAAAATCACTATAGATCAGACGACAGTCAAGCCAGCTCAGCACATTGCGGAGGTCTTCTCAGCGCCACGCTTCAATAGACAGGAATTCATCGTCTTATAAACCCCGATCAATGCCCCAGCTAAAACAAATATAAGAGCTTTTAACTCCCTGAAACCCCCTTTCTGTGGTGGTAAGCGATTGGATTTATGTTTTCTAACCATCTGTACGGCGGACTATAGCTTACATGCTGCCAAAACTCGTATTTTTACAAAGTTACATATTGGCACGCAGAAAGGGCCCACGAAGGTCAGGTAACTATATTAGTAATAGATTTATCTACTATGATTAGCTATATAAGTTTAGTAGAGCCGGGTTATCTATTATCTAGATTAAGTATATAATCTTTAATTATATAGACTAGTAGTGTAGCGGTTTAAGCCCCTAACTAGATTCCTTCTATCTACTAAATAATAAGAGACTAATATTCTAATAAAGACCTTCCTTATTCTTAATAAGGCTCTAGTATATAACCGTGGTAACTCTAAAGCCTAGATAGTAAGAAATACCTACTATTTTTTAGCCTTTAAGGTATAGAATTTATACTAACTCTAGTAAATAAGGGGTAGAGGGGCTAATATAGAAAGTAGAAATTCTTAATAAAAAGAGGAGGATAATAAAGGGCGTGGGTTTAAATCTAGATAAAACCTCTCTCTTTTTTTTTTATAGTCTTAGCGAGGCTTTAGCGACACTTAATATTAATAATTAATAATAAGCTAATATCTTAATAAATAATTACCTACTAATTTCCCTATTATACTTATAGATAAAAACCTTTCCTTACTATTAATATTATAATAAATATTATAACCTATTTAATAAGCCACTTCTATAATAAAAGGTCGCCCTTTATAAAGTTTATATAATCTTTCTCTATATAAGGAGGAGATATTAAATTTTATCTTATAGAGTAAATTAACTATTTATATCTACTAATATCTAGAATATATCTATTTAGTTTCTATCTTAATTAGAACTCTCTTATAATACTTAAAAGAATAGGGGATTTAATAATATAATACCCTAGTAGACTTATTATAGATTTAAAATTATATTTCTATTCTCTTTTTTAAATACTATTTAAGTAATAAAAATATCCTATATATCTTATAAAAAGAGGGCTATTTAATAACTCTAGATACACTCTAATAGATATAAAGGAGTATAGAGTTACCTTAATAAATTTCTCTACAAAATTAAAAGGAGTATTAAGTGTCACAAGCTGACGGCGCTCCTTGATTACCTAAAGGTGATCTGTTACAGACCACCTGCGGCGCAGCCCCAGGATATACACTCATTGAACGGGAGGATCACGGGCCAGACCTTGAGGGAACTAGTCACATGACCAATAGCGATAGGACTGATAGGACGGGCTTGGTAGCTTCCTATCAATACTATCACAATAACCGATAGGAGTGATAGGAACCCCTTGGCGGAGAACTATCATACCTATCACTAGATATATATCATATATATAAAGACACTTATTACCTTAGAATCAAGAGTTTTATACTCGCGATTAAACCAGCTATAGTTTTACTATACTACCTAATATAAAGTACCATTCTAGTTGTTTTATACTATATTTACTGAATACCTCTTTGCCTATTAATATAGGTCAACTTTGTCTTTACTACTTATAAGGACCTTTAGCCTTTATCTGATCTAGGCACTAACTAAAGCCATACTTGGAACTAAGGGATAGTCTTACTATAGTATTTTATCTCACCCTGATACCAAGCTATCTCCTATAATGACTTACTTTTAACTTAAGCTTTCTTTAAGACCTTCGTACCTTCTATCTTACGGCAGATATGAACCTCTGATTACCTTTAGGTAATTAAGGAGCGCCGCCAGCTTGTGATATTGATTACCCCAACTTCACGGTTATAAAGAGGCATAATCAATTTTGATTTGATAGAGCCCTGACTTTATAGTTATAAACAGGCAAAAGTAATTCTGACTTACTAGAGCCACTATACTGTTATAGATACTTCGACCCAAGTGACTTATAATTATATATTAAGAAGAATAAAACTAGGTACGTATCACCCTACCCCTAGGAGTATACTAACTACAGGAATATACCAAAGTAAGACAAGCCAATATGTTATTAGCAAGTAGACTAACCACTAACATTAACGCCTTGTTAGGGCAAATGCAACAGAAAATCATCGAGTTAGAAAAAAGAGTTAAAGAGCAACCCAATGATGAGTAGCTGGATAAGACTAATAAATAAGTGGAAGAATAACAAAGATTACTTAATAAATGTAAAGATATCGTCAAATAGACTTTAGAATAAGTTAAAAGTCATAAAGACGCCATTAATGTACTCAAAGTCAGAATTAGAGATAAGAGAACTACTATTAAGATCTATAAACCTGATACTTATAAAGGA